GAACATCCACTCAGATGAGCTCCTCATCCTTGAAACTCTAAGCATAGCATCTCTTTTCATTAAAAAATGATCAGAAATGTTCAGGTTTCAAAAGACTGCAGTGCCACCAGCACAAATAGAGGCCTGGCTTTTTCAAGGTGTTAAGTTTGTACATTTCACATTTAATTTCATGAATAAAAGAGCTGTACAAAAGCAGCCGCAAAGGCAAACCGTTCAGCTGAAGGGTAATTAGCAAAAAGTGTCACTGAAACAATCTTTTCATGTCATGTCAGTAAAAAAATTGTTTTAAAAAAGAATAGGTGGCAAACCTGAAGCCTTGAGCAATGTGAAAATTGGGTGAATATTTGAAGTTAGTCAAAGCACATTAAAAGCAAACACTTCAATAAGATGTTTTTATCCACCTAATTGAAGAGGGTATGGTGGGAGGGGTGGTCCATCACACATCACAGGGTAAGACAAACAAGAAAACTAACCAAGAAGACTAAATTAGGTATGATGTCTAAGACAAAGGTTTCATGTATTATGGTCAAATGATAACTTGTCAGTTTTACAACTCAAGGTCTAGTGAAATAAAATAGTTTTTCCTGTAGTTTTTATCCTTTCACCGGATGTCACTCGACTGTTAGCTATGGCAGCAAGGCAGCCTCTCATGGAAGCTCGGGGTACAGTCACAGTCAACAGATGGTGAGCAATGCCTCTTCCCCCCAGGGCAACAGTAAAAATGAGCTTGTGAAATCTGTCACAATCCATGGTGGTAAATGTCTCGCAGTTCCTGCAAATGCTAATAAGGCTCATGTGAGGTCCAAAACCGAGCAGGGCCGGGCAGGGAGGAATGGAGTCCAATTTAAAAATGACACTGCATGACAATCTCATTCTTCTAGAGGGCAGAGAGTTTTCTCTGGCCTGCGGACAGACACTCACAAATGAGTGCTGCTAAAAGATGCCAGTGACATTCAGGTTGCCATTGTGCCCAACTCCTTTGAGAGCCACCCCCCAACACATTCCATCAGAGGCCTGCATAAAATCTGCCATAGCTGGCAAATGGTGGTCCTCATTAGACCAGAGAATAGCGATGAAGTTAATTATGCTGTCCTACTAGTGAGTCAAATTAATTTAAACAAGTATCGGTTCTCATATCTGATGTTTTAAAAAAACTGCACTCAGCTGGAACTGAACTTGGAAAAAGTGACTTTGACAAGCAATCAGAATAGTGTCAAGCAAGATTTGTTTTATCTACTATCTACTGAACTCTATGGTCTCAAATTCCACATGAACACACACTAAACGCAAACATGCTGGACCAATTCACAGTTTTAGACTAATACCGACTTTATATAACTCTTGACATATGATGTGTGCAGAAAATGGACAAGGACACTCAGAAAATTATATATATTAGCAATAAAGTGAACGATTATGTGATAGCTATTATTGTCCATTTTGTCATGTCTTCAAAAGTTATTCAGATTTTGGTTAGAATTTGTATTACTCTATTCAAGCTGAGGAAGGATTTTTCCTTTCTTTTGTTTCTGTGAAAATGTAAGATGAGAAGGGAGATTACATGCAAAAAGACATCTGAGCTCAGAGGTAATTATAAACAAGGTATTAGACTATAATTAGCTTTGACCGCTTTGATAGTCCTCATAGCTTGAAGAGGCTCCAAATTCAAGGCATTCTAAATTCCATGATACCTCAAATCTCAACAACAGCCATGGGCCCCATTTAATCAGCTGCCTAACAAACAGCTAATGCCTTAATTCTTACATATTGTGTTAAGATTTTTCTAGGTAGTCCTGACCTTGATTTATCATATAAGCTGATTACATAATGGCAATTAACAAAACGAAGTCAAAAACCACAATTTGAATGCAAAAGACATGTTCTGCTGTGCAGCCCCATCATTACAAAGTAACTTTTTTTTGCACGTCAATACAAAAATTTGCATCGGAAAAGCAGTGAAGAATTAAATGAAAAGTCATCTGTTTAAATGAGGATGAAGATGGTATGTATTCTAAAAATATCATCATGATCCTAAACATTCAACAAGATTCACAGAGATGATGGCCCTCTCAGTCCTCTGACCTAAATGTCATCAGAAATCTTTAAACAGATCTCAGAATAGTCGTGGAGTTGCCCTCTGAAGGAGCGGTTAAATTCAGAGAGGTTAGTCAGCAGCAAAAGGTATATACAATCTAGGAAATTCACTAATACTGCACTGTATTTACCCCAGAAATGTGAAAGATACCCCTGGTATATCTCTGGCCTTTGAGGTCTTCAATGTTTAAAGACTGAAGCAACATTTTTGGCAACAGCCAATGCTTCAGGTTTACTCAGGCATCAGGTTCAATCAACCGAAAGAGAGAGAAAGAACTAAGAAGCAGAAAGAGCACATTTAATGCTGCACTGGATCAAGAAAAAAAACTTGCATTTAATGTGGAAACTGCTCTTAATTGCAGGAAATGGAGTAGAAAGAGATCGAGTTACTATGAAAGAAGTCCCATCTTCAGTAGCACTCACCCCTGATTAGATGGAAATTTAGCATCCAGTGGAGATTTAAGAGTACAGCAGGGCCCAAATGTTGACCTGGCAGATTCCCAGACTGTTTTTGGTCTTTATACTTATTACTAATCTTTATCTTATACCACCATAAAAAGGGAAGCATCTAATAAGAATCCATTTAATCCCGGTAACACATCTCACGTGAGACCTTAATCAACTGGAGCTCTGAATGTTTATTTATGCATATCAGTTGCTGATCAGTGTCTTGGAGTAGATAATAATCTCTGTTTATAAAAGATTATGCGGCATGATAAACATAACCACTGACACCTAGGGTCTGTGCCCTCAAGGTTTCAGACTTATTTGTGCAGCAGCAGGACATTTTACAGTAAAGTGCCCGTACATACCATCGCCTGATGAGCAAAATAGCAACATCAAAATATTGTAAATGTACCTAAAAACTCCAATTAAAATGCAACCATGTAGACTACTTAACATCAATTTACTTTAATTCGTTAATTTATTGAGTTTTGGCAAAGCACTATGGCTACAACATTTGGAAACAGGCTTGTCTAAATATAAAACTTCTATCAATATGTTGATAGAAAAATAGAATACGTATAATGAAATGTTTCCTTTTATTAAGTCTATCCCACATCCTTCAAACCTTACTGTAGATAGTTGGATGTTTTTCTTAAGAGTTGAAAAAAGGGTCAAAAATCACCAGTACATATTAGTTTTCATTCTTCCCTCGTCTTAGTGTCACGAAAGAAGAAGGAAAAAAAAAAGGTTGCGAAAACTTTCGTTCTTCGAACCAGAAGGTGCTACAGTACTAAGCTTAATAATTTAGCACTGCAGATAAGTACTAAAATGTCTGGCTGCAAGCACCTCATGCTTGCTGATAACAGCACCAGCAGCACCACAGAGCCAAGAATAGACATGTAAATGGAAGCAGCAGGTTCTTGGCTTGTTGAGAGGAAGCTGGTCTCCTGCAACCCCCATGACAGGTGTATCAAAAACTGGAGTTGCCTGCACTCTGACCACTGTGTGCTTGAAATGCCATTTGAATCTTTTTCTCTATATGCTCCGTTTAAAACACAAAACTTTTCCTATTTTATTGCATTTGATGTGTGCAGGCTATATAAATAAAAACAGTTATGCATAACCTCCTTTCAGTAATTTCAACTTTCAGTTCTAGGTACTGTAAAATGTCAAAGTGAAAACAATATTTCATGTTAAATTGAAGAGGAGTAGAAGCGTTTTCTGGAAAAATATATATTGTAGCAAAATAAACCATGAGGTTGTTTTAACCATTTGAATCAGAAACTAATAAACATACTGACCCTATGATCCTCAGGAGCAATCTCCAGAGATACAGAGACAATAAGCCAGTCTTTACACAACCTCCCCACAAGAAAATATATTTGAATATTTACCCATTTATATTTTCTGTGGTCAGACAAAATAGTAACAACTTTAGGCAATTAGCTTTATTTTTTAATTAAAAACAAAACTACAGATTTCAAGAATACTCTTGAATCTTTTATTCACAAATACTGCCTCCATGAATTAAGCTATTCACATATTCTCATTTTATTTCCAAATCTCACAAAATATGTTCAATGTTGGCTTTGATTTACCAAGTAACAATAAAGAGCAACACTAACTTTAGTCTGAAATGTAGAGCTTCCATACTTCAGGTGTTTTTTTTATAATATTCATTTGATCTGCAGTAGATGGCTAGAAGACCTTTAAATGACCTACTACAAAAAATAAAAACAACTTATTTGCCTCCAATTCTGTCTCAGTTTCTGAATATTGCAGGATTGAATGTGCTCAGTTCAAGGTCAAATCTCCATCCTTCATGCTGTAGCAGAAACGAAGACAGATTGCTCTGCGTTTGCCCTTTCATTTATTGCGTTGGACGGGGTTACCCAAGTCAAAACAAGGAGCAGATTAGCTTGGCACAACCTCTTCAATTGTGAATAAAATACTGAAATAAGTTCTTACACAGGGGTGCAGCATTATCAACACCTCCAAATATTACGTGTTTTTATTAAATAACGAAGTTACGGTGGAGTTACCTCTGCTATGAATCATTCTAACACCAAGACAAATAATTATCTTTAACCCAATGAGCAAAATTACATTTTCACAGTGATGACTTAAAAATGTGAAGTAAGACATTACTGGAAGGGAAAATAGTGTAGAGCAAGCTATCAAAAATAACAGTGAAATAAAGCAAGCCTGACAGAACAGAACAACCCATGAAGGCACTGAAGTGAATGAAATTCACCTCTTTGTAATCAAACTTAAACCACAAGACCTCATCTGTTATGAGTTACAAGTAATCCTCCATAATGAAGGTGGCTTTTATTTGACATCCTCACAAACAATACATAAACATTTATTTCCAATATAAATACTTCAAATCAGCAGAGAGCAACACATGCAAATTCTATAAAACACTACAAAAAAAGAAAAGAAAAAAAAGCATAATCTGAAATTAATGCAGTACACTCATCATTGTCAGAACTTCAAAGACTAATTATTTAAAACATGAAGCAGACAGAAATAATAAAGAGTGAATAACAAAAACATTTGAGCGTTTAAACATAACAGAGTGCAATTTCCATGTGAGCTTAATATGACAAAAGCATACAGAAACTTAAAGTAGGTCACTGTTTTTCATTGTCATTTAATAGTGAAGCCCTCCTTTGTGCTGTGCCGTATAAGTGGGATGCACTTTTGCCACTGCTCCCAATGAGGAGTTTTCAAGCTGGGCTGTTCATTACGGAGCATTCAGTCCTTGATCAGACATTTGACAAGTGATTAATCAGGCAGGCGGCCTCAGTGGAGCAACTGAAAGTTAATTTCCACACTTCTGCATGCAGAGGTGAATTTAAAACATCTTCAGACTGGGTAGCCGTCTTCGTCACGCTTTCGGGGCGACCCCTGTCCCTAACACTGGAAAGGACAAGATCCAGCCTGACAGATCCATTCCCGTCTTCATCGTGCACCAGTATGCAGCGCACATCCGAGTGCTGACGTAGAATTAAATCGTGGAACTGAGGACGGCGTACCTCCATAGTGACAGTGTGGGGAGCAGGGTGAAAGACAGCATCCTCTCTCACTACACCAAAATGTGCACCTGTGAGAAAAAAGTGGGCCATATGTTCATTGTGGCTGGTGGGACTGATGAGCACAGCTACACTTGTGTACAGTACCAGCTGCACCTCTCCCAGAGCGACCGTTTCTTGATCCATATTGCAATGAAGAAAATAAATTAGATCAGCAAGACTCTTTTGAAACCGGCAATAAACCCTCAAACCGGCATCCAGCAGCAGATCAGGCACATAGACCCGATGGTCCAGAGACACGTTCATCAAGTTTTCATGGAACAGTGGGTGCTGACATACCCTGCTGTCCCCGGGGCAGAGGGCATCGAGTACAGCCCTGCACAGCTCCTTCGTACGCCTCTGGCTGTGGGTATGGACACCAAGCATGCTTTCCTCCGTTGTGCCCATTAAACGGAAACTCTGACCCGCTAGGCCTATCTGTATCTCTCTCAGCTGCAGTAAAGGGAGGTGATGGAACAAGACCAGGAGCCCACAGTCAGCAGTCAGGGTATATAGACCGGTTTCCAGCAGGATCAGTAGGCCTGGCTGGGGCTGTGGGTGGCTGCATTTTGCCACATTCAACAAGTGCAGAGCTATTATCCTCTGAGAGGTAAGCACTGAGGTTGAGATGATGGGCTGTAATGCATCCATCATGTCTTCCATGGATAGAGTTTGAAATTTCAAAAGGGCATCAGGAAATTTGATCAGTGTTTGAATGAGGATGTGCACACGCTCTGGCTCCTCAGTGGCTTTTTCATCTTTAGATGCATGGATAACATCCGTCTTACCAATATGTGTCGACATCCAAGGTACTTCAATATTTTCATCTCCTTGTTTTACATTAATATTAGTCCCGTCTTGCTTTTGTGGTGACTGACGGTCTCTTTTCTGAGTTTCCTCTGGGACTTGCCGCACATCACTTTGCAATTCTTCAGCCACGGCTTGCGCTGGTGTCGGGTCTGAGAGCTGAGTGTTGTCAGGATTAATGCGCCCCTGAATCATCTGAGCGTCCTCTTCAGACTGAATGTGCTGAGTTATATTCATCTGGATGTGCTGTATGAGAGGTAGTTCTTTCACCACTGAGAAAATATGACTATCCCTGAAAAGAGAGAAGACAAAGCTCCCTCTAACCATGGAGAAGACCTGACTGTCCTTCACTACAGACAGAACATTACTTTCTTTGACCAGAGACACAACGTGGCTCGACCATCGAGTGCCAAAAGGTTGTAATCCTGCATCTGCGACTTGCTGCCATACTGTGGGAGGGTGCCACAGGAGACGTCTTGCATCCTGGACAATCCAAGAAACTCTGCTAAACAGAGAGCCCAGTCCTGAGTTTGGAGCTGTGGTCGCTGCAGCCTCCGCCACACAAACTTCTGGGACCGCCCCCAAACCTCCAGATTCATCCATCTCTTTAACAGTGAAGTGGCGCTCAAAATCTGCATCTTTGGGTGGACAGTGGGTCGCCCGACTGTTGAGAGGCTCTCTGTCGAGCCGAGAATGAGCACTGGACTGAGGCAGGACCGTCGCGAAACTACTTCCTCCACTATTCGGCAGGTGGGACAGGCTGCCTAATGAGCTCCCACCAGAGCCAGGTCTCCCCTTATAGCAGTCAGTCACGACACCTTGGATCTCATTAGCATTCCCCGCTGGTTTCATGCCACATCCATCACCCTGGCCCAGGACACTTGTCTGCTGGAGGCTGGCATCCCCTGACCAAACCTCCCTTCCCCTACAACTTGCAACTCCAGCTCCACTCTGAGCTTTCCTCTGTGGCCTCTCAGACATGAGCTCTGGCCCTGATTTATGACACAAGTCCCTCTCCTGCTCCTGGCCATCCCTGGTGCTTTTTCCACCCTGTAGTATGTCTCCATCCAACTCAAAACCACTGTGAGGGACAGGATCTCTTCCAGGAATGGCCTAGTTACATTGTACAGACAGAACAGAAGGAAAAATAGAAATAAACCTTTTGAAAAGAAGTCAAATCCAGTTTTATGCTAATCAAATTGCAGAGGAGGAACTACAACCATCTTTAATGGCGATCTTGTTAGAGGCAAACTTTTATTTATGCATTTGATTACATTTGAATACTCAAAAACAAAATGAGGGGAAATTAAGTGAAAAATAACATGGTACATTTATAAAAGCAGAGGTACCCCAGTGGGTTTTTCCTACTTACTTTTCACAAAATGTAATTTCATTTGAAATCCCTACAGGAACGTGTAATATGCTTTGAATATGTGCATAATAAAAAATCCACAATGAACCACGGGAAAGAATGTTTCAGGGTTCATAAATCTGGACTAGGCTTGGCTGAAGATTGACATTTGCTCCATTTTGCAAAGACAAAAAGGACTAAAATGTCAGATGAATCATGGCAGAAATTCATCCACTGACAATTCCATTCCATGAACAGTCTCTTGTAGACTGAATTTGCACATTTTTATCAAGAGAGCTTTTATTTAATACTTGAAAACAAGTGTAAAAGAAAATATGAATACATACTGTTGTCATAAGCGTCTCTTTGGGGGCAGACTCAAGATACACTCTTGGATCTTTACACTCACTCCTCACAGACAGCACATCAATCTGGCTGAAATGACAGTGAAAGCTGAGACTCTGAAAATGTTTTGTATTTTTTGTGATTCAGCACTGGATACATTGAATGGTTTTAAAAATCAAAAGAAGACACACGCACACACAAATCCATTAGATTTGAAAAACAAATGCCCCAAATGGCCAGATGAGATTAGAGACACTCGACTAGCTGTGAAATTAAATAGAATCTGCGCGTGTTGATTCAAGGATTTATGTACGATACTCAAGACTCCAAAAGGAGGGGAGCAGAAACCAAATATACAGCTCAGAATGATTTCTGACAGTAAACAGAAGCTTTAACAGAGCTTTGTGTGAATCGCCGGGCTGACAAAGGGTGAAAGCTGCAGCAGTATAACACTGACCACGTCAACAAGGGGGACATTGTTCAGGTCCCAGTGATGATTAAAGGACTTTTGCAGATCCAGCGGATCAGTATAGAAGATGTCCTGCACTCAGCAATGTGTGTCTGCCCTCATATAAAAAAGAATGTTAAAAAAGAAAAAGATCCAGAATAATTTTTCCATTTTTCCTGTAGCCAACACAATGTGACTCACATAAGTAGTGGCTTTGCAATAGTATTACAAAACTGGCATAACGCCCTCATAACACAACCGCATTTTACTTCTTCCAACTCAGTTTCTAGATTTCTGTCTGCCTGTTTTTCCTCCACCATTTTTCCCCAATTAAGAAAATGTAGACACAAATGACGGTAATAATTCCCAGTCCATGTTTTTTTTACCTTTAAATACCTTTGTGCAAAACTGGCCTCGATAAATGTTCATTTACAAAAGAAAAAAAAGGAGGAATGACCTGACAGGGTTGATTAGAAATATAAATGCAGTCTTGAAAGGTCTCAGCAGGACTTTTTCCACTTTCCCTACAATTCAAAACAAGTTTTACATTTATGTTACAAGATAAGCTAGGAAAATCTGCATTTTCATCATCACATGCATACAATTCTGACACCCATGGCCTAACAATTGGTTAGAATTTATCAGCGCAGCTGCCTTCTTTCTGTTCCAACAATCAACTTTCAAAATACTGGAAATCAAGTGATGTAGCCTTTTGTCAGAGAGCAACTCTCCAAAGCTGCTACAGGTCAGTCCACAATTATGTTGACAGTCAGAGAGTAACATGTCTACAGTTTTTCAGAATTGAAATTATTCATTTCTGCTGAGGGTTATATCAAAGATTATTTTGTGTGTGTACGCGTGTATATATATATATACACATACACACTCACACATATACACACAGACAAACTATCCTTTAATACTTTAAAAGGTATTACTTTACTGTTTAGAGGAAATGTGCAATGATAAACCACGTGTTCCTAATGCAGGGTAAATCAAAGAGCAGCTATGTGAATGACTACACAGTCTTGTGATGATCATATATATGCAGTCAATATAGGCACTTCTTCTAAATCCAAATGACATATTACAGCAGAGGGTCTGGAAAAAAGCTGCTGGTGTCACTGTGAAAGTGATATTAATCAACTGAGCGAGTGTAAATTCTTTTTGGGGATGCAGCAGAATGAGGCAAATTACACGTCAGGTAGAACCACATGCTTTAAAACATTAGGGTTAGCAGATCATAGGATACCAGGGGTGTGTCTTAAATTGCTCACCACTTCAGTAGGTGGTGAATCACTGGAGAGAGAATTGGATTTTGGACACTAATTCTGTGAACACTGAGACACTGACAGATCAATGAACTATCACACAATTTCAAGGCCCTGGTGAGGCATAAAGATGTCACATAATGTCTCTCAGGCTTCAGTATAACGTGGGAAAAATAAAAAATAACCGCAGAAAATAAAATGGGGATGGTAAATCTAGGAGCGCAATATGGAGCAGGCACTAAATGTATCATTGTCGACTTTTGTTAAAACCCCAGGGCTTTTACATAGTTGAAGCTTTTTAAGTTATTCTGATGGCTTTAGAAAATAATCATCTGCTCAGACTGCTCTCTGCAGAGCCAAAGCCAAGTTCATATTTATTTTGGCTGTCTGAACTTCATCATCACACTTCACCTAGAGCTCTGTAAAAGCTTTTATAAGGCTTTAATCTGTTTTGAGCCCTTCTTTGTGATCCATACACATTTTGTGCAAAATTTGATACAAAGAAATTAAGTGCATAAAAAGGCGATAATAACAACATGTAAACCATAAACTTATCTCCAGCCGAGCTTTGTTGAAAAGCAATGATTAAATATTACATCATATGTTTCAAATGCACAGAAAAAGCCATCTTATTAATCAGTGGCTGTTGTAGACAGATGTGGGCAGGGGTTAAGTTGTGACAATTCTGACCAGATCCTCTGGTCTTGCATCACTAATCTGATTGGGTGAGGTTAGTTCCACATAAATCGAGCAGCTACATAGTCTACACAGACAGCATCCTTAACGTAATTTGCTTAATTGTCTGGCGTGTCAAGTTGCACTGCTGTACCAATTCTGCATTAATAAACTACTGGAGAATTCATGATTGATGACAGAAAAAGATGCCCTTGAGGCATTTGAGCTGCACTGGGCTTGAAACAGACTTCAGAGTAGAACAGGTTTGGAGTTATGACAAGAATTCACTGTGAAGGCCAACAAACTGTTTCTACTTGCTGGGGAACTGGACTTGGAATGCATGGCAGTGGTTGCAGAGAGGGCACATTGGGCTATTCACACCGTAGCATAATATTGGATTTTTTTTTCTTTTACACTTTAGGGCACTGGCCTGCTATGATTCCTACTCAGAATGAAGTACTACATAAAAGCTTTTTGCATTTCTCCAATGCGGCCATGAGTGATAGTGCTGATTTGGTCTATGTGCCTGATGAATGTGTGAAGCTGCTTACTAAGACTGCTTTGAGCTGGGCGCAGAAGGCAAAGAGCTGCACCAAATGTCTTACCGTGAATTTTGTAGTGTCACCTTGGACAGGCCCTCATTATACTTGAACAGGTCAGTCAAAGAAGGGCTGGATGGGGATCGCGGCTCAGTCTGCACAGTTATAAAAAAATAATGGATTAATTATTTTTTCTTTTTAAATCACACAAAATAAAAAATCTGTTTTATTCTTAGAAATGAAGGATATTATGATGGATCACTTATAGTAAATGCTGCATATATGGGATTCATGGCTATATAACAGAACTGGAAGGGCAATTATTTATTAATTTTTCCAAGCTTTCACAAAATATAACTTAAGACTTAAGAAATGTCTAAACAGCATGACTATGTGGGAGGTACACCACAAGCTGGTGTGGTAGTCAGAGTTTGTGGATCTCTTATTTAGAGTCACTTTAAAAAATGAATGTAAACGGCTCTCATTGGAACTGCAGAGATGGTTGAATACCTGCTCTGCACTTGGCTCCAACAGCCCATATGCCATTTTCAATAATGTAAAAAGCAGAGAGCTGTCAAAATCCCTGCGCACCGCTGTGTCCATAAAATGCTGTGTGAACTCAGTGGTTTACATACAGTCATAGCATTTTATTGAAAATGTATGCAAGTCAGAAGTTAATCCTAAAACACAATGAGTGTTGTGATTACAGCAACATAATCTTTTTACACAATTATCAGACTCCTTTTCTGGAGCTAGTTACCTTGAAGTATGCTATTCAATTATCTAAAAAAGGCTTAAAAACACTGGGCATCATAATCAGTCATGTCTGTAAACATTATTCATCCCCACGGTCTATTTATTTGGCTTCTGGCAAACACTAAGCCGCATATCTTGAGGAGTTGACTCCCTCCTCCCCCAAATCATTGGATTAGTGAAAGCTGCATCTGACAGTTTCTATAACTTCCCGAAACCAATAATCTGATATTCACACTCAAAAGAATGAGAAACTAAAAGTTTGACCCTATTACACCTCGGTGTGCAGTTCCTGTGTTCAGATGAGAGTAGTGCTGTTGGAATTTTGTCCTGAAGATTATATCTGACATGTTAAATTATAATGGCCTAGATCTTTTTAGCAAATCTTTTCAAACTATTTTGCGGGAGGGCTCAAGAATTGTAACTTGTACGTATACATAAATGATCATACAAAAATAAATAAAAGAATAAAATAAAAAACTTGTTTCACAAAAGTAAAAGGCATTTCATTAGCAATGTAAGATTAAAACATAGCTGCCAATGCTTTCATGCATCATCTGTTCATCCACAAAGCGGTGGCAATGTGTATGAAATGCATGTTGTTAACACTTTATGAATTAATAAATAAGCAGATAAAAGAAAACGCAGTGACTATCTGAAAAATTACTATAAGCTTTGGGGGGAAAGAAAGATGTAAATATATTCAATTGATCTTTTTAGTTCTTAGAAAACAACTGACTTAATTTGGCAGAGAACCTCTCAGGATGAACAGAGCATTCATAGTGTTTCTTCACAAACTAATAGAAGCAAAAGAGAAAGTAGCCAGCTTGAAAGTTGCTAAACTTTCAGAGAAGGCTTCCTTACATATAAAAGCAGTTCTAGAGTAATGGTATTCAGGCCGGCTGCCATTTTGTTAGATAAGTCATTTGTAGAAAGGAATAGAATAACATGCAAAAAAAGAAAGATAGTACCGGTTCAGAAACTCACTGTAGTTCTTTTCTCCATCACATCAAAAATGTATGGATATTTCTGGGTTTTTTTCATCTAGTGTCTGCATGCAATTTTAATATAAACAATGTTTTCTGGAGGTGGGAGGCATCACAGCTAGTAGTCATGGCAACAGAGTGCACAGAGACTTCTGGCTTTTATAAAAATTAAAAGTGGAAGATGAAGATGAGGCAGTTTCTCCTTTTAAAGAGTCTAAAATGTACAATAATGAAGAGAACATACTAGCATTTTGCTGTGGTGGTTTTGGGCGTTACCTGTACTTGGTGGCCTTCTCTCAGATGGGTAACTTCTGCCGGGTGGCTAAAATGGAGCACGACTCCTTTTCCTAGCTGTATGATTGAACCTTGAGGGAACCATAAAGAAAAAGCATGGGAAAAAAGCACTGCACCAAACACTGCACTGCTATGAGCAAGCCTTGATTCAATGCAGTATAAGTGAAAGTTTCTAGCCATCCAGAATAGATTTGGGATGTGTAGCACGCCATCTACAGTGTAGAGCACCACACAGAGGCATCAGCAATGGGACGTTTCCTATGACAGGGATTACAGTAACTTCCCTGTGGTTTGAACATTAGGAAGTCCTTCGCCATTTCTCAAGTTTTCCCTGTAGATTTCCCCTGCTGAGGTAAATTGAATGAATTGCCTTGAGGAACACAATCCCCCATGTGATTGGCATTGGTCAAGACTAGTGGAGATCATTTACCAGAGAAAATGGTCCAAGGAAACCTGAGAAGTCTTGTAAAGCCTCAGAATTGAAGCAATATTGGGGTTTATATATCAGACTGCCGCTCATATAGCCATGGACAGAGATTTTCTAGGTCTCTTCGTTCGCCTCCACCACAGCAAATACTAATCTTGCTACAAACTAATGACTTTTGACAATTGACACAGCACCTGAGAACAGTTTGTGACAGATTGCAGCTGCTGGAGGACTGAAAATTACAATCATTTGTTCAAGAAAATAGCTTCAGATGCAGCAATTTCTGACAGGATTGTAGATAAATAGAAAAGGTTATAAAAGTGACTCGCGTAGCCAGGCTCTGCATTGCCTGGCCCCATGTGCAGTTTTTATCTCATGAAAGCAAAGCAATATGGATGAGAACGCAGTGAGCAGTTAAAGCTCTCAGCCTTGGCAAGCAGGATCTGCTCAGGGGGCCAGAGTTTCAGCTCAACTTGCGTCCGTCCTTTGAAAGGTTAATGCTCTGGCCCACTTCAAAACCTGTCAGCCCTATCAACTCCATCTGCCAATTAAATGGAGGGCCTGGGGCTTTGTCTAGAGCTTTGTCCAGGGCCTCTCGCCCTGCAAAATGTTTAGTAAGAGAAATGGCGTCTGCCCTGTGGAGGGCTGTGTTCACAAGCCACTCATGCCCCGAGAGTGCCGTGGGAGAGCTTGGGACATTAAGTGGATTTCATTTGCAAATGTGATGCACTGATCTCATGTCTGCATTCAAAATGGATGAGAATGTTATTGACTCCCACAAGCCAAATTATTATGAAACTCGGGGAGAAATCTTCATTATTACAGACATGGCTCGCTCCCTCCCCCACATGTTCATTAAAGAATATCAGGAGCAAATTAGATTTTGAAGAAATGCTTACCCTGCGTCAGCTGCTGGGGATCTGTGACCACAGAGCCATTGACTGAACACACTGCTCCATCCTGAGGGACCAAAGTCACAGTCCCAGCGCAGTTCTCGAGCACACATTGTTCACGGAGGAGGCCGGCTCCATGAAGCACTACAATGCAATTATGAAAGTTTAATGCAGAAGCTGGGAGTGTGGTGTGAGAACTTCAAAGTAGTAATTGTGTCTCACCAATATCCCGACTGTGTGTTTCATGACTTCCAACCGGAGTTCTGCCCTCCTACAGTGGAGATTCAAAGATTATACAATAGTTCTTCTTAAACAGAGAAGCAATTAAGAACACGGAATACTTGTTGTACCTCTCGCAAACAATATCAATTTCTCCTAAGTTCTTCAATTTAAGTTCCAGGGGTATATGAGAGTATATTGCATTCAAATAACAGGATGATTCCAAACTAAAGAGATCAGTCAACGCCCATCAGATGAGGTCAACTGTCCAACATGACTACACTCCCCTCTATTTTCCTATAGGGCCTGGAAGAACATCTCAAAAAGATTTTTTTTTTTAAAGGAAAAGAATACATTTCTCATTCAACAGCCTGTGGCTGGAATAGTACACAATTTAAAATAAAAATGCTGACAGACATTTAATGGGCAAACAGCAGAAAGCTGAATTCTTTATGACTGCTCTTCCTTGCCTGAAGGCCACATAGAATAGCAGCTTTCCAACCATGTGTCACCATGAAGCAGCAGAGTGGCTAACGGCAAAAGAGACACCATAAATCATTCAGATTATTGTGGCGAGAGCCAAACTGTATATTGTGTTCAGCGAGCGAAACCATCTCACTTCCACACACACAGGTAGGTTGTGCTGCATGGACTATTGAGTTCATTGGTACGTTGCCATCAACACTACATGTTACTATTAAAATACCGTGTGGCTTAGAAAGTAAATTTGAAAAAAAAAAAAACGTAAGCTTTGTTCAGGTCACTTACATTATGTCAGAGGAAAACTGTTTTAAAGGTATAACTAAAATAAATGTCTGTGTTTATAAGTGAGGGAATACTGGTTAAATACAATGTGAAGCCTATTTTGTTAAAACATTTTCAATATCAAGTCAGTTTATCATTTGCAATACTCAAATCATGAAAAGTAAAACCATTAAATTTACAATAACTAAACATTACAGACAACAGCGATTTAAAAACAACATTACAGCGGATCACAACACTAATGCAAGACAGACGTTAATCCTTTGTGGATGGTGCGAATCCATATTTGTTCCAAAATCCCTTCATTTGTATTTAATAGAATTCTTCAGCGAAATGTGATAAGTTAAATTGATTTAATCCTTAAGAGCCTTTTCTAAAATGAAGGCAACACTTGAAATATAGGATCTATTTCTTAGACCGCTTCACTGCCTCTTACAACTGTTGGTAAGAAAGTGCAAACAGGCAGCATTTATGCTTAAATTTGTAAATGTATTCTTTATTCTCTTATACATAATGTGCTGCTAACAGAATAAATCTATTGAGCAGTGACGCTTTTCTATATTAGACATAAATTTTGATTCTTGGCCCCTTATGGCCTGGAGTGCCATAACAGAATCCATAAATGCAAAAAAAAAAAAAAAAAAAAAAAAAAACTCCAGGCAACTGAAGGGCTGGTAGGCTTTTAGCAACCAGGGCCACGGCTGCTGCAGTTCACCAACCCAAAGACCATGTATGAGTGGTGCTATCAAAGATACTCTTCAGTCAAGCTGATGGACTAATGCCTCCCATTGCTATGGATTATAAAAACGTACCATCCCAAAAGGGCCATGCAGAAAATCTCCCCAAGTGAATTGAGAAGAAATTCTTTGCATAAACTAGTTCCCCTCACTTTCAACCCCCTCCTGCTCCGTCCTATAGATTGGACCGTGAAGTGAGAGACGTGCCCACTGCCAGCACCACCACACTCATTGGCAGTTGAGAGAAGGGAGAAATCCTTTTTTCTAATGAAGAAGGAGCGGCATCGACCACAGCCCCTGTACTTAATTAAAAGGGATTTTTCACAGACTTCATTAGAGGTGAGGAGCAGCCTGGCAGATTAATGCACTGTGTCACTTTCCTCAGCCTCCAGGAAGAGATGAGATCCTCCCATTTTCTCTTCAGAAAGTTGCTCTACACCACACCTTCAAACTCATTTGGTGCGATGACACAAAAAAACGTCTGCTTTCAGATGGAGGCAGCTGGTGAACATACTGTAATTAACTGTGACCCAGACCAACAGCAAGGCTTGGGCGCTTTTAGGCTTCCATTAAAAGCCATCATTTTGCAGTCAACTAGGATTTTAATGGACTTTTTTCCCCCTTTTTATTTTTAGGGTTTTTAAATGCTTTGGCATTGCAGGTTACAACTTGGATAACATGCATTTCAAAACAGTGCCACATTAAGTCACCCAATCAAGTTCCCTGACTGCCCATTACCATTGTTAAGTAGAGCAACCTGCCAAGAAAACATATTAGTACTGAATCCAGAACAAGAAAAAAAAAACATTTAAAATGATGTCATATTAAAAAGTGAACTTCTCTGAAAGAACTGTATTTATACCACATATTGATGGACTACATAAAAACAAAAAATAAATACTTGCACAAAGAAGATTAAACAAGGAATATTTCCATGAGGACTTTTTGCTTGCACTTCCTGATATATACCACAGACAACTTAAGAGACAAGACACCTCCTTAGCAATCACTCCTTTGCATGTTCTACATTATTAGAGTTTGTTTCATGCTAGAGTCAAATCTCTCTCAGAACCTTTTCCCTCTAGCTTCAAAATAAATTGCTGTGCAATTAGCTTGAAATACATTACAGCCATCTACATCTGACATCTTTTACTCAGAAGCGAACACTTCTAGCTCTTTGACCAGCAAAACAAAAAATATTTCAGTACATTTCCGAATTCAATTCAGGTGATTAAAACATATTCATGTAACACAAAAGGGAAAGTATGGGCTGAAAAGTATTCAAATCATCTAAGCTGTCATCTTTACACAATGCCAACCATTAATAATAATGTGGGGCGAGCCAGAACGTTTTAGTTTCTGGTAGGTAAAGTTTCAGAAGACAACTAACTTTCTTTTTTCAAATTAACAAAAGAAAGACTATCCATTTTAAGCCAAACTAAGCTTGCATGTGAGGCCCATGAAATGCAACAAAGACTATGATGTATAACTGATGACACTCGGTGTCAAACTGACAAGAAACAGAGCAAAGCTCAGAGCAATTCACAGTTTAAGTTGTGCTGATCGTAGCATGTTTAGGAAATTGTGAAGACTATAGGGATCAAAGAAAGGGAGAAATTCATTCATGTTACTGAAATTAATGTTCCCACCACCATCTTTTAAGAAGGAAAGCTGAAAGGGTGGCTGGAGAGAACGCAATTCCACTTACAAAGCAGAAATGCTCAAATCTGCCTACACATACATGTGCATATGACAATTACATAAATGTGAACTTCTGCACAAGAACATCTTTTTACTTTTTACCCTCTTCCTGGCATTTCTTTTCTCTCAATCTGTTAGTGCCTCTGACTGGAAAGGGGCTGCACTGGAATCCATCTTGTATTAATTACTTTCTCTTGCCACATGCCCTGTAACAAAACTAGGAAGCTGACGATGAATAACTTAGCATTCTAATTCTGCTCTGAATATGAAATCCAAAACTCAGTTTACATTGCTCCAGGTCAACTTGTCTCTTTAAGGTCTAGGTGGAAATTGTCTTCATATTTTAGCCAATAACAGGGCTTCCATTAGACAAAATAGAGGAGTGTTTGTAATCCTATTTCAAACTGACAAATTTAGAAGTACATGTCGATTAAAAACTAAAACATCCTAAAACCCCACACTCAAGCATAGAGGTTGAGATCAAAAACTACATTTTTGATCATTTGAAAAGAAAAAAAAAAGAACTTCATTCAATTCCATCATGCTGTATGCTTCTCTGTATTGAGCAATAAAGACTTCCAGCATTCCATGCAGGAATCCCGGTTATCTTTTTTTTTTTTTTTTTTTTACACCGGCAGAATGCAAATGCACAGTGAGACAAATGTCAAATCCATAAAGTCATTCATCAAACACTTAGAGTTTCAGCAACACCATTGGGCCTACCGGTCACCAGCACATGTGGCCTTTTCGCTTGGGTGTCACGCTGCATCATGCATAATAATGGATGCATCCACACGAACGGCCACGGCTCTAAATAAGGCACATTTTTAAGCACCAACAGTACCGAGAGATGATGTTGCCTCCGAGTATAAAGTCACCAGTGCTGAAACATGAAAGCAGATTACAACACTAAAACTTTAATTGATATCCTGGAATCGTCGAGAGACAAGAGTGCCATGTCAATAATCAAGATGTCTTAATTAGGGGTGGTGACAAGAACTAATGAGTTCCACCGTGTGACCATGAATAAAGTCATGAGGATGACTGAAGTCATAAGAAGTCACCTGCTAATCCAAGTCCAACAGACACGTAAACATCTGGTATGTTATTTACCACAAAAAAAAAAAAACATTTTTAGCATCCCATCAAAATTTCCTCTTTTTTTTTTTAAATAAGAAAGTAGACAGCATTTTGTTTCAATATAACAAGCAGCTGCGAAATGTGAGAAAAGTTCAGATTTGCAGGAGTTTCACAATAGTTTAAAAACTGCTAAAGAATGTATAATAAGAATATATGATGATGGAGAAAAGTGCCTCCATACTTTCTATGACTGGCACAGTTCTCGGTTTGATGCATAATGCAACAGGCTACTTGGCTGAATATAGCAAGTTCCAAAAAATGACATTTGGTGTTATTTTCTAGGTTGGACAGAAATTCAAGTGGGGAAAAGTGTTCAGTGTAAATTCAGGGTTGGCATCAGTGGCCTTGTGTGTTGCTCCTTGGGGTGTTTTGAAGACTCTACCACGCTGTCCGTGCCTCAGAGAACTCATACAGTCCATGTCAAATTTTTTCCCCCTTCTTAGATTTCCAAAACACTGATTCACACCACTGTCATAATAATCGCAGAAAATCGCAGAAATTCTGACATTTAAAACTAGACGGATGTTGAATCTCATTCTGTTGCCGAGCGAGCTGACCAGGCTGAGATGTGGCTGCTCACAAGGCTTGCAGTGACACCAGCTGGCTGGGTCCATTTACTGCAAGCAGTAATATCAACCAACCTCTGTGAGCACTAAGGTCAAAGTAACAAAAAGGAATTAAATTAAACCTCGCAAATAACTTTCCATTTAATGAGCATGTATCCTGCATAAAGCCTCAAATATATCATCCCTTCAAATTGACTGCTTTGACATGTCAACATTTTATACAGAGCCTCCAAAGAGAGGTTGAGAAACAAATGGACAGAAATGGAAACTACCACTCTTTTAATCTAAAAATTTATTTCAGCTGAAAGAAATTAAGGAATATAAGAAATAAAAGGTGCATTGCTTTATGAAAATAAACATTTTAAAAGCACAAAAACACACGATTTAAACTTCTGCAATATAAATTGGTTATGAGAACCTATATAACAGCAGTTAGGCTTCATCATATGTCCAGTGATATTCCAGATACTTGTAATAAATGCTTATTTGAAAAAGGAACTCTTCTCCATTGTTTGTGGGAATGTCCAGTTGTTTAAGGTGAAAGTCCCATTAGAGGTTAAAATCTGTGTTCTAGGAGTATACCCAATGGAATTTAAACAATCACGGATGAAAACTGTATTGACTATCGTTTCTATTCATATATTACCTTGTTATTTTTCTCTCTCTTAATCTAAAGGGTTTTGTATATTTTTAGAACTAAACAAATGTTATAACCAAGTTTGTTGTGTCAAAAAAGAGAAAATTTAATAAAAAATATTGGAAATAAAATCAAATTAAAAAAATTAAAAAAAAGAAATAGTTTATTTTTCCTTTTGACTTACCTCTACCTCATTCAGATGCAACTTCTCCTCCACCTTAACAGAAGTTGACAATTCTCCATGGAAAGCCTGGAAACGCAGGGAAAAGACATCCTTAGTGACCACCACTGAGTGTCAACCCATGTACTGTGGAATCATTAGTAGCTTTTTGTGTACGCTTGACAAGATGCGGGACCTGGGTGGCTTCTGCAAGTAGCTTTTGGAGCCTGGTAACCTCTGCCTGCAGCTCTCTGATCACCTTCAGGCTTCCATCTTCATTCACCGTAGGTGAATTTACAATATTTTTAGCTCGACTAGCATAGCGCAAAGTACTCAGGGTCTCCCCGTAGTTCACGTCCGCAGGGGAAATTGCTTCGCATAAGAGGTCACCATGAAGGAAAGCAAATACATTCATGACAAACAGTCAAATACAACGGATAAATCTCATGTGGCTAAAACAAACCACTTCAAATTCCAAGAGAAGATAAGTGTGTCAAACATCTACCACAGCCACACTGAAACATACTTGCCACCATTGTAGTAATGGAGTTTCCACCAAGGCTGTCTTTTAGCAGCCATGTTAATACGGAGTCTCTGTAAGGAATGAAGATCTTTTTTCTTTTAGCCGATTTTCTGCCCATGCTTGGGTCAGCTGATGAGTTGCATGGAATAAAAGAAAAAAGATCAAAGTCCATTTTGGAGAATAAAGGTTCATGACGAACATTATTCTTTAAAGAGGCCTTTCAGTTTACCAGTTTACCCTCAATGAGTTTCATTCAACTCACAGTTTTGACAGCAGTTGTTATTTTAATTCTAATAATAACTACAAAAAAGATATTTCACACATTTAAAATAAATAAATAAATCAGTCATCTTGTCACTTCCTTTACCGAGAGCTGAGATCACACTCCCTAAGGTGACCAGGGATTTGTTGATGTTGGCACCTTCCTTCAGTCTGGTACCTGTGGTGTGTGTGGCATCAGCTCGCTCACTGCCTGCCAGGTCTACCAGGTGGATCTTACTCAGTGTCTCACGTGGAAACTCTGCATTAAACCAAGTCTGTGGTGTGAAGGAAGGGATAAAAAAAAAACATGTCGTACGGCAGCTGATGTTTACTTCAAAAGAGACAATATCAGACAAATTAGCCAACACAGGAAAATGTACGCTGTGGCTAAGAACAGGGGAAAAAAGGGAAAACCAAAGGCTTTTAACAATTAGAAGTACTAATAATAGCTTTAATCAAAAGTTCATGCAAACCAATATTTCTGAATACATATATAAATAACATACAAGGTGTGACATAAAGTATGATAGTGTTTAGGCACAGCAGTTTACCTGGGTAAAGTTGATGGTAAAAATGGCGTGCGAGCGGCTGCTGAAGTCATTCATGCCCGTGCTTGCTGTGGTTCGGTTAGCATTTCCAAGAACGATAAGGTCCTCCATTTCACTGTGGCTGTGTACCACATGCCTTGATAGACCTTCACATAAATTGTAGTTTTCTACAAGATACTACATGTATTTCACAGAAACTTTGAAATGAATAAATAAAACAACACCTTACTCTCTACATAGGGTCCGTCCTTGGGATGCTCCCTCACTTTTAAGCCTCCACCATCTGTGGATGGTGAACTTCTGAGGAGAAGGTCCTGCACACGTTCATTGTAAATCTCCAGGTAGCTGGTGCAAAGAAGGACAAACTGAATTTAACCAAGATGAAATCAGAAGGTTAGCTTTTAGACAACTATGAAGGGGTTAAAACAGAGGTTTGACTTTATATTCAAACCTGACATTTTGCTGATATGATTGTACTGGTATTAAATAAATAGCAATTATGTCATGTGTGTGTGGCAGATTATTTCAATTCTAAATTATTGTGGGTGTGAGCAAGTACCAGAGTTTAACAGTACTAAGATGTCAGCAGTCTGCCAGATGCTATAAATTATGATACAGATATTTATGACACTCTTTTTATTGACTTTAATGGCTGCTGCTATTGACTATATAAGAAGGAAACTAGGTAAAAAAATAACAAAAGGCCTTCTGGTAGCTGCAGAAAAAAATCAAAATAGTACCAGTTGACCGCAAAAAAATTAAGGACATACCTCAGCACACTGGGAAATGTATCTGAATAGTGTTAACTCATGAATCTTGACAATCTTTGATCAATTTGAACCCGTACAAGGTAGAAACAAGCTTACAGGGGTACAGTATTACTGTTGCATTATTTCTAAAAGGGAAAAAAAAGAAAGGTTTCTAAAAACACTGCCAGCAGTGGTTTAATTCCAGCGATTATTCAACCTTCTCGAGTTTTACTTAGGGAAGGCAGCTTTCCAGAGCTGCTGTACCCAGATATACTGCAGGCTTATCACATTTCATTTCAAGGTCTTCTGCAAATTTTCCATATGGCTGAGGTCAGAAGAGAGAGGTGGTTACACCATGAAAATGTTTTTTATTTTATTTATTTATTTGTATTACTAGGGAGACCAAGAAGTCAGTGATGTTTCATGTAGCATATGATGATGCATCGTTCTGCATGAAAAATCCATTTTTCCATTGCCAGGACTTATTATTATTTTTATAGACCATGACAGTAAATGGTTTGTTAATAACTTTTGGGGATCCTAAAGGGCTTTTATCTTGTCGGACCAGGGTAGCGATTAAATGGCCATCCAGTGTACCATGTCATGAATTAAACAGTTAGCAAATTAGTTTGTATTTCTAAGCCCCATAGCAACTGTTAGCTGTTCAATATATACTGTGCTTATTTTTAACATTACTTCTTTTATTGCCATGTATGAGAAAGATCTACCTTAATAAAATCATTATCACAACCATTATTTAGGGTCTGGATCTCTCAAAAGTCCCTGCAGAGCTTACTGGCTAGTCATCTTACTAACTAGCTTCACTTTTTAAGATATATTGATTTGATGTCACACGCCAGAAACGGCACAATTCTGAGAATTCCATCCTGAGATCTTCATCAATTTGCACAAGGCTCTTCAGTGAGGTTTCTTTTTTTTTTTCCCCCTCCAGTTAAAGATCGTATACATACGAATCAGTCCAACTTTACACTGCTAACCGTCACATCTAATTAACATATTGAGGAACACATCAAAAGTGTTCCCTAAAGATAGAACCATTTCTTATGAAATGGTTCTCACATGGTGGTGCCAGGTTTTCCTGAGGAGATGCTGTAAAACTGTTGCTATTAGTTTAGATTAGTTTACCTAGAATAGTGGCTTACCTGACGTGAGTCTGAAATGACACCATTTCACTTTTTCCCTTTTGAGACATCTCCATGAACAAGCCCTCACAGATCCGTGGAATTAAACCTGTATTCTCCTAAAAATGGAGGAAATATTGAATTTACAACCTATTAAACAGAAAAGAAAAAAAGCGCACTTTAAAATGACAATTACATTTTGATCCTATTATGTTGTCTTAATTTACAACTCTATGCTCTTGTGTAACCACGATTCAGCAGATGTGAAGACTGCTGAACAACATAAACATCAGCTCATCTGATACGGAGTTACTGAAGCATAAAAGCAATTCCAGTCTGAGCTGCATGCCCTCTTGTTTTTAATTACACAATAACAGATAGTAAGCATTAAGAGCCATTTATAATTATCTGTGATGTTGACAGCAGCTCTGCTGATGACCTTGCATATGTCCTTTGGTAGACAACCACAAACCTGGCTTGTAATGTAAAATTTCCATTGCAGTAAGAGGCTAGGACAGAAAAACATGGGTTGCTGCGCTCATCAAATTTTCTGATTAGCAAGGAGAGATGAGCTGGTTGAAGGCTGCTTTCAGTCAGATTTGAAACTGGTAAGAAGTCGGTGTACTGCTGTGTACACGCTGGGTTGGCTCTTCTGGAGCATTCTGAAGTGTATTTTTTACATTGTCTGAGACTATTAAAGATGATGGGATTTCAGATGGGACTCAAGATGCTGGAACAAAACACTCAAAATTATCTTCTGGAATGCATTTGAAATGTCTTCAGTAAAAAATTCTTAGTGAATGTAAAAATCTAGACTTAAGGCATGTAGCTGCAAAAGTGATTGAATTCACTAGCGATTTCAGAGGTTGGTTTAATCAAGCAACTTGGAATGAATGATAGGGGTTGCTCCTTAACTTTCTCATTCATATCTCATTTTCATATTCAACAACTTATCAGTGTGATAACGTATATATATATATGTCTGACATGTCTGAGGTGTGCATGATACCATAAAGACAGGATCAAACTTCTGAGAACGCCAAGATAATCTTACTTTGTCACCCATCATAGTGTAAGACTTTCCTGATCCTGTTTGGCCGTAGGCAAACACACAGGCATTGAAACCTTCAAATGCCGCTGTCAAGACTTCTGACCCCAGGTCTTGGAAAATCTTAACAGTGGGGAAAAGATAGTCAGTAGAAGCATTTGGAGATTTTTTTTTCCTGCACTACACAAAAAGAAAAAAGAAATCTATGTGTTCAGAGGGAAAGTGCACATACCCTATCCTGGGATGCAAATGTGGGGCTTCCTCTGTCAGAAGAGTCATAGGAGTAATCATATGAAAAGGTTTTCCCTCTGTCCTTCTGCTTTTCCCCCCCAACGGATGAAGGCTGCCGTTTGATATGGAGATTATAGTTTAGTCTCATCAAATAACGCGAGTGATTCTAGTTCAGTGGGTTTCGTCTTTTTTATACCTTATAAATAGATGTTGTGTTCCCTTCCATGTGAATTATAACCTTCGACGATAACTCCCTTTCTCTGCAAATTGAATTGATTACGAATTGACAAGCATCCATTTGAAAAACTTTGTGCAAAATGAGAGCAATCGACTGCACCCACCTTTTATTTAATGGACGGACCCGTACTGCCACCCGGACCAAAGACATTGTTAATGAAAACAGACAGAAGCAGAATAGAGCAAAGTGTTCCGCCTTGATTTCATGGCTTTTGGAAGAAACGCCTCGCTTCCTAAATTTCAAGATAATTATCACACCTGAGCCCCGTCCTTCACTCCATGCAATCTGAGAGTCAGCCGCTAGGAAGTGGCGAATGTGATTTAGTTCAAGGGTCTTAGTAACTATATAATCGTTAGACCAAAAAAATTACATCTTGAATTTACACATCACACCGAGTTTTATTCAATACATTTTTCTGACATATAAAAAGATAGATCCTCACCCTAAATTCTACAAAGTTTTGTAAGTTTCTGAAAAATAATCAACCCTAAGCATATCTATATCTATCTAGCCATAACTATATAGGATAGGTTATTATAGTTATGTTTTTCTATGCAGTACTTTCATGTACACAACGCAAGTCGATCACTAATTTTAGAGAGCATGTTTTTTTTCGAATCTGTCGGTGTAACGTGAAAGCAGCATAGAGTTTATTTTCCCATCATGCAGTGCGATCAAAGCCTGGCGCGGACGTTCAAAAAATATGGCAGAGCACTCCACGGTGTTAAAACCAAAGTTGGAGCACACAGAAAAAGCCTCCACTTTCAGCAACACGGACGCTCAAGTAAAAAGGCGTCTATCGTTCTCGTCAGAAAAAGATGTTAGCGCCCTGGAAGAGTTTAGCACAATTTGTTCAGACATAAGTTTACGTAGTGTTTCCGATGACTCACATTCGTGGCCATCGGCAGTGACAATCGCCGAACAGCCCTCAGCGGAACCCGTCAACGAGGACAGAGGTAAAGACTCCTCACCTCAACAGCATGTAATGGACGGATGTGAAGACAAAGAAAATACTGCGAAACCCTCCATAGCCGTTACTGAAGGTAGGTGATAAGTCAGTGGAAGTCTGTGTGTAGGAGGGAGCTTCACGGGTTCAGTCATCTGGCAGCGTGCGAGATCACTGACATGATCCTTGTCTGTTACAACACATTTTTAAGTTCACGATTTTGTGAGATGACCGAAAAATAAAATAATGAATCTGCCTTTTGTTACATTTCATGTATCATTTGTATTCAATAGATTGTTCTCACTTCACCACTTCAATGATCTTTAGGGGGTTAAGTTCATATTCTACAGATCTATTTCGAATAAAGTTTACCTATCATAGGACTATTTTTAAGATGATATAAGTTAGTCATTCATGCTAACGTTTTCTGAAATGTACGTAAACAGCTGAAATGAGGTGTGGTTTTATTTCAACGGTGACAACTCACAACTTCATCCATTAAATCCATTCGTTTGGAGAAAGGTCACCATGCTGTCTGTTTAGCTGTGTTGCCCTCAGATTAGATGTAGGAATGAGTTGATCTGTTCATCTCATTCCCTTTTCTGTGCTCTGACCAAGTCTTCTTATCTCCATGGTCCAGATTGTTTTATCTATGACACATACTCAAATGATGAAATAAAAACAAATTATTCAAATCTGATATACAATCGAAGTGAGGTGGACAAACCTCAATCTGGACTGCGTCAGTGCTGGTTTTGTCAAGACCACGTCTGTTACAAACATAAAATGGTGATTATGAGAGGAAATCAAGTCATTAATCTAAAGGTTTTTCCTATTAAAGACTTGACATATATCTAGTTTCAGTGAGTCAGTATTATGGGCTGATTGTGGCTGACGTGTAATAACACAACATTAAAAACATGTCCAGAAAGTTCTGTTTTCTGAAGGCTGACTATTCTTTTTCTATTACGTATTAAAACAGGGATGAAGGAAGGTACTTCCATATCGGGCCCCGGCTTGTCCTAAGATTTACAAATGTGCCATATTTTTTAACAGAGTGTACAGATCTGATAAGATTTCATGAGATCTGAGCTGGCTCAGTGGTGTGGTTGTAATCTTGCTCTATTTGATTAACATTTCACATGCTCGAGTCAAGGACGAAAAAAAAGGGTGCATTGCTGATTAAAACTCTGTTATTCTGGTTTTGCACAGATGGCATCGAAGGAGAAATGCCTGGTCATGACCCAGTTGATACCGCTAGCCAACAACACCATGACACAGAGGAAAGAAATGCCGAGGTGGTGAAAAGAGCACAGGAGGAGGGCTGTGTGCACGTGGTCTTCCCTGGCCCCGTTACTCAGGATGGCTGCTATCGTTTTGTCAGCGAGATCCTCAAGTGCATCCTGTATCAGAGGCAGCAGCTGCCCATGACCTATGATCAGCTGGTGTACTCTCAGAAGAAACAAGCCTCACTGCAGGTACAGTTGATCCATTCTGAATACTTCAGCGGTTCTCAAATGAGGGACTGTTGTGAATTTCAGATCGACTAACATTATATTGGGGATTTTTTTCTTTTTAGGATGAGGACGCAGTGAGTCGGAGGCCAGTGAAATCTAAGGACATGGACTGGCGTAAATGCCAACAGACCCTTCAGGACTTGGAGGAGGTTCTGCATCAGCTGGAAGTGCTTTTTTCCCTGAGTAAGGTCCCTCGTGTGTTGTTGTTAATTGGAGGCTCCCTCATCCTCCCCAAAGAGCTGTACGAGATCAACATGGAAGACCTGGTGCTGGCTGCCGGGGACCAGTGTCTACGGGTGTCAGCGTGCTTGAGGCAGCTGTTCCGTACGCTTTTTGTTGCCGACCTCCTGTCAGACACCCGACCTGTTCGCATAATGCCCACCACGGTCCTGGCCCTGGCTCACAGGGATTGTGGCGTTGGCTGGTTCCACCCCAAACTGCAATTCAAAGTCCCAGCTCGAGTAAAGAAACATATCATCGCTCTCTCTACTGACCTTAGCATCTGTAAAGAAACAAAAACTGACGGGTCATACTGGCAAGATTATGTGTGGTTTCAGGCACCCACTGCAATTAAGGGCTTTAGCAACTAACCCCAAAAAGTTACATAGGGCACGGTTTTATCTCCAAGCTGTTTTTGAATATTTGAGACAATATTGAACTTAAGTTTGAACTAAGCTGTACATATTTTAATGCATTTAGCTGCATTTGTTTTAGGGGTGGTGATTCAAACAATAGTGAAATACAAGGGGTCGTTGGTATGAATGTTTTTATTTATACAGGACTGCATTACATTAGTTTTGCTCTATATTAAACACAACACACAAGCTGAGTGCAATATATTTTTTACCAAACATAACTTGAATTGTTTAATAAATGACCTGGGCTTAATGTATTAATGTGCCAGTTTCACCTGTGTACACGTTTACAATTATCAAGACCTGCAAATGATTTTATTAAATATTACAAATCAAGCAATAAGATGTATTCTGGAGTACAAAAGGATTAAACATAACAATGACTTGTATGTGCTGTGTGTGGAATGTCAGTAATAGAAAAATAACTTCAGGAGCTTCTTAGAGCTTCTCCACTTTTTTAACAAACTGCATAATGTCGTCGGCCAGCAGCTGTGGCTCTTCAAAGGCGGCGAAGTGGCCCCCCCGAGGCATGAAGGTATAGGAGTAGATGTTTCTGTACCTAACCTGTGCCCACGATTGGGGGCAATGCATAATCTCCTGTGGGAAAGCGGCCACTCCAGTGGGAACAAATATGCCAGTCCTACAACAAAATAAATACTTATTAAAGGACATCACAATCCCAAAATGAACATGGAAAACAGTTTTCTTTTGAAATTTTCATACTTTGAGTCAATCCTTTCATTGGGGTCACTTTTAAAATTTTCTTTGTAGAAGCGCATGGAGGAGACGACGGAACCTGTGGTCCAGTAGATCATGACATTTGTCAGCAGGTCGTCCAGGCTGAATTTTCTGCACAAAAGCAATGTTTTTTAATGGCGTATGTTAAACTTGTTGAATCTGTCTCATTGAATAAAACTACATGTTTTAGGTGTGCCAGTCTGGTTGCTTTTTGCATAGGCTTCTATGACGACCACTATGGATATAGACGATTGTCTCTATACCTCTCCAGCCCTCCATCCATCAGATCTCTGTTATTCATATTAGTCCAAGAGGAGAACTTTTCCAGAATGTAGGCTGCCAAGCCAACAGGAGAGTCATTCACACCACAACCTGCAAAAATGAAAAATAGTAATGGCTGAAATCCTAATCTCCTATCATCAACATTCTATTTCAAATGTAATGAAATTCAGCCATCTTAACTGAAGATTCTTTGTCAGACAGATTATTCCTTTTCTAAATCATCTGTTCTCACCAACAGTGTCGGGTTTAGTGGCCTGAATGTGAAGGTAACCACTTTCCTTCAGGATTGTGTAGACGTTCTTCTCAAAGAAAGGGAAGAGGCGGCGAACATCCTCTCGAGTGAGGCCCACCAGGAAGGGCAGATAAGGGCCAATGATCAAAGACAACAACACCTTGAAACCTCTTGGTGACATACACATGTTCACGTGGAGGCCTTTCACACAGCTGGAATAGGATTTGGAAACAGTTATCAGATGATTAATCGTAAGGCTCGTGGCTATGATTGTGACATTGAGTCAGGATGATGCTCTTCATCAGCCCCAAGCCTCAGGAAACTGTTACATCATTGTTTTCCAGTCATTTGCACACAGTGCAGAATTCTTTCACAGCTGAAGACTGACACAGTGTCCACTTTAACAAACAAGTAGGAAATTCCACTGCTCTGGTTCCTAGATTTTCTCAAGGCCTTATTTTGTACTTACTCAGGCTTCATTTGTGCCATGTTAGTCGTGACAAGAGAGCCCCAGTCACCTCCTTGCACATAGAACTGGGAGAACCCCAAGCGCTCCATCAGTTTCAGAAAAATCCGGGCAGCGGCCAAACTGTCAAATCCTGGAGATTTATAGAAAGACATCAGTATGTGACTGTAGTCCAACCAGAAGACGGACATTGAGAGTCACCCACCTTTTTTATGAGAGGCTTCTGAGTAGCCATAGCCAGGGATAGATGGGATTATGACCTCAAACACAATGCTATCGTTGTTTTGTGTCAGAAGTGGCAGGATCCTGAAGAATTCATAAAAGGAGCCTGGCCAGCCATGAACAAGCATAAGAGGCAGAACCCTCTGATTCCCACTGTGAGACGGTCGGACGTGGATGAAGTGCACGTCGAGTCCTGCACCAGAGCGAGGGCAGAAAAACAGGGGGAGACTCTTCACCAACACTTAGCATAAAACGAAACACTGTTTCTTCCTTGTAGCGTGTTGTGTACCTTCAATTTTGGTTTTGAAGTGTGGATATTTGTTAAGCACTGCCACCTGCTTTTTCCAGTCAAACTCATTCCTCCAGTAGGACACCACTTTCTTGAGGTAAGTAGAGTTGAAGCCATACTGGAAACCACTATCTTCTAAGGGGTCGCTGTAGCGGGTTCTGTCGATGCGCTCATGAAGATCCTGGGAAATAAAACAAGTTGTGACACACAGCTATATTAGACACTTTGTGATTTTTTTTACATGTCTGAAAACTAAAGAGGTTGGTGTAACAACTTTAATCTACCTCAATCTCTTTGTCTGAGGTTTGTACAGTGAAAGGATAGATCTGATCATCCTCATAAGATGGCTTCTCTCCTGATCCCCACCAGCCGTCACCTAGAGGGATGGTTTTCACCTTGTTCCTTCTGTGCACGGCATAAGCCAGTATTCCACCGGCTGCCACAGCAGATCCCAGAATCAGGCGCTGCTGCACAACATCCAGGCCACAGAAAGTTTCCCTGCAAAGCACGGGAGGGCAAATGAGAATCTCTCTGTACGGATTTCCTCTAACGGTTGTGTATGACGAGTAAAACTCCCCTTACTTCAAAAGCTGCAGCCTCTGCATGGTGCTGGTCAGAGCTCACGGGAGACCTTTGACCAGGTAGAGCTAAAAGAGGTAGAGGGTCAATGTGCAATCTCCTAAACGGAGCTTCAGTTGTGTGAAAGTTACTGCCTTTAAACGTACCTTTTTCTGTCACGCTTGACGTGTCTGTTTGTTCTGAAATAGTGATACCTACTACCACAGTCAGAAAGCCAATATCTGGGGTTTGGCGTTCTTAACAATGCCCACGGTAGGAAGCAAAACACGAAGAAGAGTGGAAAAACTCCTGCGTGTCCAGAGGCGGCTCCTGATTGGCTGTTAGTGACGCCCCGCCTCCGTGTCCCGAGCACCCGTGACGTCAGCTTTTTTCATATATCTGACGTTGGGTGGCGTGTGTGTTGTTTTTCTCCTTTCGACTCCCTACTGTGAACGACAGAAAACATGGAGTGGAAGGTTGTTCTCCCCCTTCTTTCGGCGCTGTTCGCGGCGGCGTCCAGCGGCATGCCCGGGGGGCTTTCGGACGCCAACGCCAACGACGAGGGCGTCCGGAACGCCCTGAACTTCGCCGTGGCCCAACACAACACGCGCTCCAACGACATGTACCGCCACGACGTGATGGAGGTGGTCAAGGCTCAGACTCAGGTCGGTGACGTTTTAAAAGGAGAGTTCGTCTGTGTTGTTAGTTTAGCTGCGTTTCTTACTGAACTCTAAGGGGGGGTGACGGGCAGTCCGTGGAGCGGCGGTCCGCGGGCCTCCCACTCAGGCCCTGCGTCGCCATAAATGTTTTCTCTCTATATAGGACGTTTCTGTTAAAAAGGCAGAAGTGAGACATTTGTGTCCAATTTTTTTATGAACCCCGCATCCATTTTGGTTTGTAACAATTACGTAAGAGTTTAGCCTTTCGGATGAGAACATTCTAATCCGCTGCCATCTGAGCCAGTTCAACAAAGCCGTTTGGGAAATAAATGTCATGAGAAGGAGCTCTTCTTATGTTTCAAGAGTTGTGACGATGATCTGCATTTTTGTGTCACCCTTTCCTCTTGACAGGTGGTTGCTGGGGTGAAGTATGTCATAACTGTGAAGATGGTGAAGACTGGCTGCAGAAAGAACTCTGCAAATGAGCAGTGTACCTCCCAGACCAGCCCATCCAAGACTCAGGTGAATAACCTCAAAATGTTTATCAGCACTACACTGTAACGCCTGTCATATTTACTGTATGCTGAACTTTGTCTTCCAGCCTTACCAGTGCACATTTACTGTGTGGAGCCGCCCATGGCTGAATGACATCAGATTGCTTGATACTGCGTGCTAGAGAGGAAACTATGTGGAAAGTCACCTGGGTTGACTTTATTGGCAGAATAGCAACCACAGTCGACTTTACTGCTCCTGTAGATGAACTATAACATCTACCATCCATTTTCCTTGTCTGTTACTTCCCTGTAAGATGAATAACGTGTATCAAACTTTACACTATGCAATAAAGAGATGTCTTTAGGAAGATTTTCATAACTTCACAAATCAAAGCAAATGAGAAGCAACTGTGTACTAAATTGTTTTAGCTGATTAAAAATGGCAAAATCTTAAAATGGAAGTGGCTTGTTTAGTTTTTGGACATTTGTCTTGTCTAACATTGGTCATATAAGATTAATGTAGTTTGAGTGTGAGTCCCCAAATCATAGTGGGAGTTCACTTGAAATGTTTTTAAAGAAGGCAAGGCTAAGATCATGTGAAGTGTTAAAATCCTGACTAATAGGCAGGTGATGACAAACCAGGCGGTCACTGGTTGGGATGCATGTCAAAACACGAAGGGTTGAAATGACGTGGGAAATGAAAGCAACACAGGTATCAGAAGAAAGGAGCACTCAGGACCACACCCCCCGCAGATGCCAAGAACATCTCTGCACAGACTGTCCTGGGAACAGATAAATAACTGTACACACACTTTAAGCTCCGTGGAGGCCTGCATGAACAGAGGTGGGGAAATTAAAACGCTTTTCATTTTCAAAGTCAGAACCGGAAGTTGCTTCCTTCGGTGGACAAATTCCAAGTTCAACGCTGCAAGATCCGCTGGCCGGCAATCAATCATTTACGGAAACTGACCCGTATTGTGTCGCACAACCAGTTTGGAAGATAAATACTGGTTTATCAGGAAAAACTGCGAAGAGCATGAAAGTCCTAAACAAAGAGGAACTTCTGACCGCTGAGGGAGTTCTGCTGAAGCACTTACCGAAGAGTTATAAGGTAGACAGCTGTCCGCCACTGACCATTTACTCGTCCCTGCACTGTTAAAGCAGGAGTGCTTTTTCTGCTTTGGTTTGTTTTAGATCTACGGATTCCTATACGGTATAAACCGGGACAAACCCAGTACCCTTGAGGTTATCGTTGACCAGTGGCCTGATTTTAAAGTGATCATTTGCCGACCTGACGCCAAGGTGAGTTCACGTTGAGGACATATAATTGGAAATGCTGGAACTCTTTCCAGATTGACGTACTTGCATAGACAGATTTACGCGTTGCCTTCACAGAACGAGCGTGCATTGGATTTCATGAAAAAGGTGTCATTGTACAGCACCGACGAAAAGATTTTAAGGAAAGTACTGAGAGAAGAAAATGCAATTGACTGGAGCACTTATTTCTTAATTGGAGGTAGGTGTTAGCAGAACTAACTTGGAAGATTTTGTAATAATTCAAGAGTTGGAATTGAAAAATCTAACCATCAAATGTGGCCTTTAAATCTTACATAACATCACCTTTTATTATCAAAATGAAATACTTTAACCAGCTTGAATTCAATTGCTTTTCTAAATATATTTTTAAAAATAAACAGAAATTGTTGACAAAGTTGTAGATACATACTGACTTATTTAACTGACAAAGAGTTATCTACACAGCTGAAGATACAACTCTACAACTAAGATGATCAGATTACCACATTTAGGAAAAAACATTACTTGATTTTAGCATTAGTAGTTACACATTTTCTGGTTGTTTTTGCAGCTGTTGTTATAATATGGATCTGCTGTCTTAACATGGTCAAAAATGGGAATACTTTACCAGTGTAACAGAGAAAATATATCAATCTGCTTTTGTCACATAGGATTTGACTTTTCCTATGCACCAATGCTAAGAGAAATATCTTCTGAAAGAGAGGTCAACAACAGAGACTATACTTTGGTCCGCCTTTTGTATTTGCCAGACATCAGCTTTCTGCTCAGCCCAGCGGTGGACAGGTATTGTCAGAAACACTTCAATTGTCTTAAGAATACAAAGAGCACTTCAGACTGTATCAAACATGAGTGTTTTTCTTTCTTTCCTAGTGAGCTTGAATCAAGGGTGTCGTCTCTTAACCTCTCTCACGTCGACTTAGTAAATAAAACCTGGAAGTTTGGCGGGAACGAGCAGGGTTACAGGAACATCAAACATCTGATAAGCAACTTCCCATCCAGCTGCATCATGGACGTTCAGGGGCAGCCAGTGGCCTGGATGCTGGCATATGACTACTGTGCCATGGGGATACTGTACACCCTGCCAGAGCACAGAGGAAAAGGCTATGCCAAAGTGCTGGTCAGCACAATGGCAAAGAAACTCAACGCTGAAGGTTACCCAGTTTATTGTTTCATTGAAGAAGGCAACAAGGTGTCTTACAAACTCTTTCAAAACATGGGCTTCACTGAAGATATCTCTTACAGAGCAGCATGGTTTGAGTTCAACTTTTGATCTTGTAAATGGCAGAATTTGGAGTTTACCTAATAGACATGTTGTGATCTAAATTGCATAATGTATCAAAAATAAACATTTGGCCAAAGGTTGTTATTAAGTATTTAATAGTGTATGGCACTGTACAGGATTGTTATCCTCGTTGTCAAAACTTTACAAATATTTGCCATAGTAAACCCCCTTTTTTAGACTTGTACTTGAAATAAACAATCCAAAATATTATTCTCGCGATATTTGTACATTAATCCACACATCTACATTTTAATTGTTTCAACTCAAATTTAGCTCACAAACGTTTTTTTTCTACAGTCTAAAAAAATAGCAACATTTTTTTTAATGAATAAAAACTCCAACAACTTTGCAACAGCAACGTGAGCTGTCAGTGAAGGGGTCTCGTGCCCACGTGCTCCCTTGTTTTCACTTACTTAATGCTCGCGTGCGGAGAGTGCGACTCGGGAGAGTGGGCAGAGAAAATAAAACCGCTTTCTGAACCAGATAGAAGCTCCGTACATTTGTTTTACACTATTCGTGTTGTGAAGTTTACAATGGAGCTGTCAGGAGACCAGCTCAAAGTAGCTGAAGCACAACTGAGAAGATACTTACCTCGGTCACAGCAGGTTTGTATTTTTTATGAATGCATGTCTCCCTCCAAAAGCACTCTATTTTTTAGCGCAATCATAATCCGTTATCGTTTTCTGAAAATATACCTCACTTTGGTCTTTAGGCTAAAATGTGTTCTGTTTTCTATTTTAGGTTTACGGTTTCCTGGTTCTCAGAAACCGTGTAAGATCAGATCCCGTCCAGGTTTTAGTGGACAAATGGCCATTGTTCAGCGTCATTATCTGCAGACCACAGAATGAGCAGGTACTGGTGAGGGGTTTTGAACAGACGCACTGGTTTAGAATCAACTATCTGAGAGCAGATGTGTTTGCATTTCTATGTTTTGTCCGTGCAGAACAGTGATCACTTCAAAGACATCCTGGTTTTTTCGAAAGATGAAGCTATTCTAGAAGAAATCATAAGATGGCCTTCCGTAATTGACTGGAGCAAGTATATTTGTCTGGGTAATAGAAACGTACTATATTTCACCCTGTTAAAAGCTAGGTGGTCTCCCATAGACCTACCTAACACAGATCTATCCCCCCTGAATTGTGCTGTAAACTGGCATTGACTTAAAAGTTGCTCTTTAAGTTCAAAGTCCTCCCATGGCTCTGATTATGAATTTGATTTCACAAAGTTATTGCATGGCCTTTATCTACTCACCTCAATAGGTTATGAGGACAAAGATCAGAACCAATGTCTAACACAGGCAAAGGTTTTTTAAAAATGACAATGGCCAACAAAAACCTTATGTTTTCCTTTCCAGTAACATCAGATTTTTTATTTATCATCTATCAGACAAACGAGAAAGAAAAATATTGAGTTTTAACTCCTGTTTAATGATACTAACACACCAATGCACATAAAGTCCAACCCGTTTCTGCTTTTATTGCTTGTGTGTAAGGGACCAGTCTGCCTAACATGGAGATCATCAAAGCAGTGGCGTCAGAAAACAACGTGCCCAGCACCAAACTGGCAGTGTGCCGCATGATGACACTGGAGGACGTATCTAAACTCCCCGCCACCGACTGGTAAAGCTAGCTCCACAGTACATCCACGTATTAATCACAGGCTTTGGCTGGTCTTAACCTTTACAAATGAAACATTTCTTAAATAAAATGCACTAAAAATCCATGTGCTCTCTCCTGCACCAGCTCCGGGGTTTCGCTGGGCTCCTTGGATGAGTCGCACCTTGGCTTGGTCAATCAGACATGGAAGTTTGGAAAGAATGAGGGAGCTTCACGGATGATCCGCAATATGATTGCAAACTTCCCCTCGTGCTGTGTGCTGGATGCCGATGGAAAGCCGATATCCTGGATCTTAACCTATGCGTCTTGTGCCATGGGGATGCTGTACACCATGCCGGAGCACAGAGGGAGAGGCCACGCCAAAGTCCTCATCCGCTGCATGTCCCGGAGGCTCCGGGCTCAGGACTACCCGGTGTTCTGCTTCATAGAGGAGGAGAACAGCGTCTCCTATCAGCTCTTTAAGAACATGGGCTTTACTGAAGCCCCCTCACACAGAGAAGCATGGTTTGGATTTAATGACTCTGGAGTATTTTAATGGAATGCAAAATATATGTTTAAAAATCCACCGGTTAGGTTAAAAAAAATATTCTTTTTTGTCAAAGAGTTTTTTGTTGAGTTTTGTTGCAAAGAATAACATCGATCAGCATGAGTAGTGACTCAGATGTGGGGTTAAGCAGCCCTCTTACTGGAGTATTTAATATCTTTACAGTAAACACTGCATGTCAGCAGACCTCTACACACACATCATCTTTTTTCTGGTGAAGAACTCGGTGGATGACTGGATCTGAAATGAAGAAACAAAAATCTTAATGCAGGTTAAGTGTAAAAAAAAAAAAAAGCCGGCCTTGAATGGACGGGAACTAAAAATCTCTGCTCTGTGGCGCAAGCTGATTCTGATTTTCTTTTTCTTTTGTTGCAATCTAGCCATAGAGAAAGGTTTATGTGACCCAGAGAGCTGTCATTGACTGGTTAGTGTTTCACTAGGAACAGAGACACCTGTAGATCTGTGGGAAGACACTTACAGCCAAGATGGATGTTTTTTGAGTTGCTAAAGCTCGCTCACTATTTAACATTTTCAGGTGTACAAGTGCTTCAAATATTCAAATGAACCATTACACTGATTTCAAGTTGATTTCTGGATACTGGCGGAGACTAATTTTAAGTTATGGTTTATGTCATCACAGACTGAACCCATTAGTTAAATGTATAACACATGTAGTCTAAAAACATGTATGTGATAATGGATATTAAATTACTTTGGAGAGAATAAAAAATAATAAAAAAACTCTGTCCACTGATTACTTTTGCTCTGTGAAGTCTTCCAGGCGCAGCAACCAAGCTCTCCAGTATTCAGACATCAGCTCTGAGTTGAGCTGGTGAGCATGGGCGGGCGAGCCATCTTTGTAGGCCACAACAATGAGTCCATTTTCAACCTACAGAAGAAGACATCAGTGTTAGGGATGGAAAAAGACATCTTTCAGGAATCAGATATAACTGCACAGCCATCATTAAACTGATTCAGTAACCTGATATTTGTAGTTTTTATCATTATTTAAGGCCCCAGCGTAGGCTGCCACTTGAACAGGGTTGTCGTAGGTGTTGCTCAAAAAGGGTTTGGGTTTTTCTGAGGTCTTCCAATCAATAACACATAGTACGCCCCTGCAAAAAAAAAAAAAAGGGATGTCGGGGACATGGCGGCAGTAAGAAATTTCAAGTCTATATTTGTTTGCAGATTAGGATTTGTTACCTATAGCGAGCTACACAATCCACGATTCCCAAGTAGTTCAACGTCTCGTGTTGCACAGTGCTTTCGATGGCCCTCACTGCACCCACGTCCTCCAGTATGTGAGATATGCTCTCCATGTAGCCTTGCACTTCAGGTGGATATTCAGGGGTCTCTGAAGGAGCTGTTGCGGCCGAAGTCATGTAGTCCTCCAGAGCTGAATGGAAATGCTTCCCTTGTCTAAATATATCTGTTTGAGTACAACAGAATCAGAGTCACATTAAATTAGAAGGAACCTCATTCCTTTGCAAAAGATCACCAGCTAAAGGTGACTGGTTGTGGTGATGTTACTTCAGTGTTTAAAGTCTTACTTCGGCTGTATTCTTTGAAGCCCTCCTCTCCAAGTTCTGAGATCATCCTCCTCTTCCATCTCTCCAGGTAGAAGATCTGCTCTGGAGAAAGTGTCTGCTGAAGAACCCGCGTCACACTCGGTACAGAAGACCTACCCTGTCCCCGATTTAACGGAATCCGGACTGGGGTTTCTGGTTCTGGCTCTTCAATTTCTGGAGTCCGTTCGTAGTCAAAGAAAGGATGGGTAGTTTTGGGTACCCTCCTCTCAGTATGTGTGGGCATTTGAGCTTTAACTACAGGTCCATAAATGTGCTCGTCTTCTGCTTGGAGGGTCTCGGGAGTTTGGGAGCTAACCCTGGATGACATAACAGCTTTAACAAGAGAAGAGTAGCGTTCACTGTCGACTGAGCTGTAAGGACTGTTTCTTTTGGGAGATATCAGACAAGGGCAAGCAAAAAAGTGCATCACGGGGAGGGAGGCGGTCTGTGGGGCAATGATGCCGCCAACAAACAAAACACGATTCAGAATGAACATTCTGGTTATTTTCACAAAACAAACTCAAAGGGCTAACCTTTTAACTCACTAACAGCATAGAACTCTCGTAGTTTCGAGTTTGTGCAAACTAAAAACAAAAGTTTTGAATTCGTTTAGCGCAGATACTTGCCCTAACATGTTCCAGTAAATTTCGTCCAAGCAAACTCTAGTTTCTAAACGACTCGCCTTTTTGGTGGCACAAATCCCTTACGGCTGGGACTTGAAGTTTCGAGCACGACCTAATGGCTACATTTGTCCCTGTATAAACTACAATACCCATACGAAGCAGTGTAGCTTTTAAATATATCCGTGTGGTCATGGACTTGGAACTATTAGGTGAGAATAAAGCTAAGAGTTGTCATTTCCATTTTCTTATTTCTTCCATTGAACCATACTTTTTCGTAGCTTCACAAACTTACAAGATTATTATTGTCAAAAATGTTTTTTCGAGGAGCGGCTACGGTACTATGATATGATTGAGAAGTTTCATAACCAATCCCAAAGTGCGTTGGATTGGAAGTAACCAATTATATCAATTCAAGACGGAATGGGGCGGATCTTTCGTCATCAGGATTGGGGCGGCGGAAAAACGATTTGACAGTTGTTAGGCTGCTAACCAGCCACCGAGAAGACGTCTTCCTGCAAATAGTTTTGTTAAATAGGTTGGCTTTGGTTTTGCTATTTCAATACCATCATGACAACCCTAGACGAAAATAGTAAGGAAAAGGTAAGTTAAATGCCATGTCATGTAAACTGCACAGCGCGTCAATAATGACAGTATCAGAATTGATAGCTAACAATAACGATCGGTTTCTGGCTAAGTTATTGAGTTGTTCTTGCTCTGCTAGCCAATGGCTAAAGCTAGCCAAGGATAGAAAATATTTTAGTTATTAAAAAGTGAAGTGGATTACTACACTTAAAAAAAGTTTGGTTTCTTTGCGTAGCCTCATGAAGTGAACATGGTGAGACACGTAATCCTTGCTGTTCATCACAGTTTACCGTATGGCGTCGAAATGAAAAAAGAAAAGTGACTTGGACCTTTTTCCCCTCACCTTTAACTAGGATAAAGCGGTTCGTTTTGCTGCCCTGTGCCAAATGCATTCATCTTTTTGTTAACTGATATTATTCCCATCCCGCTTGAAGTTGAGAGGACTTCAGAGTGGGTTTTTGGGAGGGATTTTAGTTGCTTCAGAATGGAAACAAAGCCTTTTAGTTTTACCATTTTCGTCCAGTCTCTCTGTCTCATGCAAAGTTAACTGGTTTTCATTCAACGCACACATCTTACCTTAAAACTTCATTTGAACAAGACGATTGTCATTATGAATAGTTTCTGCTGCGGTTTATCTTTCCACCGGAACAACAGGGGCATGGAGCTCCACTTTAAACCCAGGGAGGACTAAACCTGTCCCCCCAGGCTGTTTACCTTACTTTGACTCCTTATGCTTCATTCATGGAGGAAGCCTTGCACTTCTAAAGCTCTTGTGCTTGTTCGGGATATTGTCTATTAGATGACTCTATGGAAGGAAACATGCTTTAGTTAAATGTTCATGTTAAATGTTTTCTTCTTGATCTTCAATTTCTTTGGTAGGTTTTAAATCTGATTGAGACCAGTGGCCATTCCTCCAAACAAATGGCTTCAAAAAGACCAAGAGGATTTGTAGAGATAATAAACATTGTGCTGATTTAGTTACAAAAGACATGTGCATGTCATATTTAGGTCAGTATGAACAGAGTGCCTGCCCTCCTCTGTATTGCAATATAGATTCCCCCCCCCATAGTTTTGTAATGGCTCAGCAGCTGATGAAACTATGTCTGTTCTGTGTCTAGAACATTTTAAGTGTTGTATTCTAAACAGAAATCATGCTCCAAGTTTACTGTTGATAGTGCTTTAGTGTATCATTACATTTAAAAGCAAAATGAGGTGACTCCACTAGAATTAAAGATATTTAAAAAATAATAAGAACCTAAACCTGTTGAAAAGTAACCAAAAAAGGACTAAAGCCCTAGTAGCGATGAAAAAGTGAAAATAAAAAACCTTTTGCCATGTGACCCTTTTTGTGCATTAGTGAGGCTGACTCTTATTAAGTGACCTCTCTGTATATTTTTTCGTTAGTTGCGCTCTGTGTCTGTGGACCTGAACAATGACGCCTCTCTTCTCATTGACATCCCCGATGCACTCTGCGAAAGGGACAAGGTCAAGTTCACGGTCCATACAAAGGTAATAGACTTTTGTACCCCCAGCATTCGCATATTACTGAACACAAACATATTCGTAAACCTGAAAATATTCTAAAGTTGTACTTACTGAGAACCTTTCCTCAGACCACACTTAGCTCTTTCCAGAAGCCAGAGTTCTCTGTGCCACGTCAGCATGAAGACTTCATCTGGCTGCATGACACCCTGGTTGAAACCGAGGACTATGCTGGCCTAATAGTGAGTTGGACATCTGACAGACTCCACTAACATGTTAATATCTTAGATATGCAAAATAAATATAGCGCAAATTGTCTTCGACTTCTGGATTTCGTTTTTTTTATAAAAAGGTAAAGTTCACTGTCATTGGGTTGTTAATAATCTTTAGGGAGTGAACATTCTATTTGACTTGATAGTATTTTACACAATGGAATGGGTCATGTGCTCTGTGACGTTCAGATCCCCCCAGCTCCTCCTAAGCCTGACTTTGAGAGCCCAAGAGAGAAGATGCAGAAACTGGGCGAAGGTGAATCCACTATGACCAAGGAGGAGTACACTAAAATGAAACAGGAGCTGGAGGCGTAAGGATGACATTCATACAGAACAGCAACTACTGAATTGCACCAAGCAGTGATTTATGGCCCCTTTTCTTTCTTTCATTTTTCAGCGAATACCTGGCCGTATTCAAGAAAACTGTCCAAGTGCATGAGATCTTCTTGCAAAGACTGTCCTCTCACCCCATTCTAAGCAAAGACAGAAACTTCCAGATTTTCTTAGAGTATGACCAGGATGTAAGTTCCACATAATGCTGACTTCCTTTCCAGGGTTGTCAGTTGGAGAGAGAGGAAGTGGAGTTTACTGGAGACTTGTGACATATGGCACACATTCTGCTGTGATCAGCGCTTGTGCTTATCTGTGCAGTTAGTAGCAGTGATTTTCTGACCAAACATGGCTCCTTGTACAGACTGCTTTATATTGTTAAATCAGCCTAGCAACATATTTATGAAAACAGGAGTCTGACAGATGATCAAAGGCTTCTGTAAAATATAGCTTACTCTTCATAGAAGTATAAACATAACCTTATTTTATTTGCCGTTCTTTTTAAGCTTTTATTATCAGTTGCTTTCATTTGATTGGTTTCATTCCTATTGGAATCCTGTCTTTTTCTTTTTTAGCTCAGCGTGAGGAGAAAGAATGCCAAGGAAATGTTTGGAGGATTTTTCAAAAACATGGTTAAGTCAGCTGATGAGGTTCTCATCTCAGGAGTAAAGGTGGGCTTTGTCATTGTACATGTATGACAGTATTACAGCTCCAAGGTAGCCACTTCCTCAATAACTATTTCAGTGTTTGTTTTTTTGTTTGTTGGTTTCTGAATAGGAAGTTGATGACTTTTTCGAGCAGGAGAAGACATTCTTGCTCGACTACTACAGCAAGATAAAAGATTCCACTGCGAAAGCAGAGAAGATGACTCGCTCGCACAAAAGTATCTGATTTTTACTCAACATTATCAAACAATGTGGTTGTTTTCTATGTCTGACTGTGGGCCATCATTTGTATTAGAGCTTTGCTTCTTTCTGTCTTGTTTTGCAGATATTGCAGATGATTACATCCACATTTCTGCCACTTTGAATGCAGTCTCTGCTGAAGATGGCACTGGAAATAAGAAGTAAGTGCAACAGATAAATTAGGAATTTTCATTGAGGTTAACCTGTTTGTTCTTTTTTAGTCTTATTGGTTTCTTTCCCTGCTCCCTAGGACCCTGGACAGACTGTCAGACTTGTTTGAGAAGTTGCGAGTAAGTATGAACCAATCAATCCACAAACAGAGGCATTTTTTCATGGTTCTTTCAAGCTTGCTCAAGCACTTATTTTTCTTGTACTTTGTGTCTACAGAAAGTGGAGGGGAGAGTCGCTTCTGACCAGGAGCTGAAGCTGACCGAGCTGCTAAGATACTACATGAGGGACATCCAGGCTGCTAAGGTGAAACATGTGGGCTTTACCTCCTGCTGTCACTCAGTGATGTGAACCTTGTAGCCCGTTTTTGCGTTCAACACACAGCTGTACTTCAGACTTTTTATGTAACCCTCTCCAAACAGGACAAACAAACACTGACTGTGTTTTCAACAGATCCAGGCTCAATATTAATCCTCTTCAGTCCTTCATGAGTAAACCTGAATGAAGATTAGTGGTAAAATGGAATGAGAAAGAAAACACTGGAAGCGCATAAGTGTTTGTAAAATGAGCTAATTTGTCTTCTTATTGCAGCTGCACTGCTAAATGATCTTTAGTTTAGCAAAGTTAGTTGGTGGATGTACCACTTTCTCAAATTGAAATGAATTCCTTAACAGTCATTTTGGCCATTTGCAGCTATTAATATTAGAGCTCATCTATTAATTTTTTTAAATATATCCATGTCAGCTTAACCCCCATTTGTTTTTCATATTTGGGAAACTGTTTCAATCTTAGGACCTTCTGTACAGAAGAGCCCGGGCATTAGCCGACTATGAGAACTCTAACAAGGCTTTGGACAAGGCTCGACTGAAAAGCAAAGACATTCCCCAGGCAGAGGAACACCAACAGCACTGCCTGCAGAAATTTGACAAGCTCTCAGAATCTGGGAAGAAAGGTGTGGGAGCTCACATGTGGCAGATGCACTTGTGCTTTGTTTTGTGTGCGTGAAATAGCATTGGATGAGCATACTCACTAACAAACAATGTTTTTCTCTCAGAACTCACCAGCTTCAAGGGCAGACGTGTCATGGCCTTCAGGAAGAACCTCATAGAAATGGCTGAGCTGGAGATTAAACATGCCAAGGTGAGCAGCCAGCTGTGTGTGTCCTGCTTTGTAATCTAGTGTGGCTGCGTTTGCAGTTTGTGAGTTACGAATCTGTGTCCATAACTCTATAAAACAAAGTACACAGTATAAAAGTTGGTGTGGGAAAGGAAGTCTTTTACTCTCCTTGGTGATGTATTATTTAGCCACCAAAAGCTCCCAAAAGCTTTACAAATAAGTGTTTTGTTGCCATTTGACCTTATATTTAAAGAAGTTGCTCTTCCAGTTGCCACATCCTGCATCATTACATCACATTTACTCATAGAATTTTCAAAACGATAGGTAATAATAATCGTGCATTTACACAGAAACGATAATGAGGTCTGAGGAATACTGTCTGTCTTGTAAGGCGTGCCACTGGGGCATTGAGAAAAAGGCTGCCCCTCACACCAGAGCGGTTATGCTTACTACGATAACTGTAAGTGTCTTTTGTCTCCACAGAACAATGTGACTTTATTGCAAGGATGCATTGAGCTGCTCAAGAGCAACTGACCAGTTTACTGATATTTATGTTTCACCATCACAAAGTGACCAGTCAGCAAATGGAAACCCGGCATCAGGGGGGCTTTGCGTGTACATGACTCCAAGCTCCGTGTCTGAAGCCACCTGCGTCTGAAACAACTTTAAACCCCACTGTAAGCCTAAATATCTGGTAGACATAACGGCTCCCTGTCTACAGAGACCCTGTCACCTGACCTGCGGCCCATCCTTTTTCTTTGGAAGTCTATTCCAATGTCAGTCTCTGGAGAACAAGACTTCCAGCATGAAGGTCTTCCATATTTATGCTGCATTTATGAATGTGACATGCCTCAATTTCTCATGTTTGGTATACACTTGGTGCACATCTTGCCTTTGTTTCAGATTATTTTTCTGGGTCAAATGTTTGCCTCCTTTCTGGTTCTAGCTTACCCACAAATACACTATTTGACTTTTTCTAGACTTGGATCATTTTTTTGAGCATCAACAAATTCAATCAATTTTGTATTTAGTAAAAAAAAGAATTTGTTATGGATTATAGATGTTTTCTGTTTTTTTCTGCTGCATTTGTGTGATGTAATCAGCAGCTCATTCATCCCATCTAACTGCCTATTTATTTACTTTACATGAATTCACATTACATTATTTTCTTTCTCCTTTGTGTTACTGATGGTTTTTCACACATTATGCCACATCCCATAAACAGTTTGTTTATAAAAAAAAAGATGCACTAAGAAGATTATTGATTTCCCTCTACAATCACGACCAAGCTCAGTGGAGTGTTAAAATGCATTGTAGTTTTATAAGTAATTACATTTATTTCTTTAAAAAAAAAATCCAACTGTGCAAATTTCTTTTCATGAATCTTTTCTTACAGAACCTTTTATAAATTTGTAATAATGACATTAAATAGATTCTACTTTCCTGAGTTTTGTGTTTGTTTAGCGTCTCATTTCTTCTGACATCTCTCAAGATGTGCAGGTTAGTCTGACAGCTAAATCAGCCTTGATATGATTTACATATCATTCCACCAGGTGGCAGTATTCACCCACCGACTGCTCCCAGGCCCCACTAAGCTTTACCATGTGGCTGCCTGAATTTAAACGCAGCTGTGTGTATGCTTGTGTTAAATCCATTGACCACTGTGAATCCTGGAATGAGACAGTGTGGTGTATTAGGTAAGCTTTGAGGAAATGCCAAGAATCTCTTGGGATTTACTACCACTGAATGCCCCACATCAGCAACAACTCAGCGGTCTGGGTTCAACATGCAACATTTAGAAACCAGCCCAACTCAGAGTTTAACACTTTGTGCATACCCATATTTATATAAATACAGAAAAATACCTTGAAAAGTAGTGCTATTGTATTATTATGATCTGGTTATGACCATGTAAAAGATTCAAAAGTAAAAGGATAAATGCGGTTGACGCATTCAAAGTTTAAATGACCAGAAGTCTGTGTGTGTGTGTGTGTGTGTGTGTGTAGGGAGAGAGAGACCTATTTGGGTGTTTTTGTCAAAAGCAGTGACCCCAGCTGCAAAGTCACAGTAACCTGTCAGGTTTAGTCTACTCTCCCATTGGACTGAATTATAGACTCTGACCATTGAGCTTGCAGCAAATTATCAGTGCAAACAGATTCTTTTTCCAGCTGTGGCCGGAGAGCAAACAGTTGCATAGCATTAAAGAACCACCTCCATGCTGAATACAAAGAGCAAAGCCTGTCTTTGTGACATCCAGAATTCTTAAGACCTGAAATGTGACTTTGGTGTTTGTTTGAAGTTATCAGCCCCAAATCCATCCTAAAATATAATGCTATAAGAATAGTGTATCGGCTCTATATCCCGATTTTTGCATTCCTGAAATGTGTGTGGGTGTGTGTGTTCAAACTTGGAATCAATCAGACCTCGGAGATCAATCAGACCTCTGAGGCAATATTGCTCTGTTGACACTTGGGGGTTCAAACTGCAGAAAAGTAGTATATATATATATATGTCCATAACTTGTTCTTTTTGCCAGAAATAATGGATTTAAGACCTTCTCTGTGGTCCTTGGTGTTTATGACAATGAACAAATCCTGGGTTGCACTCATAGCAAATGACACACAAAGACAGTCTTGAATAAAATCAGAGAAAAGGGCAACTTCGCAGCAGCTGCTCAGTTTCTTTGCTGCGTCATTTCAACGAATAAAAGTGTTGCTGAGTCGGCTACTTCTTTGACAGGGTATGTACTCAGGTGAGTTGCTGCATCATCTCACAGCACCTGCCTCAAGTTGCCAGTCCTCCGCTGGAGGGTCAAGATGAGTGCGGGCAGAAACCTCAGAGAAGGATCCTCACATCCTACATGTGGCGGGACTTCATTAAAGAGAAAGTGCTCCTGCAGGGCTTGCTGACGTAACTGGATCATCTGTGCTTCCTTAGTGAAACGGAACAGGATGCTTCTTCCTGGTGCCTTTCAAGTCAAATTTGCAACCAGATTCTTTTACTCTTTTTTCGATCTTTCAACTTTCTGAGTACCAGTGTTGAAAGTTCATGCAGAAACAGTAATGTATCCACACATGGTGGGTTTTGTAAGAGCTAACTTTCCAAAAAAAAGTGGGAGCAGTGGCACGTTTACAGCTGTTCTGCATCATCCCTTTTTTAAGCACTCTCAGTCTTAGTGAAGTGCGGACAGTTCTGTTGATTTGAACACAAAAGTGCTTTTCTATTCTTGCCTCACACTGGCATTTAAGTGCCTCAGGAGTTTGCATTCTCCTGTGTGGTATGCTTTATCAAATCAATTTGAAAAGTCTGAACTCCCTTCAAGCCGGTATGTCAACAGTGGACTTGCTCTCCAAAAAAAACAAATTCTACCGTACATGTAGATGCTGAAAAAGGGCCTCACCTGAAAAACTAATAATGTGATTGACATAGATTTCTGTTTGTATCATTCTGCTTATATAAGAAGATACTTCCTGGATTAGGAACAATGTGCAAACATCAAAATGCCTGTTGGAGTCAGACTCTATTAAATTATTCTATACTTTGGTTCCAAGATGCAGTTTGTGCTCCAGCTAGTTGATTTAATTGTTGTTGTGAGATTATAGATTCAAAAGAAGAGTTTCTCATTGCATTCACTTGACATTAACAGTATCCCCATGGGAATTTAGCTGTTGGTGCCCTGTTGTATAATGCAGAAAAGGTATAATTCTAATATTTATTATTACGCCATACAAATTTCCTTGAAGAGTTAAGCAAATATAAACCAAACGTACACCAAACGTTGTGAGTGAAAAAGAGACTGAAAATACTGTTCATCATTTATAGCAAATATGCAAATTAGTGGGGAAATAAATGGGAGATCGGTTTCAGAACAGTTTGGTTTCCATGAACATCAGGGTCTTTTATATAGATACATTCACATACATCAGATTTACATTTTTGTTTCATTCTAAGATGTACATGTTTTTATGAGAACTGTGACAGACTGAAATGATTATAACTCTAAGAAAATCACTAATAATCCTATGTTTCCATTTTAAAACAAAAGAAAAACTCTACACTGCTGTACTTCCACAAGAAGAAAACACAGAAAAACCCTCTTCCCTCCCCAGTGACACCCACCAGCCCCTATTTGGGGGGTACCCAAGGGGTCCCCAGGCCAGAGGAGACATGCATAATCCTTTCAGCATGTCTTGAGTCTGCTATAGGGCCTCCTAGCAGTGTGATGTAAAACAAAAAACTCCAAAGGGAGGTAACCAAAAGGAGCCCTGATCCAACTGAGGTGCAGGAGTCCCTTAAGTACAATGACAGCCGTTTGGCTAACACTTACACCGTTGAGAGCACAATTACTAAAACGTGCTCTCTTGTAAATGTAACACCATTATCAGAATGTGTCCATTTGAAAGTACTTCTGTGGACACTTTATTAATACACGTAATTCCTTGTTCAAACAAACAGTTTTTAATGGACTGAAAGCCGTTATCTTTGTAACTCATCAAAAGACTACAACTCCCATCCACTCTTCTTCCGCCTTTGGGTCATTCCAGCCAATCAGAAGCCTTCTAAATTTATGGCAGCTCTCTGGGGCACGGGGCCAGCGCGTCTAGCCAGCTCGAAGTGCCACGACTTCACAGCCGACCACGGACCCAGCGGAGTGAGGGGAGAGCTGTGGAAAAAAGCAAGTTAGCTTTAAAGGGTGCTTTAAACAGAAGTAATTCCGCTCCAACTTCAGGCATTTTACCCTCAATCCATCTCCTTTGAAGCACGCAGACGTAGCCTTATCAACAGCGCAGTAAGTGTGGGATTGTTGGGATTTTTTATTCATTGAGCCAGGGTTGGCTAGCTTGGAAAGCTATCTATTGCTAAGCCTTGGGGTAACTAATGGAATAAAAAATATTCCATACTGAAGTGATCTAAAAACTTTCTTTCTGCCCCTATCCGAGCAGTTTTTAGATTTTAAATCTTTGCTTGTTAGCGCAGCCTTATTGCGTGTGTCCACACTTATGCAGGACACTAGCAAAGTTCATTGATTCATAATGTTAGCTTTCCAGCTAGGTTGCAAATATTGATTAAAAAGTATCTCGCATATGATGATTTAAGAGTTGGTTTGGTGCCCTTGCGTACGGGCTGTCCTTTTAGCAAAGCACGCTTTTCACATCGAGGTCTCAGGACCACGACAAGCTTGGTGTTAAGTAAACAGCTGACGGGAAAAAAAAAACTTGTTGGTAACAAAGGTTTTTCTGTTACGAGTATACTATGAGTACCGTTATATTTTTTTCCCCCAAACTATCAGAACAGGTCTCGTCACCAAACAACTGAAAGACGAAAGATATCTGAAGATAGTCGTTAATGTCCTAATGCGTCGAGCGCGAGCTACAGTCTGCACGACGACGTCCAGACGTTTCTGTTTGTTTTTTTTAAAAACCTTCAATAAATACATGTCGTTTGACACCTGGCAGAGTTTAGTCTAATGGAAGCGGCAGCCCCCCGCCGGGCCCTGGTTTTGGGGAAGGGGCTGCTCCGTTGGCCGCCGGCGGGCAACGGAGGGGGACGGGGACTCTGGACTCTGTTTTGATTACGTTAAAGGAGCTCAGCGTTTTCCCTCCGCGGTGCTTTCGCGTAAATCGAGTAAATCTCCAACGATGTCCTCAGCTGAATAAAGATAACATTCCCGACGCTGATGGAACACAAACAGGGCTGGAATGAGGGTGCTGCGGGCAGAAAGTGCGGAGGTCTGTGAGCTGTCCCGGTCCGGCCCGGCCCGGCCCGGCTGGAGTCGTCCCTGGACGCTCTGCTCTCTGACTGGAGCTGCGGTGGAAAGGCCCTTCAACAGTTTTTTTCCCTTCTTTTTTTTTTCCCTTTTTTTTTTTTTTTTTTGCAAGAGGACAGGAAATTAACACAAACCACCAGCCAACTTTTGCCTTTTTTTTGGGGGGGTTTTGTTCAAATTCTCCCGAAGCCTTTTAAAAGTCTTTCCAGCCCTCTTTCCCTGTTAGTTGAGTATTCCAAAACTATCATTTTAATGTTAAAAGAAACTAAACTTTGTTTATTGCTGTTGGGAGAGGGGGAAAAATGCAGACTTTGGCTCAGTGTGTTTCATTGCTCAAACGGAAAACCTCAGATGTGAAGTTATTTTCTAAGGAAATAGATATAAATAATTGAAAATGAGGCAGTGATGGCGCTTAAGCTGTGTAAGAACAGTTATTGGAACCCCTGCAGCTACCTGTTTGCCTCAGTGAGCATAATACTGACACCTTGAGGCTGTTTGTGGTACAGGCAAGAGAAGCTCTACAGAGCATTGAGTGGAGGTCTATTTCAGTCCCTGTTAAGTGTAGGCGGCTCTCTCCAGATGAACTTTGCACCATCACAGAAAGAAATCCTTCAGATAACCCCTAACATATTTTCTGTTCTCTCATTAGGTTTACCAAAACCAAATGATGGATATCTATGACCCCCAGACACTTGGGATTATGGTATTTGGTGGATTCATGGTGATCTCAGCTGTCGGGATCGCCCTTGTTTCCACCTTCTCGATGAAGGAAACGTCCTATGAGGAGGCTCTGGCTAAACAGCGCAGAGAGTTGGGTAAGGTACAGTCTGTCCGCTCTGACAAGAAGAAAAAGGACAAAGTGTCTGAGAAGAAGAGCCGTGGGAAGAAGAAGGAAGAAAAGCCCAATGGAAAGATCCCAGAGCAGGAGAAGACTGATGAGGCTGCAGAGGCCGACTCTGAAGCTGACCCGGTCACTGAGCCAGCTGCTGCCACCCCAGATGTGGCTGCTGCCCCCACCCCCGAGCCGGCCCCTGCTGCTGTTGAGGTCAAACCGGCCGCAGACGCCCATCCCAAAGCTGCAGCTGAACCCAGCCCCGCGGCAGAGCCCTCACCGGTGCCCTCGCCCAAAGAGAAAAAGAAGAAGAAGGTGGCTAAGGTGGAGCCAGCTTCGGCACAGCCGGCCCCAGCTGTGTCTGCCGCCCCGGTGAAGACCTCCGCGGCCCCCGTTGTAGCCCAGGCTCCTGCATCTGCCCCGACCAAAGCACCCGCCCCGTCCTCCGCACCTGCCCAGGCTAAGCCCGCACCCGAGTCAAAGAAGTCGGCTGCTTCAACCAAGAGCCCCCCTGCCCCGGCGTCAGCCCCACCGTCGGCCAAGTCTGCCCCTGCACAAGCTAAAGCTGCGGCTTCCTCTGCCCCCGCCACAGCCAAGTCTGCCCCCGCTCCAACCAAGTCCGCTGCAGCTCCTGCCAAGTCTGCTGCAGCCCCATCCAAGGCGCCCCCAGTGCTGGAGTCCGTCACCAAAGAGGTCCCAGTGATGGCCGTACCCCCTGTGGGATCTCAGCAGGCTTCTGATGTGGCTACAAAACCACAGGAGCCCAAGAAGAAGGCCTCCAAGAAGAAGGCCGAGCCTGGTAAGCAGATGTGGTCCCAAGAAATCCACTTGCCTTTAAGTCAATCAAAATAGCTGTTTGAGCTAGCACCCCTAAAATTAGCCCCCTGTTGTGCACTGATGGAAATGCTTATCTAGGCAGGAACTACAGTAGCCACAACATTGGTGATTGTACTTTTAATGTTTTGGAGGCAGCGTTGGAAGCATGCCTGCATGGTTGAGTCGCACAAACATGCACTCACAATGTAAGGTGAAAAACAACCTGTCAGTACTGATCAACTTCCAGCCGCGTACCCATAGTACCAAGGGTAATGGTGGGTAATGTCTGGCACTCGGCTCTGGAGGGCATGGAGCACACCAGCTTGTCCAAACACTGTTACCCTGTTTTGTTAGCTCACAAAGCCTTTCAGTGCCTGTGACAATGAGTAGAGAGGAGGGGTGGGCTTTCCCCCTGGCCTGAGGCTTGTCTCTGCCTGGTGCCACAGTGCGCCATCAGCTCGCCATCCGAAGCGGCCCGCGGCCCCAGACCCAAAGGGCACGTCTCAGCCTTGTTCTTTTCCGAAAGTAACGCGAGCCCACGGTGTCCTCGCTGTTAGCTTGAAACTGTCAAACTTGAAATAAAACTTTGGTTCTGCTTGCAGTGGCTGTAGCCGACGCTGCCGACGTGCCGTTGTACCTGCCCTACAAGGCCCTGGTTTCCACCATCAGCAGCATGATGTTCAGTGAAGCAGAGGCGCACAGGCTCATCGAGATCCTGTCCGAGAAAGTCGGCATCATTCAGGACATGTGGCACACGGTAAGAAAGGCAGCTGTGAGCCATGACCAAAGGGACTCCTCCTGGAACCAACGGTCAATTAGTCTCATTCCCTTCCTTTTTCTTTTTTCTTTTTTTCTTCTTCACTGTTTAAAAAAAAAAAAAAATGTAGGCCACTCAGAAAGGTGATCCAGTGGCCATGCTGAAAAAACAGCTGGAGGAGAGGGAGAAACAGCTGGCGGCAGAACAAGAGGATGCCTCAGCTGTCAAGAACCGCCTCAGAGAGCTCACCAAGGTTGGACGTGTGAAACGCACATCCCCACGCATGGCTGTGTGCCCCTGAGTCATGTTGTATGTTGCACATATTCCTTTGTCCTGAAGGTGGCACAAGAGGAACACTTATGAAAGCCCCAGCAACTTTTTTTTTTTTTTACTCCTGACAGCTGGCTTTGTCAGATAGAATAACATAGTCAGTGCTTATATTTCCAAAGAATTTTTAAGCAGGAAGTTTACTTGTCATTAAGTTATTTAAGTTCCATTTTTCATGTCGTGAATGAAAACACGTAAATCTGCTGCATCAATGAGATAAACTGTTTTATCCTCATGACGGAGGTTAAGAAAGCAGCTTGTTTTGCCCCAGAAAAGCTGGATTTCTCTGACTGTGCTTCTTGCTCACCAGGAGCTGTCTGCCGAGAAGTCCAAGGTGGCCAGCGTGGAGACCAGGCTGAGTTCCCAGCTCAGTAAGAGGGAACAAGAAATGATCGCCCTGCAGGCTCGCATGCAGGCTAGTTACCAGGACAATGTAGCCCAGACCCAGAGGCTTAATGCGAAGGTCAGCTAATATGTAATACAGCAATTCAACTGAAGTCCACATATGTGCTTCTCTGCTCTGTAATTTTACTCCAGCCTAATCAACTCTCTTAGCCTCGAAGAAGCATTTTTCCCCTTTTGAGATTCCCTGCTTTTTCTGGCTGGGGGCTACAGAGAACTCAAATAGTTTGTGTTCCTCACATGTGAATTTTACAACCTGTCAGATCCTGAACCTGCAGGACCAGCTGGAAAAGGGGCCCAATGCCCAACTGGCTCGCCTGCAGCAGGAGAACTCAATCCTCCGCGACGCTCTCAACCAAGCCACCAGTCAAGCTGAGAGCAAGTGAGTGTGGAAAGGTTGAGTAGCCAATTAGCCGGCCTTCATAGTGGCACATGAAAAGTGCACACTCAGCATGTGGACCGAATCAGAGGAGGAGACTGTGAGAGGCAGACCTGCAGGCTGGATTTGATACTTTTGGCCATGTGTCTGTGTCTCACTCTGATTTTCATTCTGCCCTCAGACAAAATGCAGAGCTGGCCAAGCTGCGTCAGGAATGTGCAAAGTTAACCAAGGAGCTTGGAGAGAAGACAGAAAGTCTGCTTGCTGATGAACAGTTGAAGAAAAGCCTGGAAGCTAAGGTCTCCGCCACTGAGAAGCAGCTCTCAGTGCTGCAGGTCGGCTCATCTTTGTTTTCTCTTCATTACCTGATTGAGTTTTTGCTTATTATCCGAGTTGCTTCATTTCAAAGCCAGCCGGAGTGTTTGGAAAGCTTACGACTCTGCCAACTATTGGCATAGATGCAATTCCTTTATAATCACAGAGCTCAGGACAAGGCTGTAATGCAGCCATGCAATAACAGGGCTGTAGCCAGCATGCCTATCACCAGTCGGAATGAATGCATGTCCAAGCGTCTCTCCTTTCCAGCTGGTGGTAATTATCTGTAAAAGTACAAGAGGAGTATTTACAGCATGTGACTTTCAAAAGGGAAGTGCGTCTCTGTCCTACAGAGCTGATTCATAGCTCCCTTTAACTGTCAGCCCATCTGTAGGCTGGTGATGGAATGCTGCTCGTCTGACGGCTCACTGCTGAAACATTAACTTCATTCCAATTAGCGGTTTAAATTCTTTGAACATGTTACCCTATGCAGAAAGCCAGATGTAAATGTAAGATGAACAGATTTTCTGCCTTTTGTGAAACTATATACATGGACTGGCTCTGATCATCATGAGGATTCTCATTCTGGGGTATTTTGGTTTTTCTTGCAAGAAAATGTTAAGAAAAGCTCAACATAACTGTTAAAATTTTCTTTTCTTTTTCCCCTTTTCACTTTGGAGCCTGAAGTCAAACATATTGTTCTCCCACATGCCTATTTTTAATTCAATTAATGTTCCTTGAATAAAGACAGTTGAAAGAAATGAAGGCATCATCACAGCTGTTTAGTGACTCTCTGCTGCCCCCTGCTGTAAGACGCTGTTTGATGAATGTCTTCTAGGCCAGCCACTCGGAGTCCGAGCAGGCGTTGCAGAAGAAATTGGAGGAGGTGTGTGAGGAGCTCAGAACAACTCAGAGTAGATACAGCAACCTGCAGGCCACGCTGGAGAAGGCTCAGCAGGAGAGCAGCACCCTCTCAGGTCAGAGAAAAAGGGAACACAGTGTCACGTTGGACTTAAATGTTGTTTGTGTCATTATTAAGAGGTAGATGAAATTAAGCACCTCTGACGTTTCCCACATGCCTTTGTACCACAAGCTTCAATGCAGAATGTGGAAAATAAGGAAATGATGGCTGTGTTGTACTCGCAGAGAGTCAGGTACGCATCGGGAAATTGGAGGCTGAGATCGGGGAGCGCTCGGCTCAGGTGGATACCCTCACCGCCCAGCTGGAGGAGACGCAGGCTGAGAAAAACCAGCTCGCACTGCAAGTGGTCTCCATCAACTCGCTGCTAGAGGCCAGTCAGACCAAACAGGAGGAGGACAAGAAGGAGGTAAAACCGCTTGATTTCAGCTGCTGAAATTCACATCTGCCCGCACTGGGTCAGGCGGCCCTAAAACACTTTGTGGTTTCTGATTCAGCTGGCAGATGGAGCTGAGCTGGAGCATCTGAAGCTCAGGTCAGTGTGTAAACCAACTTGACTTGCGTCAGAATCAGATCTGACAAACCCTGATCTGAAACCCCGTGCTTCCTTTTACAGCCTGCAGGAGAAAGACGGCCAGCTGACCGCGCTTCACGAGGAACTGAAGCAGCTGCAGGCAAAGAAGGAAGCCGCCGTGAGTCTTATCCACTTCTGTTACCGAATGCTCCTTTGTCAAACAGTATCACTTCTCTCTCTTATTCTTGTTGCTTGTATTTGTGATGCTGTTTTTAAATCATATCTTACTGTTCTCCGACAGGAGAACACTATTGTTGATCTTGAGCAAAAAAACAAGAGGTAAGGCACCTTTTCTTGTCCTTTCTTTCTTTTAATATTCCCTTTGTTGCTTGTTGCTCTGACTCTGTAATCCACTCTGTTTTTCTGCATGTAGTGAGGATGCCAGCCTCATCTCATCACTTGAGAATGAACTTAAAAACCTCAAAGAGGAGATGGTGCAACTTAAAACCACAACAGTAAGCACTGCCCTTAATGCACAGGAGTGTACTTGCAGAGCAAATATTAAATCTGGTTGCATATCTGTGTTTTCTCTCTGTTCCAACAGACCGATACCTCCACAGATCTGACACAGCTGCAGAACAGGTAAGGGGCTGTGCCTGGTTATTCATGTCATTCATGTCATGCATGTCAAAAGGCCCATCGTTGATCAAAAAGTGTCCATTCTCTCTAGTCTGAAGGAGAAGGATGCCCTCGTTGCATCACTACAAGAGGAGCTGACTGCAGCAAAGGAAAAGCCAGCCTTTAATGAAGTAAGCCTTTGCCTTTGTTTCTTTTCTTTTTTTTTTGTTTAGCTTGCCATTTCCTTTTCAGTTGATGCGTGTTTGATAGTTTAATGACTACATCCTCCACTGCAGGAACAAAATGATTTGGTCCAACTGGCAGCTTTTCAATCTGAAACTAAAGAATCTCTGCAGATGCTCTTCCCACACATACAAGTAGAGACAGAGCAGGTAAGGACGGAGTAAATAACTGAGTGAAGAATCAACTCCATGCTCGGGTGAAAATGACGTGCTCAGTGAAGTTTTGTCTGCCTGTCTCCTCCCGTAGCCAAACTGGTTACAAGTGTTTACAGAGAAGGCTCGGGAGGCTCTCAGCCAGCAGAGTCAGGAGTCTCAGCCCAGCACAGAGCTGCCGGTAAGCCACATTGCCATGTCTGTCTTCGAGTTAGTCGGTAGTGAGGAGAGCCTGACTGTGTTTCTTTGTTTCAGGAGTTGCTTGAGAAACTGAAGGAGTCAGAGGAGAGCCATGGCACCCTGCAGGCTGAATGTGAGCAGTACAGGACCGTCCTGGCTGAAACGGTGAGTGACTTACAGCTCTGTAGGGTCAGACATGGGGAGGGATGTTTAATAGAAGAAAAATACCCTCTTTTTCCTTCTTTTTTTTTTATCAGGAAGGAATGCTGAAACACTTACAGAAAAGTGTGGAGGAGGAAGAGCTGGTGTGGAAGTCCAAGATGGCAGACGCAGAGGAACAGTTGAAGGAGGCAAGTCAGAGACCTGCTTTTCCTTCTTTCTTCTTTGTATTTTGTCTCGTAGAGATTGATTGACTGACATTAGATGCAAAATCCAAGAATTGTCTCTGTGTCTCCATCAGGCTTTGCAAAAAGTCAGCAACCTTGAAGCGGAAAACCAAAGTGCACAACAGGTAGGTTTCTCCCTTTTCTCACTGGACTGCCAGTTTAAAGCCACCCAGAAGGCTTGAAGTATTGTGCTTTACTTTTGGGTTGCAGTTAAAGGAGCAGATCATGCTTCTGGAAGCTCAGCTGGAGAAGCAGTCAGACAACCTGGTCAGTTCAGAGGAGGTGGAGCAGGTACAGCAGCGCCTTGAATCTACCTAGTCCTCATTTAATCTGCATCCTGTGTGCGAATGCGAGTCACTTTTTGTAAAAAAGCAGTCGGTGTTTAAGGTGACGCCAGCTCTTTGTGTTTTCCGCGAGACCCTCAATGATTTCACACATTTAAAGGCAGCAGCTTGCTTTGTTGCAGTTCCAACAAAGCCGATCTAACATCTGTTTGTCTCCACGCTGCGCTCCGTGTCAGCTGAAGCTGCAGCTGACAGAGTATCAGAACCAGCTACATGCGGCCCAGAAGGAGGCCCAGGCACACAAGGAGGAGCTCCAACAGGTGAGATTTAAAAAAGAAAAAAAGCTTTCCAATCTTCCACCCTGTTATGAGCTCATGCTGAAATACCAGAGTTACTGAAGAGTAAGTGTGAGAGGGGGGGAGGGGGGGGTTGGAGAATCCTACCTCACGAACACAACCGGCTCGGTAAGGTGTCAGTGACGTGGCGTGTCGGCACAAAGGGGAATCGTAACCTGTGACTAGCGACGGCTTCCTGTTTCAGGTCAGGGAGCAGCTGGGCGAGATCACAAAGCGCGCTCAGGGGGAGCAGAACGGCCCCGCCGAGAGCACGCGCACCCAGGTCAGGGTGCAGGCGTCACAGGGCACCCTCCACCTCCTGTCAGAGTACTGGGCAGAGGCGGGAGCGGCTCTCCTCAGACCTCCTCCAAAATGTTTTCTTTTTTTTTTTTATAAGAGTGTAGAAAAGCTCCCATAATGATTTTTCATTTTTTATTTTTGCACTCATTTGTGCATTGAGACTTAAAGATGATGCGAGGGTGCTGGATTTCCAGTCTGCCCAGTACTCTTCTGACAGAGCCGCTCTTCATGCTAACCGCTGTTTGCATCCACTACTTCTGCTGCTTCTGAGCTCTGTCAGCATGCTCACCTCCTTCCCTTTTGTTTTCAGTTGTGTATTAGTATGACCATTAACAGCATAAAGGTTTTCGTTTTTAACTACAGCCTTTCCCCTAAATGAGTGTGAGGTTACTAACTTGGCTCACAGGTCTTCCGTGCGTGGGTGTAGTCCGCGCCGCCGCCACTGACACAATAACAACCAAACGGGCATGTTTGTTTGAGCTGTTAATCCGCGTTTGTATAGCTTGTATCTGTGCTTGTCTGCTGCCAGGTCCAGAACGAGTTGAGTCAGACGACAGAGAAGCTTCAGGGCGAGGCGGCTCAGAAGCAGCAGCTCTCAGAGGAGTTCGAGCAGGTCACTGCCGCCCCAGACGCACTTCCTATGCTTTTGAGGCTCGTAAGCTCCCAGTGGATAACACGAGTCTGTGTCGCCCAATTACAGGCCCAGAAGACGGTAGCAGAACTTCAGGCTCAGCTGGATCTCTTAAAGGATTCCGCAGAGGCCCCGCAATCTGACACTGAAGATTTAGCTCAGCTAAAAGTGAGTTATCATAGCGGCGTTTACTGTGAAATACAGCAGGAGCTTTTAGGTTGGCGTGTGCTATAGAAAGGTGAGTATTTTAAATCCAGCGTGTCGTTTATGTTTAGTGTTACTGACGGATGAAGTTTGATGTTTAAACGATGGCTTTATTGTCAGTCGTCCATGATTAGGATGTTGTTTTGTTTGTTTGTTTTTTAATGTCAATGCTGCTTGCTCAGGAGCGCCTGGATAAGGAGAAGAAGCTGTCCAAAGACCTGGGCCAGGCAGCCACCAAGCTGCAGCAGCTCCTCAAAGCCACTCAGGAGCAGCTGACCAAAGAGAGGGAGACTGTGAGAACACTACAGGAGCACCTGGAGGACAAGGTGAGACCCCCACTACCCCCGCTCTTGGTGCTGGCTCTGATTGCTTCAGCATGCTTATTTAGTCTCTAATCTGTGTTTCCTCTTCTTTAGGGCGATTACGTGGAACTGAAGGAAGGAACATCTGTCTGAGTGCAATCTCACACTACAAAAAAAAAAAGAAGAAAAAAACCAAACTGCCAAATATGCCTTATAATTACCATAGTTATGCATTCCAAAATTATTTCTTTCTTGTACTGTAGTTGATTGCATTTATTGCAAATGTAGACATAAGATATTTTGTGTAATGAACATTTCATTCAAAGTACGGTAAGATGAACGGAGAGAATCCTGCGGCAATCTTTACTGAACCCACATTCCATCTACAATTTTGACTGTCAAGTTATTTATCCCCTTTCCTTAGATTCCAAACATTTCCCCATATAGTTCAGTGTTAAAAGGGAAACCGAATGTGCGTCAAACGTACATCAACCTGTGCAATTACTTTGTATGTCTTTTCTATGTGGTTGAATGACGGGAACATTGTATGGTTTGTCGATGCAAAACCTTTAGTGCCTGCTTCCCTCTGTAGCCGGCTGCCAATAACACACATCGAATTTGTATGAATGAATAAACTACAGTGTTAGCACTATGCAATTCTGTTAAGTTTGTTTATGGTTTGTTTTGTGTGATATGAATCCACATCATCTTCCTTTACACGTGAGAGTTCAGGTTTTACTCAGGGCTACGACACCTTCGTATTAACGGTTAAACATCCGGCATGTGGAGAAAAAGTGTACAGAGCTGTTTTTGACAGGAAGTGTTACCATACAGCGACATCCTGATACTGCTATTGAGCGTTCAGAAAATCTGCACGGCACAGTAAAGTTGCTTATCTTTCTACATTGAGTAAAGGATACTTTAAAATCAGATCTGCTGTTAAAGTGAACGGCAGGAAATCAGCACACGTGTGCTCCCCCCCCCCCCCCCCCTGGAAGAAAAAAGGAAAATTAAAAAATAAAAAAAAAGTGTTAAACTTCATTTAGATAACTTCAAAGGAAATGTGAACTTGAACGGTGGTTTCCAGGAAACAGTTTCATCTACAAGACTCAGTTGAGTCGTCGAAGCAGCCGTCAAGTCAAAGACGAGTTCCCACCAAATGGTGGTAGCATTCCTTATTTGGGCAGAATCTGAACCAACAACCTCACAGTGACGCCACAGCCCAGATGGGTTTGCACTGCAAGATAGGATGGCTGACGAGTAAAAACCACTTCCTGGATTTGGTCACACAGTTTATGGATATTTAGGTAGTTTAAAAAGTTGATTTTCTTCATGGCTTGGATCAAGCCAAAGGTGTTCAGTAACATAATAGCTTAAATTTGATGCTCCAGAAGAAATAACTGGTATAGAATAGGTCCCCTGATGTTTACTTGCATGCGAATGTCAAGTATTAAAAGGCATTTCTTTGTACAACGACCCAGCTTTTAACCATTCCTCTCACCAGCCATTTAGTTTAAGCCATTCTTGAAGGCCCGTCTTAAATCTTTGTGGTTCAGTCCAATACAGATTTTCCCTTTACCACATTTAAGTGTACAAAAGCATGAAGAAAAGATAGTTGCATTAATTTTATTCAGTAATACTCAGCACCAGCTGCTGCAATTTCAGTGAAACTTGAAAACATTTAACAGTCGAGGATATACAGATGTCAAACTACCAACCCGGCCATTCTGACCCAAAACTGAAGGCAGGTTTCACAGCACGTTTGAACACAATGAACAAAGTCATTTGAAGTGGAAAAACACACTGAGAAAAAAAAAAAAAAAAAAAAAAAAAAAAAAAAAAAAACGCATGGATTTTTACTGTAAACTGAGGATCATCATGTATGAGAATTTTTTTTTTAAATGGAGTCTGCTAAACGGTACTATTGGACACTAACACATCAAGGACGTCAGGTTTGCTTAACTGACAAACACCAGAGACCAAACATTCCTTAAAGCTTAAACCAAGCAAACCTAACAATTTGGAAACTTGTCAACACCCACTCAAATTAGTTTAAATTGACTTTATTTTGCAACCAAGGGAAGACGGTGGTAGTTCAGTGGTGGCCAGAGACAGGATGGCCTTCAACTTTTATTACACCTTTTCCCATCCTCTCTCCAAAATTATCCCTGTTTCCGTAATCTGAAAGGTCATTCATCTGCAGCTCATGTTTGATACCTGTCAAAGACACGAGAGGAAACACTGTTCAGCACTACGTTGAAATGACATCCACTTACCAATCTAATTTTAAAAATACAGAATTAACCCAAACATTAATGTTGACAGGATGTGTGATTTTAAGCCAACATAGTCCGTTTAAAAACCAAGCAGTGGAAATGTGTATAACAGTAGTGAGAAATCTTAAGAAAACTGACCTGTCAGGACCTTCTTAAGAGAATCTTTTGAGCTAGCATACTGCATTTTTGCCTTGATTGGTGCAGACTCAGGAGCCCTGTTATAAAGAGAGGTCATCATAGTCACCTAGATTCAGAAGTTTGACTTTTCTACATCACAATAGTTTGAAGATTAGAAGTTTCGCCTACCACATGACAAACACCAGCTCCTCTTTTCTACTGGATTCCTTGGTCTCAAAGTGGCAGTCGTACAGCAAGTAGCGGCATGTGTCAGGATCCAGCAGGCTCAGGAAGAATTTGAAGATGTCCTTGTCTGCCAGGTCTTTTTCCCGGAAGATTTTGCCCTCCTCGATGACAATATGGCCATCTTTGATTTCAAATACAACCAATCTAATACGTTCTGACTGGTCAGCATCACTTTTCACTACTTTCATTTCAGTGATGATGTCCTTCACTTCGTCACAGACCTTTACTCCGGAGGCCTATTGAGGGAAGGAAAACATTTTAAATAAAGTGCATATCCATAATTATGGTTAAAAAAAAATAAAAAGGCCATTCAAAATGCTTAAAACTGTACTACACTTTTCAAGATGGAGCTGGGAAATTGAGGCTAAAGGGAATGAATATGATCTGGGAAAAAAAACTGAGCACTTAAAATTGGGGCCTAACCTCATGTTTCGTCAGCATTAAATTACTTGGGCTTTGGCTCAGAGAGAGAAAAAAAAAAAAAAAAAAAAAGCAGAACTGAAAGAAAGAAACAGGAAGTTCAGCACTAAACTGTCAGAAGTGGCCGCCCTTTTTAATCAAATGTGCAAATATTCCACAAGTTTTAGTTGTGAGAAGCCATGAATTCAATTTAGCCATGAATCTATGAAGGCCTTGGCACTGTCACATTCCAGTCATTGTGGAACAAGTTAGCACAAGAAACACCACCCTCAGGGAGTCTCAACAAGTTTGAAGCATGAACAGGGCTCCCACCATTTTAGAAGCAAACCACACCTTGAGCAAAATCTTTTCACCAAATGCAAGTTCTCATGGTACTTTAAGTTCTCTTTTCTTCTCTATCAAGCAGTACAATGAAAGCCTCTAGTTGAGAACAGCAAAAAACAAACTAAGGAAAAACTGAATTTACATGATAGTTCAAATTGTTTGTAAATGAGGAAATGGCACAAGGCTTTCTTGCATGTCCTTTGAGGCACAGAAGGCAGAAAGGAGCCGTTGCCTGACACTACTCTTGTGAATCTAGCTGAATTCTCAGAGAAAGAAACTCACCATTTTGCTTCTGATGTGTGCAGGAAACAGGCAGCAGAAAAAAATGGCAGCAGCAGTCAAAATGCTGAAGGGTCATGAGGAAGGAGAGCAGCAAGTTGACTCATGAAGGAGGAGCTGCGGTAAATGAGCACACCTCCCAAAGTAGACCCGCCCCTTTCCTCGCAGGTGTGACACAATTCAGCTGCAATCTCTGTAATTGCATTCAATCAATTTGAAGCCCAAATCATCATTTTAGAGATGCACTTTTCTCTCCCAGCTCAAACATTAATCTGTTTTTACTCATCTCTATCTGATTCAGTTTGGTGGAGCCACATAAATGAATATAAACACATACATTCTTCTTTTTCAGGTGACGCTCCAGGTGTCTCAGGTGGGAGCGGCAAATAATGCCCGTATATGGAAAACAAACCTGTCCACATTTGAACACGTGCTGCTGAGAAGCAGAACAGCGACCTTATAAGGTAAAAAGGTGGGACGAGTGCATACATGTAGAAAGAATTTATCAAACTACCTGTTGAAACTTGGATGTTGCGTCCTGAAGAAACAGAAACATGAACTGAGGGTTGGTGGGGTACTAAATGGAGCTGGCACATGCCAAAGAGATCTGATTTGAATGATATTAACATGAAAGACTTTTATTACTTCCATCCCTTGCAGGGTCTTTGTTAAAATTACAATTGGAAAAAAAAGCGATAAAACGCGCTTGGTTTTTAGTTTAGTTTCTATAACTTCTGTTTCTGTGAACATTTACTGAAGTACTGTGGTTTTGTACACTTTAAGGGTACGTTTGCCCAACTCTTTTTTTAGGCTCTTAGCAACAATTCATACCAGTCTGTTCTGTTCGTCAACTCTGATGCTCAGTCCAGAGCTGGTGAAAATCTTCTGAAGATTGAACTGGACACAACTCATCTAAATTGTGAATAATGTGTCATCCCTCCCTTTTACTTCATAATGGATCAATGTACAATACAACTCATACTAAAAGCTCAAAAAGGTCCAAACATGTCAAATCAAAGGGAACTTTGCGCAGACCTTCCAAATGTTTTTTTGTCAAATATCCACGTGATCCTGACACGCATGAAAGAATCCTGTTGATGTATGAGAAGAAATGCCTGAATGTTTATCCCTTAATTCGGTATTCATAATGCTCTTGAAAACTGCACCCTAAAGTATTAATGCATTGCAATTGAAGAGGACTACACGCCTCATCTCTGTCAGGTACTCAGAATTTCCCTTCCTTTTGTTTTAGGCCTGTAATTTTGATGCAGATTCAAGCTCTTTCGCCACAGAGACTATTTTTAAATTCAGATACTCTGCCTCATCATCACAGTGGCTTTCCTCCCCCTACGTGGATTTATGGTTTACAGAGTCACAGTCCCGCCCCACATCCGGACTCTCTTTCAGAAAGCAGCTTGCATAATGTATGTACACGTAGCAACATATCTCCCAACACTACAACCATTGATATATGAGCAAACCCCAAAAATATTTGCCACCCATTTTTGTTTGTTGTGAGCAAAAGATGATAGAAGTTATTCTGTTGTGGATGAGTGCTTTACAGTTGTTAAATATCCCCCCTCATCACAGACCAGAGCTAATGGCAGGCAACAGCAGTTTTACAGCGGTAAAAGGGGAAATACAACCCAGGGCGACGCAGAGCAGGAAATGGCCGCTGCACACCCCTTTGTGAGCTGAAAACTTCATGCTGGTGCAAGCACATTCAGAGCTTGGCCTGAAGCCAGTCAAAAAAGAGAGAGAGCAGACGTAGGCAAACTTATGATAACTGTGACATCTGGTGGTACGCTAAAAGAACTAACCGGTGAGTGAGCTTTAAAGGCCTCATAATGGAGTGTACATATGCCAAACCTGATTTCAGGGGAGAAGTAGAACAGAAAATGTATGGCTTAAATTGATAAATCTTTATTATAACTTTTTTTTAAAGAAAAAAATCCCTTAGCATTTGAATCCATCAAATGTGCACCTAAAAGAAGCTTCATGGTTTGTACAAGAAACAAAAAGGCCTTTCTGCAAAGAGCCTTGTGGTGTGATGTTGGTCCATTATCGACAGCTTAACTTCACACTGAACCAGGAGCAAAGGCAACGACTGCTTTCAGAGCACTTTCTGGCACAGAGGCAGCTTTCCTATTCTTTTTTTAATATTATTATTAAAGCAGGTTGCATTCTTTATCCAATACTAACAGGACATTTACTATGTACTTTGCTGCAAACATTCAAGGACAATTGCATCCTCAAGAACTGCCGATCTTTCAATTGAAAATATATTTCCCAATTCCATTATGTCCATACAATGTTCCACAAAGCATCACTGCTGCCCCCTGCAGTTGCAGAGTTGCATCCCGAGTTGCCCAGCTGTCAGAGAAGAGACCATTTGTAACACACAAGATTTTATTGTAGTGGCTGATATTCAAAGCATCTATGATCATTTCGCAACAAAATTAATTTCTAATTAATTAATTTTCAAGTTGCAGGCAAACCAGTTTGTTTGAAAAAAAGAAAAGAAAAAGGAGTGCTGATGACTCTTCAATCTTGATTCTCAAGATCCTCTACAGCATCGCCAGATTTATCCACTGTGGATGGAAATAAAAGCACAAATTACACAAAGAACTGTCATCCATTGATCTTTCTCTGTAAGCTTGATTGTTTTCCCATCACGGACAGGCTCTTACCTCCAAAAAGTTCAGCTCTATTTCACCAGAATCATCCTTATCCAGAGTCTTGAAAGTGTCTGTTGTGATTTAAAGTAAAATCAGAACTTTATATATTATTTTCATGCCAGCAAAATCAAAATGAGCGGACTCAGGCAAAAACTCACTGAACAGCGATTCCAAGCGAACCAGGCAGCACACAAAGTTGTCAAAGTCAATGCTGAGACTTGACTCACTGTAGCGGGCCACGATGATCTGATGCAAAGCGTTATTGAGTGTAAAACCTGCAAATATTTAAAATATATATATATAAACAGAGCAAAAACAGTGATGAACGTAAATCATACATTTGATTGTTCTAATGAAATCTTTTCTCTTTTTTTTTGCACATCTCACCTGCATCCTCAATTGCCATCCGCATCTCTGAGGAGCTCATGCAGCCACTTTGGTCTGTGTCTCTTTCTTTGAACAAACCCTAATAGAAGAAAAAAAAAAAGTTCACGTGCACTGAAACCAGTCAGCTAATGACTTCTGACGGCACATGACAAACACTGAACGCACCAAGAACCTGTCAATCTTTGTCCAGAGGATTTTGAATTCCACCAGTCCCAGCTTTCCGCTTCCATCTTTCTTTACGAAAATAGTCATGGAAAACCGAAGCCTCTGTATGCGTTTAAAACTGAAAAAAAGTGTAATGTTGCAATGCGTCCTGAAATGGGGATTATTGTCGAGCTAGGGACCTACTGCACTGTCAGAGAATGAGAAAAGTGGGCTCTTGGACACAGGTTTATTCAAATTAATTACAGCCTTCTACTGAAATGAGTTCCAGTGGTGGGATCAGCTATTCATTTAAAAGGGAAGGATGTGCATTTGACTGTATAATACAGATTTTGAAATTCATTAGGCTACTTTTATTTTATCGACTGTATACGCATTAAGCAATGCGTTGTAAGATCACTATAGGTCAATTTCAGAAAGATATCAAATATTCGGTATGATTTTTAATACAAAAGAAGGATACATCCAGCAGATTGACCATGTTGCGGCAGGTTGTCAGGCTAAACCCACTGGTTTTGATGTCATTTCCTTAGAAATGTAGAAAACACATAGTATAGTCAAAGTTTTATGTCAGGTTTACATCTAGAAAAAAGAAAAAGTAGTATTCATCTTACGCCTTGCCACCACTTTGTTGAGGATTCTCTGGAGCTCAAAAGCAGAAATCTCCACATCCTTAGAGGCAAATTGAACACTTTGTCAGTCACAACAACATTGAAATGGGACAACGAGAACTAAGTAGTGATATAACTTTAAACTTACTTGTCCAGCAAGCTGTCCAAACAGACTCTTAAATCTGTCGCTGATGTCATCCTCGTCAATATCAATCTAAATGAGAAACACATATTTATGTCTGTCACAATATATTAGAAATATTACATCGAGAATGTAAATAGCAGATAGGATTTACCTGCTCCACATGGCAGTCAACAGGGTCATCAATCTCTCTAAAAAGCATAAAAAACTCATAGTTATCAATAATTTTAATAGCTACAATGCAATGTCAAAAATGCGTTTTGAAACTGGGAGTATTTTTTGCTCTGACTTACTGAAAATCAGCTTGTTTCTCAGACAAAACTCGCACATAAAAGTCTCCGTTTTTGTTGGGCTCGAAGGTGGAGGGAACAATGAGATACTCTCCAGGGGGGAGACAAAAGCGGCTGCACACTTCCCGCAGGTTGATGAAGGTCTCAGATCGAGCGGACGAGCGGTTGCGAAGGAAAAAATTCTTCTTCAGGTGAACCTGCCTTTTGCCAGAATACTGAAAAATTGGAAAAATATGGAGTTATGCTAACATCATTGTCTCCTTCTCTGTAACACTATTTACAATTTGTTTTGAATACTCATTCTTTATGCCTTTCCCCGACATACCTCCTCAGGCAGCTAGAAACAGACAAACACAGAAAAATCATGAGATGAAAATATATATATTCAGTCTCTGATCCTACTTCTGTTGATATCTCAGAGGCAGGTCCTCACATCATAAATTGCAAAGCCGATGGTCTCCATGTCCTCCCCTATTTTCCTCTTTCGGCGCTTGTTCTTCTGCATCAAGCCCACAATGAAGGTGCAGCCCTCCTCATCATCATTGGGGTCATCATCCACATCTTCCAGCTTCATCACAAACTGAGGATTCGTCCAGAAGGAATCTACGAAAAGAAAAAAAATTAGGTCAGATACTAATTAACAATTCTAAGCTATTGTTATCACTGTTATGAATATGTGCATAGAATGAATGGTTCACTATGTGTATACAGTATGTAGAAATGTTACTATCTGCATAAAGAAGATGCGGACAAACTAAGGGGCAGGATTATATAACCTGTGTTTCTTCTTGCACGATTTCAGACACCTTTTTGCAATTCTTTTGCAAGAGACTTTTAGTGTTTGCCCTTTTTCTGTCATGTGTCATGTTGAAGTATAAAAATGTAATTGTTGACACCCCAACTGTTCTAAAGAAAAACAAACAAAATAACGTCATTTCTGAGGGGGTGAATGGTCATACCTGGAAAATTTCTGCAGCCCCCAGCTGAAACGCCCTGCCTCCATGTTTCCTCAAACTCTGTCTCCGCCCATTTCTTGAATTCATCTCCTGAAAGAGCATCCGGGGTGAGGTTGCAGATCTCCACTCGGGAATACTCACGCAGGAAGTCCGAAAATGACATCCTATAAAAACAATTTAAAAAATGTCAAAAAGAAAAAGTATGCTTGTACAGCAAAACAACCAAATGCATTTTTCCATTGTATTTCTCTCCCTGGAGTCAGAACCTAGAATGTTTATTTCCCCAATTTTATGAGTGAGATTTACCAGAACTCCCCATCCTCAGAGCGATTGGTCAGTCTTTCTCTGTCATCATCATTTATGTACCTCCATTCAGATGAACTAAAAGAAAGATAGTGATGAATAGTCCACAGATATGGGTTGGGTACCAGAACAAAAGTGTCTGCAATCTATTCATGCACACCCACACAACAACAGCTGAAATAAGGCCTGAAGCCAGAGTCTCTATTGTGGCTGTTTTACTACAGGTATAACCTGCTCTTCCACAGGGTGTTCACATCCATGTGTGTGATTCATGGCAAAAACATTCAAAGTTGGCAACATTGTTCAAACAGAAAACTCATACTCTAGGTGTGACTGAGAATAGCATGTTATGGATCTGCTAGTTGCTTATTACATTTCTAATAAACAGCCAAGCCAATGCACAGGTTGTATAGTAGTATTTCTGCCTCACTATTCCTTTACAGATATGCTTAAAGTGTTCTGGATTCCTCCAACAAAAAAAACAAACAATTTTTACAGGATTGTATGTTAAAGAACCCAATTGTGTGTAATATTATAAAAAGATTTTCCTGTTATTTTACTCAAACCCTTGGATGCCCTTCCCCTGCATTTGCAAAAAAAATTATAATTAATGTGAGCAAGCTCTGTCCGACCCACTTGTCACTCCAGGCTCCATTCCACTCCACCTGACCCCACGGGTTTCTAATCCTGATCAGCTGCACCATCTCTCCTCTGTACTCCACCTGACACAAACATACAAATATACTCAAACTCCTACAAGGATTCGCATCCGCTACACTATAGCATGTGCTTGGCTCTTGTTTACACACCTGATCGGCTCCTGTCACAGAGTAAGCGTGGCCCTTCACCAGTTTGCTGTGTGTGACAGCCTCCGAATCAGCTGAACTGGTGATCTGGGATCAGGAGAAAAGATATCACATTACTCAAGGCTAGCAACGCACCTCAAACATAACAACAGTGCTACACGATAGTGGAACAAGAAGCTCAAACAAACATCAATGGAGCATCCCAGAAGGGAGCCTCTTTCAAGGGCCTTTTTAATGATTTTGAAGAGATGTGGATTTGAGTCGCTGAGGTTGTGACTCTCAGCAATGCCTCCGGTGAAGTCCTCAAAACCCTCAGTAGTGCTGCCACCAGAGAGGGCCTCATAGCATCCATTTAGTCTAAAGGCAGAGATTAATGAATGGACGGATTGAAGAAATCTTTAAAAAAAAAAAGCAATCTCTCTGTGATGCTAACATACTTCGCATAGGCTTTTTCCAGCAAGGCGCTCCAGAACTCTGAACCCTCGGCCGAGTGAACAAACAGCAGTTCTCCGTCTCTGGTGGGCAGACGGTCATCAACCACGACATCCACCCACTCACCAAACTGCCAGAACTGAGAACCAAAGAGAAGACATAGCAAGTCCAACCAAAAATAGAGCACTCATGGGGGTTTGAAATGAGGAGGTGGCTTACCTCAAAGTGAAAGATTCCAGCATAGTTTTCCTCAAAGCTTTGATCATGAGGAACAACACGGTATAAAACCTGTTTGTTGAGAGTCAGGGAGGCGATGGCTGCAAGGAGCCAGCAGTCACCTGCAATTTAACAGTATGACAGTCATACAGGGAACTCCTATGTTAAGCCTCATGCAACACCCACAGGCTTTTGGTCCATTTTGTTTTTACAGTACGTCTCCAAAACACCATGGCTATGTTACTTGCCATGTTACACATAAACCCCAGGTGTGCAAAGTTATGTCTCACCCACACATGTGACATTTTGGCTGTTGGGTGTGGGCTGAGAAGCCAGAAGACGTTGTTAGGGAATGTTTAGTCCACATGCTATCTGATGCATGTACATTTCCTATTAATTTATTTGTTCACTTTACCCAAGCAAAGATATAAAATAGAAATAGATAAAACACCCGGTCAAATATTTCTGTATGCTACTGTTGTCTCAATCTCTGTAACAGATTAAGATAAGCATGGAAAAATCATTCAAATAGTCAGGCATGGAAATATATCCCAAGTAAAATACTGTGAAGCATTTGAGCCAGCATTTGAATGGGATTCATCTGATAGATGCTCACAGACATTATTTGAGTACTGTTTAAGTTTCCCTGTTTGTGTGGCTGCATCTCACCTAGAGCTCCCTGACAAATATCAGTCCTGGTGGCATTTTCAGCAATAAATTTTGGATCGGAACAAAATTCCTGAGGAAAAAGAGGAAAGATTTTAATCCAAATGCCACAGGGCCTTGAACTTAGGATGTGTAATACCATATAGTTAAAGTCTGTTGCAGCAGCTTGTAGTTTGTTACAGCATATTGACAAGACCAAAGAAACAGAAACAACTAAGAAATTGTGGTATGTTGATAAGCAGGAAAAACACAGTGCATCAACTCCATGCAATAGATTCTGCGGCCGACAGAGAATTCAAATGGAAAAGTACAACACATATGACAAGTGCTACTTCGTTAATATTTAATCAGAATAAATAACAAAAGCACATAAGTCCTTTCACATTGGCTTTTCGATGCTGCTACACCTACCGTGGGTCTCTTCCAAGTGACGCCCCGAACCTTGTAAGAACTTGGGCCCAGTTCATTGAAACCCAAGGATGAAGGCAGTGCTTCAAAGCAGTCATCCTCGAACAGCTGTCCTCGCTCCAGACAGCTTCTCCTCAGCGCCTCAAAGTCCTGGTTCAGGTATTTCACTGCCTGGGAGTTGGAGCCAATCCCCTGGGATCTCTCTCGGTCGTGCTGGAGCTTTGCTGCGATGCCTGACATCTTGAAGGTTGGCGAGATATGACGTCTGCCAACGGCTGTTTCTGAGCGTGCGAGAGTGTGTGTAGAGTCAGACAGGCTCTTCCTCATATGTGCGTCCACACCCTTTATTATTCAAACCAGACAGCCTCCTTTGGCTCACCTGTTCCTCCCCAATAGGATCCAGTGGAGGGGGCGTGGTGTTCGGCTGCTGGGGGGGAGGCGTGGGGAGGGCTCAGGGGGGCAGAGCCAGGGGAGCTGATTAGCACACCTGAAATGAGTTGGCTCATCACGCTCCCCTTGTTAAGAGCAGTAGCGGGCTGGCCGTGGGGGGGCCACTGCACCGCAGGAACCCACTACCAACCAGCCACAGACCCGCTGGGAAAAGTATGTGTGTGTGTCAGTATATGTCCAGGAGGCAATAAAGGGCAACAAAAACACTGGTCGAGAGTCTGTCTAGGTACCCAAACTTTAAACGTTTAGATTTGAGCAAAATTTTACAAACAGAAAGGTCCAAGAGCTGGTTTCTTTGTTTCTTTATTTTGAGAATTTGACAGAATTTGCACACAGCAAAATAGCTAGATAAACAAGAATAACAGATTGATACCAAGAGCACAAATCACAATATAAGTGATTGAAAATCAATCACTTTCAGATGAAACTGATACAGACACAATCTATAGTATTTTAGGGGGAAAAATGAAAATGTCAGTTATATGTGAACATTTTTTTGCTGTCTTGTTTAATGGAAATTCCTCCTTCTTCCGTCCAGGGCTTGCTTGTGTTGTACTCAAAGCTAGTAGATAGCCAGGCACATCCACTGTAAAAGGAAAATAAAATCAAATAAATAACAAGCCATCTCATTTAATCTAAAATCATGTAGGTTTCATTGTGTCTGTCACACCTGTTGAAGGCTGAGCTCAATCTTTCCCGAGTCTCTGACCTCCAGAGCTTTGAACATTTCTGGTGGGAAGATAGACAGAAAAATACATCCCAGTTGAACTCGCAATCACTCCCTTTGTGAAATGGATCAATATGACGTATCTTGATGGGACGTTGAGATAAGTCTTTGCTGACACTTACTGAAAAGCATCTCCAGTTTGATGAGACAACCAACAAAGCTGTCAAAGTCAATGGCGTACTGAGCGTCGGCATAACGACTGACGATAGCCTGCAGCACTGCACTGTTGACGTGGAAACCTGTTTAGAAAAAATAGCCACATTAAAAAAATACTTTTTTCAAATTCACAGATAGCTGACACCGATCGATTTCATAGATTAAATGGAAGTCCAGACCCTGTGGAAATATAGTTTTAAAAAAGGTGTCAGGTGATATTTTTCAGTTTTTGCATGCTTTGTTTGTGGGGCATAATTGCTGAGTGCAGCATGAGAGCACCCAAGCTGGTTTTTCAAGTTTTTCACTAACGGCCTTGTATTTCTAAACACACACACACACACACACACAGTTTCTGCTCCACCAACAGTTTTATTTGCTCCTGCAGGGCTTGGTCAGATACACACAGAAAAATAAGCTCCATGATTTTTCCTTCATGAGATTTTTAAATATGTGTCTCATCAGTTGATCCAAAAGTATAAAAAATATAGCAGCGGAGAATTAATGTAAAAACCTAATTTCAACTGCAATCTTATTCCAAACAAATTGTGAAGTGGTCAACAGAAGATGGGGCATGATGATATGAAGCTGTGAGGTGATAAAACATATTACTGACCCATCATCATGCATCACTCATAATTAGACACGAGTCTAATGTCTGAAACTGTCATGTTTGTTACCTGCTTTAGTGGCAGCACCTCTCATTTCGTGGGAGCTCATAGTGCCAGAGTTATCTGTGTCATGACTCTTGAAGATCTCCTACGTAACCCAAACAGCCAGTTTTTCCATTAACAAGCAGAGCCAACATGGGTATTATTATTATGATTATTATTATGAGGTCACACAAATCATGTCTTACAAGGTATTTCTGGATTTTGTTCCAGAGCAAGTGGAATTCCATCAGTCCCAACTTGGCACTATCATCTTTCTGACAAATATTAAGGTTAAAAAAAAAGGAAGCACAAACCAAATGTAAGTGTATAGTGACAAAGTCATAGGGTCCATCTTTAAAAAAAGGATACATCAAGCAGGCTGACTATAAGACGCCCTGTCTCCAGACTGAATCCATCTGTCTTGATGTCAGAACCTAAAAGAAATCATCAAACAATGCTTTGTCCTGTTCACAAATCCATAAAATAAAGAGAAAGGTAAAATTACTCCACCTTTCAGATGGACTTACGGTGAGAAACGATGTTGTTCAAAATTTGAACAAGTTCAAAGACTGATACCTCCATGTCCTGTTTGCAAAGATTTAGTTACTCCCTGAATTCTACATTGTGCAGATCCAAATGATGAAATCTTTGGTGTAATGTGTTTGCTTTTGTCCCTGCACTTACACTGCCGGCTATCTGCTTAAAAATGCGCTTGAAATCAGGATCCACATCACTCTCTGATTGCTCCTCCTGTGGGAGAGTGACACAGATTATTAAATAATTAAACAAAATTACTGGCATCATAAAATGCTGAAGAAAAAAAATCTATACACATACACAGAAACATTATTTTTCTCTCTTGGACAGAATCTTAACAATCACTTAAATACATGCATAAATTGACTATCCTTTAGTGGACCTTCTTACCTCTTCTATTTCAGCATCAATGTCCTCTTCCAGTTTACTACAAATACAGAAAAGCTAAACTTAGCACACAGTACATAGAAAAATCATGCATAGTACAACAAGTTTGTATTAAAAATTGGGCAGAAGGAGCCACTAGATGGCTGTAGTGCTTAAAGCTCTCAGGTCAGAGACCTGGTTTGCGCCTTTTTCTCTGTGAAGACTCTGAGAATGAAGCTGCCATTCTTGTGAGGATGGAAGGTGGAGGGAATGATGGCATATTCTCCAGGTGGGAGCCTGAAGCGATCGCACACTTCGCGTGTGTTGATGAAAGTGCTGCTCATGGCCACAGCTCTCTGATACAGCAGGACATCAGGGCCGAGGTGAACGTTGCTACGGCCTTTGCACTAACGAGAGAACCATCCAATGAGATCAAGCGTCTGTCGTGCAGAAAACGGCTGAAAAACTGCAAATACAGACCTCATCAGGGACCTGTAATGAAGACACGCGACAATGTTAGAAAATACTCTTATTCTGATTAAGGTCACTGCTTTCAGCTGAAATGAAGACAGTTCCTTGTGCCACACCTTATATATGGCAAAGCCAATGGTCTCCAGGTCACGGTTCAGCCTCCTCTGCTTTCTTCCGTGCTTTTGCATCAGCCCAATCAGGAAAGTGCACCCGTCCTCTCCATCTAGAGGATCATCGTCCACATCCTCCAGACGCACCACAAACTGGGGGTTGGATGTGAACGTGGCTGGAGCAGGAAGAGAAGAATCTTTTACATGGGGTAACACACAAATCCCTGCTGACGCACACAGGACTTGTGATTTGTGAGTAACCTCTGTTATTGAGGCAGCCGCCAGCTGTGGAGCCAACTCTCCACATCCCCTCAAACTGGTGGTGGTTCCAGTGGCCCACTTCATCGCTCCCAAGTGTGTCTGGACTTAAGTTGCAGATCTCCAGCTTGGAAAAGTGGTGCATGAAATCTGAATAAGACATCCTGAGGAAGAGAACATATATAAGTTGCCTTCAAAAACAATACTCAGACCCATTTCTTACAATAAGAAAGAAAGTTTATGAATGTGACATGTAATTGTTACTAACAACCTTTAGACTTACCAGAACTCTCCATCTTCAGCTACATGATTCAGTTTGGATTTCTCATCTGTACTGACATGGTTCCATTCACTGGATCTTGTTTTTTGAAAAATGTTGGCATAAAAAAGTTATATTTGATGGTTAATTGACAGTTTATAAATATAGATTCTAAGTATTTACCCATCGCTCCAAGGCCCTGTCCATTCCACCTGGCCCCATGGGTTCCTGATGCGAACCAGCTGAACTTCTCTGCCGCGAAAATTTACCTGCAAAAAAAGTTGTGTGCATGAGGCAAACCAAAGGTAGATAAATTCCACAGCACTGATCATTTGGATAAATTGCGAACCTCTTCTGCCCCAGTGACAGAGTATGCATGTCCTTTTACGAGCTTCAGCGTGGTCACTGCCTCTGATTCATAAGCACTGGTGATCTACAAGTGTCAAAATTAAAAGTAACTATTCTATTATTGTATATTTGATTTTTAATACAGTTTTTTTTTTTATTTCCATGCAAATGAATGGGGGGGTGGAGCGTACATCAATCGAGCAACCCATTAGTGAGCCCAGTGTTAGGGCTTTCTGAATGATTTTGAAGAGATGTGGTGGAGCCTTGTTTAAGGTGTATATTTCAGCAATTCCTCCTGTAAAATCTTCAAAGCCCTCTATAGTGTTTCCACCTGCCAGTGCTTCATAGCAGCCATGAACCCTGTCAGACACAGAGAGATGGTAACATATTCCACCCATACACTCAAACTCAAATATGACGATTTTGACGAGGAGCGGGATGTGAAAATGAGTCATCCATACTTAGCATAAGCCTTCTCTAACAAGGCACTCCAAAACTCTGTGCCCTCCTCAGAGTGGACAAACAGCAGCTTTCCATCTCTGGTGGGTAAACGGTCATCTATCACCACATCCACCCATTCACCATACTGCCAGAACTGCATGAAAGCACCAGAATCACAGTGTCATCCACAGACCAGAACCTTTACTGTACAATTTCACATTGAAATGAATCACTGGTCTTTGGTGTTGCATACATACAGAAAAGCACATCGGTGAGCTCCCTGTTTATTTTATGCAATAAGAAAAACTTTGCCTTACCTGAAAGTGAAATATTCCAGCATAGTCTTCAGTAAAACTCTGACTGGGAGGCACCACTCGGGAAAGGATTCGCTGGTCAAGAGTTAATGAGGCTATGGCAGCCAGTAGCCAGCAGTCTCCTGATAGGAAAGGCAAATAGTTGCATGATAAGCTAATCTCTTCTTTGTGCCACATTCTGACCCACACCTACCTAGAGCTCCCTGACAAATATCTGTCCTTGTGGCTCCATCATCAATGAACTTTGGGTTGGAACACAGCTCCTGTAAGACATGCAGAAAGTTAAGTCATTCTGAAGTTGTTCAAATAAAAGACCTGCACTTGGAGAACATTTTTGGCTTTTTTTGTGCCTTTTTTCTTTCTACTGTGTCTTCATTAGTGGCTTGTTACCGTTGGCCTCTTCCAAACGATCCCTCTGGTCTTGGATGAGTATGGTCCCAGCTCGTTGTAACCCAGTGACTTGGGCTCTGCTGGAAAGCAGTCATCCTCAAATAGGCGTCCCCTTTTCAGACACTCCTGCCGTAGAGTCTCATAATTCTGCCGCTGAAACCACACTGCATTGTCGTTGGTTCCAATGCCTTTCTCCCTCTTCTTCTGATGGGCCAGACGATCGGCTGTGGAAGTCATCTTTACCTCGCCGTATGTACTCTCCCAGGGAATACCTCTTTGTTTGCCGGGTTGAGTTGACTTGTAAGACGATCTTCCGGGAGCTGAACACAACACGGATGAGGCTTTGTCTCAGTCGCCTTTATAACTGCCCTCTGGTGATGGGAAGATGGCTGATCAGAGACAGGGAGGGGCCAAAAAGGGCCAGGTGATACTGCTGGAGCAGACAGCACCAACCATACGCAAATCTGTTTTGGGATGGCTGTGACCACAACTGAACACAAACAGGGACACACCTAAAGGCAACAACAGCGGACACGCTCAGTGGAACCTAAGGATGCGTTGGGATGGGGCAGTGGAGGAGTTGACACTTATTTGTCCCTCGCTTCAAATGATAACAGTCATTATTGTTTACATATTTTTCAAAGTTTATTTAAAACTGCATATGCCTGCTGTAAGGTCAAATTAAGGCAAGAGAGATCCTTTTTTCAAGAGTCTCGTCAAAAAAGTATTCCATAAAGCAATCACAACACAGAGTTGGGAAAGGTGCTCTTAAGCTCATTTAATGGTTTCATTTGGTACAGATATGAATAACAATGGCACTACATTACAACATGTAGCCTGGAGAATCTAAGCACCCACACAGTCTGCAAGTGTGGCGTATCCTTTTTCTTGGCCCACATCCTTCTGAAAACAACAAAGCTAAGCCTAAAACAAACACCTCTCAAAGTTAGTTTGACCAAGAATTACACTGATCTGCTCAGACTTGTTCATTTTAAACATGATTCATTTATGTGTAAATACTCATGTTCAGTTAAAGGCCAAACTATGCACAAGAAAATATCAAACTTTATTAATAAATTACATGAAAATAACACACAATAGTTGTCATAATACTTTATGGCACTCTATCATTTTGCTGAAACAATTTTTTTTTTTAAAAATTAGGAAAGTCAGTCGAGACTAAAACTGTTTATTTGGTAGAATTTGAATACACTTAGTTCATAACTGGATAATTCACGTTATATTAATTGCAGTGGAGCAATTCTACTTTCAGGATAACAGATAAAAGGTTGATAACTATCTAGTCAAAGTTTCTTTCTTTATTCTTTTTTCAAAACCTTTTCTCTTCAATATTTTTAACATTTGCCTAATCTGTGAGTAGATTTAGAGTGCAATGATTGTCCATCTAAAGAATTGTGAATTAATGATTTTAAAATGAATTTTATTTTAACAGTAAAGTAAAAAACAACATGGATGGACTTGCTTAACTTCTGGATTAACATTCAAGCAACCAAGGTGTGTTACTATTAAAATAAATTGTGATATCATAACCTTTCAATTCTTCTGCTGACAGTAGAACCTAAATCTAAATTAAGGAAGCGACTCCTTCCTGTATAGGAGTTTTAGTGCTTGAACACCCTGTACAGAGTAATGCTGATGATATCTATATTACTGTGTCATCAGTGCCGTTTGCCCTGCATCCAACACAAAAATTAGATGAAAACTTTTCAGGGCAATTCGTGTGATGATGGAATGTCTCTTCCCATTGATTTTTCTGTATTGCTGTTATTTTCTAAGATGTTTGATTTGGGTTTCTGCTTGCATTCAGCGTGCTCTCTATGAGACGTAAAAAATCAATAAGATACAAAGTCCACACCAAAGGGAGTTCTCATAGTCTCCACTCTGACGGAGAGTGCTTGTTTGCTTGTCTGCAGCAAAGTGAAATGCATTTGCATGAAGCTTGTCAGGTGGTTTCTGAGCATGCCTTTTTAGCTTTTAACTATTCAAATGCTGGACTGCCTGCAGCCTGACCATCCAGACTTAACAATCATTAGAAATACTTTGATGTAGTGAATTTATTAGATTACTGTCATTTTTTTAGATGACATGATGGCTTAAATTCAACATTGATAGAATATATGTGCTTTATCCCTTATTTACTGTCTGCTTTGCTTTTTCTCACCAAAAACCTGACCTGAGTCCTACACTGTCACTGTGTTGGCCTGAATTCAAAACTGCTTTTGAATGTTATATCGAAAGTATCAGAAACAAGTCTGCATGCTAAAACGTGTAATTCCATTAGTTTTTCTTTGTAGAACAGATCAAATATATTTCTGAGTGTTATGGTTTTTTTTCAGCAGACTTCAGAGCTGTCTTTTATAATTCATTTCAGGACAAATGTGTCTGATCTTGAATCTATTGTGTGGACTTGCTTACCACATTAAAGCCGTGTACCAAGCTGGACACAAATGACATTGAGCTGGAGAGAGCTTTTTATTGGGTATACTCCCTTTGAATTTTCATATTAAAGGCCGTTAACATGATCCAAATAGTTTGTTTATTATGCCTTATTGTCACAAACCTGTGCTTGACTGGTCAGCAACATTTCACAACATTATGTGAAATTTTGAGGTTTGATCAGTTATATTTAGGATGTGATTTCATTTAAAACGCCAAAATAATTCTCTCCTTTAATATTACATAAGATGCAATAGTATAATCCCCCCCCCCAAAAAAAATGCTATAATGAAATGCATCCTAAATGAGCAAAAGTGGAATCTATTAAAAAACAATTGACCCCAAAAAACAAAATTCACATGTCAACAGATGTTTTTTTTACATCCATGATCGATCGTGCAGCTTTTTCTTTTTGTCCAAGCAGATTAATTTGTTTTGAGGATTGAATTGACATCTTGTGGGTTAGCTCATCATATTTGTGGATGTTTTGTTAACTGCATGAAGGTAGTAAAACACAGACAAGAACCTTATCAGCGTAATGACCGATGACCTTAAACCTTTGCTGTCTTTGCATTAGATACCATCAAATGCATTACATTAGATGACTCTGACCTTGTGTTAATGATGTCGTTATGATGTGTGTGTGTCATGATCACAAACAAAAACGCTGTCTGTCAGTGGGGCGTCTGGCGCCTCCTGCGGCAGGTGTCGGTACTGCGGGTGTGGTGAAGGCCGGCCCCTCCTACTGTGGAGGCTGGTCTTTCCTGCAGAAAGTGTGTGTGTGTGTGTGTGTCTGTGCGAGTGTGTGTGCATGCGTACTGTAAATGCCCGCTGCTTTCTCGGATTCTCAGATTGGCGCAATTACCAGATCGTCTCTGTCCGAATCCTTTTGGGGGAGCTGCTAGCGTTCTTCTCAGAGGTGGTGAGTTATCTTTATTTCCTCAAGGCAAGGTTAACGGTGCCGCATGTTTTTTTTTTTTTTTTGGCCGTGGTGCAGGCCAGCTTGGGGTTTGCTGGATTAAATCTCTCTGCAGGTTTAATCACAATAACGGCAGCCACCGTGGTCACATGATCACCGGCAGCTGTCGGGTTTCTCTGGGAAAAGTCAGCGACTTCTGAATGATCTTTTGTTGTCTCAAATCTTTCAGTCATCCTGTAGGCCGTCGCGCTTTAAGACGGGCCTGCCTGTACTTTCTGAACAGGTGCTATAACCACCGCAGGCTTAGGCCACATGCCTGGCATGTTGTGATTTTTGGGAGCAGCAGGCCCTGAGAATTCGCTAAGGAAAACTTACAGCAAATCTCTGTCCGGGGGTCTGTCAGAGCTGTGATCTGACGGAGGGGGCTGTGTTGGTGTTTTAAGGGTGTTGCTGAGGGTAAAGTCCAATGAATGACATCACCGTCATTAAAGTAATTCTACTGATTTGAGGAAATGGAGATGCCCTTTTTGGCGGAGGTCTGCATTTGTGCCTCTTTGTTATTTTTAACAGTGGGGGACAATCCCGTAGACTCTAGTTATGTGGGGCCTCCGGATGGGGGGCTGGCCCCTTTAAACAATGTCCTTGCTTGTATCAAAGGCTAAGCCTGCATGTTTTTCTCCCCAACACATTCTGGAGCACTGTCATTTCCATCATTGATCCCCTTTTTCCTGACCACTGTAGCCTCATCCGGCTTTGTACGGCTCCCTCTCAGAGCTCATTAGAATTCTCAGTGAGTGCAGCAGAGCTGCCTAATGTCCCAGTACAGAACCAGATAGCAATCAGACGTCCTGTGAACCATCAGCCTAATGTGTTGAGAAACATTAGGTTGATTATACCTTTTTGGACAATCTCTACGTGGTACGGAGAGAAGAGAATTCAGAGAAGAGAATTGGAAAAATAAATTGATTAAAGCTTAATTTCGATGCAGATCAGTTGGACTCTGTGCCCTGTTTCAAAGTATGTAAAAGAAAGATCTTGTGTTTAGAGCCAAAACATCAATGAATGCTCCCTCTCTAACTCTGCTTTTGTCTCATTCTCCTTCTCAGCCTGACCATACAGACAAGGTATCATGTGTCTTATTTGATTATTCTCAGCTTTCTTGTGTTTTAGGTTCTGTCTTGTCTCACTTTCCTCTGACATCCCATTTTATCTACGCGCGCTCCCTGTGTGCTCGGCTGGGCTTTTATTCTAATGTGTTTCTGACTGACACTCCCATAGAAGCACTTTGCTCATGTCCTGATACACCATTTACATTTGAGTTGGGACTGTTTATCCGACAGTCGTTTTAAACCAACAGCCAGAACTGCTGAGGCCACAAGTCTGTCTAACTGATATATCTCACAGGTTTTCAACATTCGTTGGTAACATCATCCAAAAATATGTCTATTTAAAAAAGAATCTGCTGATAGAAAAGACTTGCCCTTGGGTACCTCTCTGGCTAAAGCGTTTGCTTTGTGCTGCTTGCAGGCAAACAGTACAGTATCTCGTCCAATGTGGAGTTTCAAGTTTGTTGAAAGCTGATTTTTTTTTTTCCCTCAAGTGCACTACTTATTCCGGTGCTGTAACTCTTCGACAAGTGTGTGCCACTGATTAGCCAGCTGCTATTTATAGATGGTACCATGTATATCCGCCCACCAACGCCATGTTTTTGTTTGCTCCTGCACCAGTATGTATCCGGTCGGAGGGATATCTGCAAGCATATACGCCAACAGGCTCCGGGCAGAAGGCATGGGCTCCAACGACCAGGCTGTGCACTTCGCCAACCAGGACTACGAGGCACTCAAGCAGGACTGTGTGGAGTCGGGCTGCCTGTTCGAGGACCCCTGCTTCCCCGCTGAGCCTCCGTCTCTGGGCTTTAAGGAGCTTGCACCTTACTCCTCTAAAACCAGAGATGTGGAGTGGATGAGGCCCACGGTGAGAAAAGTTAACGCTGTTCTCAATAATAGCTTTGTGTTAACATAAAACAGAATAGGTATATTTTTTTACACAGATATTTACTCCTCACAAACCCATAACACAGGTTTTTTTTCTTTGCATTTTGTCTCCAGAATTTAACTTAATAGAGAACCAAACTTTTTTTCCTCTATATAAGGAGGAAGATCTTTGTTTGATAAGCTACCAAACACACATCTTATGAATATTTCAAGCCTAAAAAACATTGCACAAAATTTAGAGGCATGAGCCAATTAACCATAACCAGAGATGATCTTTACAGATGGACATTCACCTGATTGCTTCCATTGAGCTCATCAGAAATTTGCTTCTTGGACGTTTGTTTGTCCAATAGTAATTCTCCAGGATGGTGGCAGGGGAGAAAGGACCAGGGCATGCAAACTGATACAAGAGGTGGGACTGAAAATCCCTGGAAACAGGTCTTAAACCTGACCCTCAACATAACTTAAGCAGTGGGGTTGTGGGCCAACGTTTAAACAGGGGCTTTGGAATGCCTTTCAAAAATGTGTTGTGGTTCATAAGCGGAATATATATTGTTTTTTTTGTTTGTTTTTGTGCAAGTAAACAAACATATCAGTTCCACTGGTTCATTTCATCTCTGCAAACCCAGACTGAATAGAGCAAGTCTGGACAAGAACTCTGCAGACCTCTGCAGCTGTTGGCATTTCATGACCAGCCCCTGTCACGGCCACATTTGTTGGCAGTGCCTTGTTAAACTGAAGGGAGATGACACATAGAGGACCAGTTAAATAAAAATTTATCAGTCTGCCCGGTGAGGGGGGGGGGGGGGGGGCTGTTTTGATGTCTTGCTGAGACGTAAACATTTTGTGGACAGGAGCTGACAGCTGACCCTCAGTTCATCGTGGGTGGTGCCACCCGGACAGACATCTGTCAGGGGGCTCTGGGTGAGTCCTAAATGTGAAATCCCACGTGCAAAAAAATAAAAAGTAGGAAGACGCAGGGGGATGGGGGCTCCTGATTCCACCCTCTGTCCTGCAGGTGACTGCTGGCTCCTGGCGGCCATCGGCTCTCTGACTCTGAACGAGAGGCTCCTTCACCGCGTTGTCCCGCACGGCCAGTCCTTCCAGGAAGACTACGCAGGAATCTTCCACTTCCAGGTTCCTCATTTATATTTCTTACTCATATCCCCTGAAAGCACTTTGCACAAATGGAGTTCCTGATTATTGCGCCGTGTTGCAGTTCTGGCAGTTTGGCGAGTGGGTAGACGTTGTGATTGATGATCGATTGCCTGTCAAAGACGGGGAGCTGATGTTTGTGCATTCAGCCGAGGGCAATGAATTCTGGAGTGCACTCCTGGAGAAAGCTTACGCCAAGTACGTCTTTAGAGATCCTGCTCCATTATTCAGCATGGGTGTGCTTTGTGGGGAATAACATCCAGCAGAGGCGATGTTGGTCAAGTGTGCTCTCTGTGTGATACCAGGCTGAATGGCTCCTACGAGGCTCTCTCGGGAGGAAGCACCACTGAGGGATTTGAGGACTTCACGGGCGGCGTGTCTGAGATGTATGAGCTGCGCAAGGCTCCAAGAGATCTGTACAGGATCATCAGCAAGGCTCTGGACAGAGGCTCCCTGCTGGGCTGCTCTATTGATGTCAGTGCTAATCGCACTGCAGGGCCAGTTGCATTAAAAACAAACACTTTTTATTAAAACAAACATCTTAGCTGTAAAGCCCATAATCATTGCAGCGGTGTTCTTCTTACAGATTACCAGTGCCTTCGACATGGAGGCCGTTACATTCAAAAAGCTAGTGAAGGGCCACGCCTACTCCGTTACAGGCCTGAAGGAGGTCTGTTTCTGTCTGACTCTGCTATCCTTTTTTTCAAAGCTCTCTCTAAGGTTGAAAGTTGTTTTAACTTCTCTGCCACTCTGCTGTCTCATAGGTCAATTACCGGGGCGACATGCTACGCCTTATCCGAGTACGTAACCCTTGGGGGCAGGTGGAGTGGACCGGTGCCTGGAGTGACAAGTGGGTGTGCCCAGCAACTATTTACTTCTGCACTGACAGCTCTCCGACCACATTTCCTTCTGTTAGTGTCATATTTGAGTTTCCTTATCTGTGTTGTTTTGCTTGTTTCTTTAGTTCCTCTGAGTGGGATGAGATTGACCCCTCAGAACGAGAGGACTTGCATCTTCAGATGGAAGATGGAGAGTTTTGGTAAGGTCTGCCAGCCGGTGGATGTTGTGTAGTGGAAAGAATTTAAAGGAATGATTTGATTTGATTAGAGCCTGCTCATGGAGGATAGATAAAGCTTTTTTTTTAAACCAATTCTGTTTAGAGCTCAGTTTGGTTTGATCAATTGTCAATGGAGGAGAAAGGAATGCGAGCTGGCATCACTAAAGCTTCCTCACAAACATGTTGTTACGCTCTTGGGTAAATGAACCTGACAGAAACACTTTGCATCAACATGACAGCACTCTGGAAAGTAGAAGTGACTGGCTTTTGAGAAACCTTCACAGCTATTCAAAGCTGAGTTGCTCTAACGCAGTCGGTGAAGTCCATCCACCCATCCATTATCATTACCGCTTATTCCCTAATGGGGTCGCGGGGGGAACTGGAGCCTATCCCTGTGGTCAGTGGGCGAGAGGCAGGACACACCCTGGACAGTGCGCCTGTCCATCGCAGGGCCGGTCTGTGAAGTGTTTCCCGTGAATGATTATTTCTGTGTGTGACACATGTGGCTCCAAAATCAAAAATAAATGATTCGGTATTATTGATGCTGCTTTTTAAAAAATGATTACCACCCTGTCACAAGAAACCCTGCTGGTTGTCCCCATGTTTTAGGAGCCATGCTGCAGTGCATCAAGTCCAGACTGTGACGTGACTCTCGTCTGACATGGAGTAATAGCATAGAGTAATATTAAGCTATGTTTTCAACTTCCAGGATGTCCTTCAGTGAGTTTTTGAGGCAGTTTTCTCGACTAGAGATCTGTAACTTGACTCCGGACGCTCTGAGTGAGGACAGCGTCAGCCATTGGAACACCATCAAGTTCTATGGCACGTGGAGGAGGGGCAGCACTGCCGGGGGCTGCAGGAACCATCCCAGTGAGTTTCAGATGCATGATAGACGATGCATAATGGTATCAATCGGTCTTAAAAAATGCGATACGTTATGAGTGTTTTCGTCAAGCGGGCTCAACATAAGTGCGCTGTTTGTGCAGACACATTCTGGATCAACCCTCAGTATAAAATCACATTGCTGGAGGAGGACGACGACCCAGAGGATGATGAGGTGGCGTGCAGTTTTTTGGTAGCCCTCATGCAGAAGGACCGCCGCAGATACCGCCGCCAAGGTCAGGACATGCACACCATTGGCTTTGCTCTGTACGAGGTGAGAGGGACCATTTTATTGGTGTTGTTGTTTAGTTTGTTCGCACAATTAAAATGTTACATTTTGTCACTGTTTTCCCCTCATCTTGTTTTGCAGATTCCAGAAGAGGTTAGTGGACCACAACTTTCTAACTGCTGCTTGAACCATGTCATAGTCTGGTCGTTTTATTCATCCTGATGAGTGTTTAAGGGTGTTTTAAGGTTTTTGCTTTTTCTAATTATCATTATGCTTTTTGGCTGTTTTTTTGGTTTTATGGACATTTTGTTCATCAGATTTCTTTTACAAAGTTAGCTTACAGAAGGTTTGTGCTTAATGCTTTCAGTCTGTCATGTTAGCTTATCTTGTCATAGCAATCAAGAATATATGAAAATGTTCCATTCCACTCTAGTTTGAAAGACTTTCTAAAATGGTTAATAGTTAAAGTGTAACATAACATAGAATGATTTGGTGAACCTAAAATATGCCAAATTGCTTCTAAATAGCTCTTTCGTTACCTGCTTCCCTCAGTACAGGGGCTGCCAGAATGTCCATTTAAAGAAAAACTTCTTTCTGAGCAATTCGTCATGTGCACGCTCTGAGACCTTCATTAACCTGCGGGAGGTGAGCACCCGGCTGCGTCTACCCCCGGGAGAGTACCTCATCGTCCCCTCCACCTTCGAGGCGGGCAAAGAGGCCGACTTTGTCCTCAGGGTGTTCACTGAAAAGCAATCTGAGACAGAGTACGTGCCAAACGCATAGGGTTTTTTTGCTTACTTTAATCGTAATTTGCCCTATGGACAGCCTCATTTTTGCTGTCTGTTGCAGAGAACTGGACGACCAAGTCTCGGCCGATTTGGAGGATGAGGTAGGCATCAATGACACAGCAGGAAATGCTTGTCTCCAGTTGAAAATGATTTTTTTTCTTGTCACCAGCATCTTTATACTTTTTTTCTTATAGGAGGAAATAACAGAAGATGACATCGATGAGTCTTTTAAGTCCATGTTTGCTCAACTTGCAGGGGAGGTAGGTCCTGAAAAGTAGGTCTCTTGTTTATCACTCTCCATTGACAGATTTCTGTTCTTGATCATATTTGGAGCATTTTATTGATAGCTAATATAATTGGATTTATAGTATTTGATCTTAAAACTATACAAATACAGGGCTGTAATCATATTGTTAAAGAAGCTAATATAACATATTTTTCTCTGTGCTTTCATTTTCTTTATTAGGACATGGAGATTTCTATTCGTGAGCTTAGGACCATTCTGAACAGAGTCGTCTGCCGGCGTGAGTTTTCTGTTGAGTTTTGGTACAATTCTTAGCTGCTGGAGAGTGCTGCTGATTAGTTGAACATATCCCGTGTTAGATCCCGCGGCTGTGTGTGCGCCATGCGTCTCCTGCGCTTTCTAGCGAGCCTTTCGGCCACGGTCAAAGCTGTTAGCATGTGTTTCAGATGCGTATTTGCTGTTTCAGACAAAGATGTGAAGACTGACGGCTTCAGTATGGAGTCCTGTAGAACCATGGTCAACCTCATGGATGTATCCTCCCTATTTAAAACACAAGAACCGAAAAGTTGGCTGAGCCGTTTCATTTTAAAGAGCGTGTGTGCGTTTGGCAGCTATAGTCCTTGATCCAGTGCTGACAGAAAGATGGCAGCGCCCATTTAGGAATGGTGGAATTTCAGATCCTCTGGAACAAGATCCGCAAGTGGCTGGTAAGAACGATTCAGATTTTGACATTACACACAGGTAAACCCACTTGGTTCCTCTTTAAATTCCTTTCTGAATCTCTTAGGTCATTTTCAGGCAGTTTGATCTGGACAAGTCTGGGGCCATGAGCTCATATGAGATGCGGCTAGCTGTGGAGGCAGCAGGTATTCTGCTATTCACTGCCTCTGACATTTATACAGAATATTTAAAGAACTTGAATGATATTTCCTTCATGTATGTACATAAATAGGTTTTAAACTCAACAACCAGCTGAACCAGATTCTGGTAGCACGGTATGCAGAGAACGAAATGATCGACTTTGATAACTTCATCTGCTGCTTGGTCAAGCTTGAATCCATGTTTAGTGAGTAAAACTGCTGTATGCTTTGTGAAAATACATACAAATATGTCAGTAGTGTTGAAAAGATTAATTAATCTGTAATCACTTTCAATTTAACAGGGTCTTTCCAGCAGTTTGACAAAGAAGGATCAGGAGTGGCAGAGCTGAATCTCACAGAGGTGAGCAGTGTTAAAAACAAGCTCCCTGCTTCTCTGTTTTTTTCTCTTCTTGTCTCACTTTCAATCTCAAATTTTCTAGTGGCTTTACCTGACAATGTGCGGTTGAAGAAATGGCCTGTCTGGACCGGAGAAAGGTGTAAAGTCGTGCCTGCAGCTCTGAAACCGCCCCCCCCCCGCCCCAGCCTATTTCGCTATTCACCTTACTGCAACTAATAGTATAAAAAGTTTAATATAAGACCAAAGTCAAACAGAGCAAAGTGTATTTCAGCCAAACTATGCAAACTCTCAACAGGAAGCAGACACTCCAACATCTTTCATCACATAAAAGGGTTTAAAAAAGGGGAAAAATGTGCCTGTGCATGTCAAACCACAAACAGTTATTTTACTGTTGCAGTGATTAAGTCAGCTTTTATTTACTTTATTTGCTCCAAAAGTTTAATTTGTTCCTATAATACTTTTAAAGTCAAAGTTACTTTAATTCTTTCTACTGTGACCTTTTCCATTCAATTTAAAAATAAATGATCACCTCAGTGCTGTTATTCCATGTTACACCTGTAGGTGGTAGTGTAGACTACTGTCAAGTTGGATTTTTTTTTCAATTTTATGTTCAAGTTTAAGCCTGTAGAACATTTATATTTTCCTGTACTTTAAGTAAGGCCGTTGTCTCTTACTCTTACAAATGTCAGAATATAACTTCAGTTGAAAGGAGATGCTTGTGATGTTGCCTTGTATTAATAAAAAAAGTATTATTTCACCTTCCATTTGCAGGAATAGCAAAAGTCTACATGTCAGTCACTTTTTGTTTTATGAATGTATGTTGTGCCTTCATTAAATATTTCCTCTGAACTGCTAAACTGGTGTTTGTTGTGTTCATAATATAGGACACGGCCCACTTTTACTCGTTCAAAGTGCAGCAGACACTTCCATTTAGAAGGTAAAGGTCATATTTATTGTAACCATAATGGACACCCAATAAAATGCCCGACATGTTGACAAGGACATTGCTGTATATATGGAAAAACAAAGTACAATGTAAAATTAATGTTTGGATATGGTCCTGTCTAGTTTATTAAAGACAATGTGAGTGTAAAATGTTCACATACAAGACACTGTTGAATGGTACAGTCATACAAATGAACTAGCAATCGCCAAGACTTTAGAATAATCTCCTCCCTCCAGTTGACGGAGATGTGTGGGTATAGGGACCTTAATCCTTGTTCCTGTTGGGTTGCCGTTCTCCTCAATCAGAACAACATTGTTTGAGTCAAAGCGCGGATTCATACGATCTCCAGGCATTTTGTTTCCTACAATTAGGGCTTTCTTCTTCTGGCCTTTGATGGCAAGTAACACTTTGTCGCCAACTTTTCCAACGCCGTTCTTGGTGTAGACGTGGATCACTCTTGGCGGACGATGATATGGTGTATTTCCTAGAGAGCTGTTGTCCACTACTCGCACCCTTGACATTTTCTGAATGGCAGCTGCCACAGCAGACACACTGACCAGATGAAAAATATTCTTTAATATTTTCAGTTATTTTAAATAGCATCCTAACAGGGCGTTTTGTCCTCAGTGAATGGTTGTGGCATGTTAGAAATAAGTTTTTCACTCGATTGAAATGTAAAGCAAATTTGTGTAATGCAATTCAATATAATCTAATTATTGTACTGTATACAGTAATGTGATCAAATCACAAGAAAGGAAAATGCCTGTGGTGCTCCGTACAAGTTATAAAAAAAATCTAAAACAATTTCCTAAAACTACATTATGTATGATCAATTTCCAAGAGAAAAATGTAGTCTCTTCTATAAACATTTAAGAGACAGGGTGTTATTCTCCTTATACTTACCTAATACTTCTTAAAAAAACTGTGGACGAATTCTCTACGAGGAGCCCTTGGAGTGATCTTGAAAGCCGGGGTAGAGCCATAATCACATCGAGTCTTGGGTTGACTGCAAAGACAAAATATGAAACGTTGTGGGGTTAGCAGCTAAAAAGCTACACGGTTTGCTAACGACACATCTACCGCTAGCAATCTTCACATGGTAGTAAGAGAAGCATTCAAAACAGATAATACGTTTCATTTTGCGGTCTATGTCCCCGACATAATATAAAAAGATAAAGAATTACACGTGAATACATCAAAGTCCAAGTTTAAAACATTTAAAGTGCTAATGTTACCCTTCTATCACGCTCCATTCCAATGTCAAACGTATAACGTCATCAGCAAGGGACCTACTTTTAATTCAGAGTACCAACATTATTAATGCAATTAACCACTTAATCCCCATTAAAAATAATTTTGGCTCTTTTTTTTTAGAATCAGAAAAATAAATTAAGTATGTACGCAGAACAATTCATAAAATCAGAAGACGGCTGTTGTTTATCTGTTAAGCTCTATACGTCATAAAGACGCGACAGAGAAAAATATAGAAATATAATAAATAGAAACTGCATATAAGATATCATGAGGCCACATGCCGTATGAAGATGCAAATCTTTTCTATGCACTCTACTTCTGTAGAGTGGATCCCAATCCAGACTTCGCTTCTGTTGGACTGGTTAGGTTAGGGATAGTTGTTCAACCGGCTGGTTGACAGACATGACCGTGGCAGTATACGTGTGATTATGCGCACTTGCAGTTAGTAAGTCAGTTTAACTAAGTAGCTGTGTATAATTTGTTGTAGTTTTTCTAACCAACTCTCATTGGATTTCAATTCTTCGACAGTTTGTAGCCTCCACCTGTTATTTGCTACATCGCAGGGCTAAGTTAGCCAACGTCACGGTTACTGTTGACTGCTAGCTCAAACTAGCAAAGTGTTACAGTTTCTGCCTCTGCTGCGTATGAAAGTGAGGTAAGTAATTATTATTTTTTAGCCGACAACTTTGTATTTATTGATGTACCAGCTGAAACCTGTTACATCGTCCTACCCAACAGGGGTTGATAATCCTCACGAAGGAAGAAGTCGGGAACAAACACATCCTTTTATCATTAGCGTTGGGCTAATTTGTTTTAAATTTTAATTGCAGGATTATATTTTCTCTTTAATACAAATTTATCTTTTGGCATGCAGATTTACATTATTTTCCACAAGAAAACACTGTGATAATAATTAGATTATGTTCTCCCTAATGCCGCAACCCATACTTTTACTCGCTCAATGCGTGTTTTGTTGACAGATTAGACTGTCATATTGAATATCAAGGTTTTCCAAGGCGAGTATACTTTTCAAATAACCCAGAAAAACTGTTTGGAGAAGCTTGTTACATGTTTTCACGTCGGGGAATGATTGTAACTTAAAAAGTGCGAGGCCGTGAATGATTCTGCTTTCCTTGACAGCCTGCTCATATAACCTGAGGCTTGGTAGTGTCCTGACATGTCTGTAGATTACCAAGAGGACACCAACCAGTCCCTGTACTTCCAAGCTGTTTGGAAGTTGATTATTGAGGTGTTACCTGGATTTTTTTAAACAGATGTTAAACGACTGAAATTGTCTTTGTTGAGCGTTGAAGACTAGTCACAGCTTGACTGGGATAGTTAATCATCTAAGAGTTTCCCTGCATGTGCAGAGCCTATAAAAGGATAAAGTTAAGTTGGCTGTAGGCAGTCGTAAGAGTTCGCTTATGAGCTATTCTGTTTTAAACTCATTTATTGATTTATGAATATTAGCTGAACTTTTTCACAAAATGAGTATCAGTATGACATAATTCAGATGATAACATTTTGATACAAGCTGGAAAAGGAAAATCCCCACCAGAGTTACTCATAGTCTAATTAAACACCAGGTTCTAGAACCCAGGGATTGGTACTTATTTGATTTATTTAATATTTCTTTGAATTATAAAAAATCAAAATCAAACTGGTGACCCGATAACATGAAATTATTTCAAGTTCAGTCATGCAAATTTGTTGACACTTAAACTTAAAACTCACCTCAAACTCAGCTTAAGTATGCATGCTATCTCTAACTAAACTGCTCATGTACTTAATTATTCGTACAACCCTATATGATGCTGTATATTTGAATCCTTTAGGCTTTCCCTTACCGTCAAAAGAGGTTATTTTGGCTCCAGAATACATTTACGGTAGTTGGATTAGTTTTACCAAGATAATGTAATTCAATAGGCTGATGCAGTAATGAGATTGTGTTGAGTCATCTTTTCTTTTCCGTCACATCCCATCAGCACTGATTTTTTCTACATCAGATGTTAACATTAATGTACTCTTAATCCTACTGTTGAATTTCAGTGTCAGTAATTTAGGCCGACAAATGCTGATTATACACGCATGCCAGCAATGGAGAATTTAGTCGTACCTCTAACAGTTTCCCCTCATCTACTTCCCTTTTGGACCTCACCGTAGTCATAATTTTACATAAGGATTTTTGGTGATTATGGAAGAATACTTGGACATCTTCAAAACCTTGTGATAAACAAAGTAGTTATAATTAATTACATAATTATACCAAAAAGGCAAATACAGTAAAAGGTTTATCAGTCTTTAGCTTTCATTCACAGTTTGATATTTCCATGAAGCAGATGCTCTTTAAGCTTTCGCATTTCCGATTAGAGTTATTTAAAAAGGTGAATAATACATTCAAAAGGCTGAACTTCTACAATCTTTAAATACACTGACTATATCGAGAAGTTGAATTATAAAGAGGGAAATGCATTGTTTACACAAGCTAGGCTATTTCTTGTAGGGCGTGTATTTACTCGTTTTTCCATGTTGATAATGTGTATGTGGGACCTGGAGATGAAGACCCAATAAGGAAATCTCATCTCATCCTTATTTTCCTCTATGTAGAATAATGTTTTGCTCAGTCTATACATCCACATACTCATCAATAACAGTAACACAGCTGGCTTACCGTTGGAATGTTACTTGTACCTGTACTTTTGCTACATGTTGCAGCAACTTGCCATTTTAACAAATGGAGCTAAAAAGGGCAAGTCATTTTGCTTTCCAGCTGCTAATCTATTTAGTCTCTTACTGTATTCAAGTACTGAGTAGCTGCTAAAATATTGATGACAGTGTCAAAGACTTAGTCACACTGACACTGAAAGCTATGTCGAAAGTTTGTGAACGTAATGTCTCTGGATTGGGTGCAGTTCCTATTTCAATTCTTTTTTTTGCTCTATTTTTTACATTAATTCTATGTGATTAGCATTGTTTGGATTAGAGTTATTAAAATCTAATAAGCATGCAGCTGCCTGTATGGAATGACCTGCTCTATTGTTTGACTTTCTTTTAATACATTTTGTGTAGTTTGTCCTGGTAGTCATTTTGTTTGTCAAGCCAGTTGTATATTGTCCCCAGATAAGTAGTGAAAGCACAATGTTTTATCTGTGACAAACAGACTTATTTGAGGACTTACAAAAGGGACAACATTTTCTCTCCTGCTCCCCATGTCGCTGTAATGTTTGTTTGTGTCTGGAAAATGTGTCTGCCAGGCTGAGGGTATCATAGCAACAAGCATAAGGTGGAAAGGTAACACAGAGCTTACAAGGCGCTGAGTCATGCTTTCAAGAAGTGATGGGAATGTTGAAGGGAATTTCATCTATAAAGTCGATTGTTGTACTTTGCAGGCACCAAGGCCCAGATCAAACCGTGGGCCTACTTTGTCTCCTGGATTAGCTCATTTAAAAAAACAAAGCAGGGGAAGGCTGCTATGAAATCTGTTGATCGAGCAAGATAAACTGACCTGTAAACAGATGAAATTCAATGTGAACTTTTTGGCCAAAATTCAACGAATGTATGTTTGCAGAGAAGGTTTTGGTATTCGATAAAAGAAGCGCTGCTTACTGTAAAACAGGGGTTGGATATATTTGGGTTGTGTGACATGGACTTACAGGACTGAGAAAAGCAAATTATTCCATTTATATTTCGGTATCAGGCACACAAATGTCAAACAGTCATTCAAGGAACTGAAACTGTCTGGCTCATACCTCAGGGCAGCGACCCTGTGCTCTTACTCCCTGTCTTGTGGTTTTAATTGTGTTTTAGACTTGGAATTCCTCTATCTCCTAACCTCAAAGGGGTTTTAACATCTTTGTTAGAAATGGAGCTTAAATAAAAGAAACAGTCTCTGCTGATTTCTACTTTTGGGCTAATCTTGTAAAATAAGAATGTAACATGTAAACATTTTGAAGGGGGAACTGTAGGTACTGCAGCATGGGCTGTTTTTCTTCTCATTTTAAAATCTAATAAAGGCGAAGCAGAGATGCATTGAATTTGATCTCTAAATGATCCTTAATGTTACTGCAGTGCATCTGTGCTATGCCGCAGGGCTGTTGAAGGCACAGACAGGGGGGATGTGGTTTGCTCCTTGGGTTGAGACCGGTCCATTTGAACCCTGTGGTCTCTATCGGTTTATTGTTCAGCTCTGGCTGCGTCCCTCTCCAGTGATGTCACAACATTCCAGGGAGTGGATAAATGAGTTAGTGTTAGGGCAGATGAGCAGCATTGTGGACACTGCTGATAGTAGTGGGCAGAAGGGCTCAAGGATTTCACTCCAGCTGCAAAAAAAAACACCCTCGCCAGCTCTCCACTGAGCACCTATGTGACTGCACCAAACCTTGGCCCTGTCAGTGTGAAAGAATCCTTTTTGATGTGAGCCTGACGATTAGCTTCGGTAAATTTGTTTAGAATGGAGAAAATGCTTTTTGTCTGACACTGGGAGGTTTTCAGGAAGACAGGGCTGCTCTGTGGGGCGTTGGGCCTTTTAATAGCTGGTATGTGAGATGGGTAAAAGTAGTGGATTAGCAGCCTGATCTGTTCTGTATCTGGACATCTTTTTTGGCTACCAAAGTAATTTCTCCCCTATTGGCTTTTAAATGTAATGTGTGACGTGGACACTTTACAACAATCACGAACAAGGAACAGAAAATGCACATTTGGCTTCTTTTCTGAGTTCATGTGGTGAAGAGCAACGGCTAAAACGTGACTAATGACATGACAGCTTGTCTCATTGCTTTGGGTTAAGCAATCTTTCCATCTGTCTTATCTCCTTTTGTTCCTGTGCTGGCAGCATTACAGGTACTCTTCACTAGTATTTGTGATATCTTCACATATGCTAGTGAACAACACAGACTGAGATGACACCAAATCTGAAATGCTCATAGTTGTAAAAAAAAAACATGTCTCTCTTCTTTATCTTTTTTTTTATTTTTTATTTTTTTTACAGATTGTGAACATGCTCCAGTGAATGATGTACAGACTGTTGGTATTAACTGTGGCTGTCGGGGCAGTGCAGGGATGCAGCAACACAGAGAGCTGCCCAACAGTGTCCAATGCTTCCAGGGACTACTGCTACTCTGCTCGAATTCGCAGCACCGTACTCCAAGGGCTGCCTTTCGGCGGGGTACCGACCGTCCTCGCCCTTGACTTTATGTGCTTTTTGGTGAGTACTTTATTCAGTATCCTAAGTAATTGTGCAAAATTTAATCAGAGCTACACAAGACACTTTTTGCAGATGGCGAAATTCTGTGAAAGTGATGAACACCTTGTACTAGTTATGTAACAACTGTAAAGTAGGCTCTTTATAATGTAAATAAGGAGCCTAAGGGTGTTAACAAGCTCTGTTTGTTTTGTTCTTCTAGGGACTGCTGTTTGTGTTCTCTATCTTGAGAAAAGTAGCATGGGACTATGGCCGTCTTGCCCTGGTGACCGATGCTGACAGGTAACAATTTCTGAGATCTGACCCTAAAATTGCAACCAATTATGGACATTTGCAAATAATACAGTGTTTTTGCTGTGTTTAATTTATCCCTTTGTCCTCCATAAGATAGAAGTTGGATATTCAATGATTAAATGCTTTAATTTACTTCTGAATCATAAATTGGTACTCATTGAATAACATGTCAGGTTATGTGACACAAATCACCTACTACACTGAGTCTGGCTATTTGATCAACTTTTTGTGATACGTGAGGACAACAAACAAAACGGCTCAAAGAAGCAAAACGTGACTTATAAAGTTAGCAAAAATATTGATCGTATTGTATGGTTGATTCAAAGGAATCCGAAAAGCAGGCGCTGCTGGGGACAGCAGGTAAAGGTTTTGTTAATGCTGGTGCTGACAGATTAGAATGTAGGATTTTTCTGGTTACAAATGCCACTCTGATGTAAATTCCACCCTTTTCGAACTGGAATGCAAACCTCTGCCACAGTGTCCTGTGGACAGTTGGGGACGTCCAATGATCCACCATTGCTAATTTTCTTAATTTGGATTTTACGTGCGCGTGACATTTTTTCCTCTTTCTTTTTCAGCCCTGTTACAACATTGATGCAGCCTAATAAGGATGTTATGCTGATGAAAGCTGATCTAAATACAGAATGTATTTCTCATACGTTACTTATCAGTTTTGAGCGAATTTTCCTTTATTATCTATTTATTTGGCATAATGATTGAACTTTACTTGTGATCCTTGATGTTTTGTCCAGTAGCATGTTGGACCAGTGCTTGGCACCTGCTGGCTGTTTGTCTGTGGCCTTGTTATAAGGGTTGCACTTCTCAGACAAGAGGCAGACATCACATGGCCTATATTCCAGTAAGGAAGTCAGTGTCTGCAGCTTGTCTCTTAAAGGCAGCATTGCACTCTGACTTTGCCATGTCATGTTCCCTTGATAAAAGAAAAAGTGAGAACAGAGTGGTGTTAGAATAAGCCCTGTGAGGAGGAAGATGAGATCAATGATCTCGAGCTATAACCAATTTAAGGCTCTAAACAATTAGATTCATTTCCCACAAAATGTTAAAGTCTGTTTGCATTTAAACTTCATGGATGGCAGATCCCCTCTGTTGGCCAGTTTAGTGACAGATGGAGATCGGACACCACTTCAGGCTTCTTAAATGGTGAACCCTTGAACGTGCTTGACCCAGTGCTCCATTACCTACATCCCCCTGCTGGGGGCTGTGTGTGATGTTGCAACGTCACTATTTTTGCAGCTGCGTGTGAGAAGAGAATGGGGTTGCGCCGTGGTGGGAGGATGGGAGGGGGTGGCAGCATGGGACACTTTTGTAACGGACTGGAAATGCAGTTCGTTGCCAGATTACACTGCACTGTTTTTTAGATTCCCAAAAGGTCTGAAATGTCCTCTGAAGGCTATAAGAGGAGCTTGAACAATCAAATGACTTTTTGGTCATGTGAATTGCTTTTTGGCTGATCTACGAGAGTCATGACAGTTGGCTCATATAAAGGAAATGGTTACGATGTGACACAACATAAAGGTGGATGGGATAGGGGAGCCTAAGTAGAAGGCTTCATTAGTATGCTTGTGGTGTACTATGCCTCCTCGATTTTTTTTTTTTCTTACTGACTCCCTTTTTGTCCAACTGGGTAATTTCCTTAGCAAAGTGGCTTCTTTTTTTTTTCTTCTTATTTTTGTGTTTTTGTGTTTTTTACTTTTATCAGAAGAAAGGATCAACGGTACAGTCGTCTGGATGATCGGGAGTTGTATGTTATCTCTCCATTTTTATAGAACCGCTGCCCTTTTTTCCTCTCTTCTTGCCCCTCTTGGTAGTTAACCGAACTCACACCTCTCCGCAGAGGGCTCCGGCCTGTTTTTCCATGCTCGATGGCTTGGGTTCTTCTCCTCCTCAAGGCTTTTCCCCGTGTCAGACTGACTACTCTTCATCTCCTCGTCACTGTTGTACTTGTGCTGTTGGGTGTCCCTGTCCTCTTTCACTGTCCTAATCAGATCTGTCTGTGCTAATCTGTGCATTGACCTCTTTATGAAGCCTGAACTTCTTCTGTGTGAGCGCACACCATGAGCCACGCAGACAGGACGCTTACAGGGAGAGGTAAAGCTTCCTGTGGTTTCTCACAGACAAGTCCTTACAGAGTGCCCCAACTGTATATCAAGTCTGTTAGTGCTGAGATGGGGTTAAAGGAATGTTGGAGAGGAGAACTGACGATTCCAGCCTCAGGCTTATTCCTCGTTCCACTCTTTTAGAGCCCTTAAAAACCCTGAATGGCGTCACATTTCTGTGTAGGTTTGGTAACTGAACCACTTCCGACAGAGCCAAGGCCCTCTAGATATAAATTATTAATTGAACTGCTGAGTGAAAGCAGATTTCAAAACGGCGAAATATAAGATCTTAATACTGTGCTTCATCTAAGACGGTCTTTGGCTCTGCTGGACAACCTCCGTAGGTCTGTGTCATGGTCATCCCTGAGTTTCTGTTCATTCTGCTGTGAATGTCCTTCTGTAACGTTTTATATTCCAGCCTTTCCTGTGACAGTCTTGATGTATTCAGCCTGTGTAAAGTAGGCTCTAAACCTTTTTAACGCTGCATGAAATGGCTGCAGAGGTTCCCCCTGTGATGCACCGCTTAACCAGCACAAATCTGCTGGTTGGCTCACACAAGAGGGAATCTCTCCAGTAAATTTCTGAGCATGTGCTCGTGTTTTGTGCCGTAAACTTTACCACACTGAAGGTAAATCCGCTATCTTCAGAGAGAATGAACTAACACGAGCTCTAAGCGTGTGTTGTTGCTGGCAAGTCATGAAACTCTATGCAAACCTTTGGCGTTCTCTGCTGACAGTATTGCCTCCACCGTGACACCTGAGACTACCGATCGCTACGAGCGACTCACCTCAGTTTCAAGCTCAGTGGACTTTGAGCAGAGAGACACCGTAAGTGTACAATACGTATATTTTTACTGAAAAAGAGAACATGTATTAATGGAAAACTGTACAACTCTTGACTCCTAATGTACTCTTCTTTTCTAGGGCTTCTGCTCCTGGCTGACTGCCATCTTCCGCATCAAGTGAGTCAGCTTGTTGAAAATGAGCTGCGGTATCACTGAGCAAACAGCACATCTGCTTTTTCTCTCGGTTGTGAGTGAGTCTGAATTAGTTGCTGCTGTGTTCTCTCTGAAGGGATGAGGAGATACGGGAGAAGTGTGGGGAAGATGCCGTGCATTACCTGTCCTTTCAGCGGCACATCATCGGCCTGCTGGTAATAGTGGGTGTGCTCTCTGTGGGCATCATCTTGCCTGTTAACTTCTCAGGAAACCTACTAGGTGAGCTGCCCTGAACTTACTGAAAGAGTTCTGTCCGCTTTTCTTTTAACATTAAAAGATTTGTTTCAGGTTTTTTTCAAACATCTATGTACGATAATAGATTGATACTTTTAATGTTGTGTTGATTCATTACTTTTGTTTACACTTTCCTCAGGCTTATCTCCTTATCTTTTTTTCCTCTTTTACTAAAACTACTTGTGACCACTTTACATAGCTTCACAACCTTTTCTGCTTTAAAAAAAAGACTTGTTCAGAACAGTATAACCTGCTATTTGTATGATTAAAAAGCATTACGTAAATATGATGTAAGAATTATATTTGGAGTCTGATCAGTTTCTCTGGTAAGAGCAGCACAGTGCTTACGATTAACAGCATTAGGCAAAGGCAAAACATTTTAATTCATTTAATTCAAGTGAGATAAGAAGATCTACGTGATAAACTTCGGGTAAATCCAAAGAAATCTTTGCTGTGCTTATGCCTACAAGCCAAAAAAGTGTATGAGGGTATGTGGTCTTTATAGTCCTTTTCCTTTTCTGTTTTTGGCATTTTCAGACCATGTTCCCCATTCACAGCTGTGTTTTGTTCCGTGCCATAAAGGGGCAGCCTTTCAAACAACTGATTGTCCTGCTTGTTTTATTTTTTCCACAGAAAACAATGCCTATAGTTTTGGGCGAACCACTATAGCAAATCTGGGTGCAGAGTGAGTATTACTTATCCCACCCCTTTGTTTGGCAAGTACCACAGTGTGGAGACGTTTTCAGCTTTCAGTGCTGTAACTCAACCTTTTTGGTTTTGTTTTGCCCTTTATTTTCCCAGCAATGCACTACTGTGGCTGCACACCACCTTTGCGTTTCTCTACCTGTTACTGACAGTTTACAGCATGAGACGGCACACGTCCAAGATGCACTACAAGGAGGACGATCTGGTACAGTTTCATAAAATAACTTTGTAAAAGTTCTTCCTGCCTGTGCTTTGGCCTGTATCTGGTTGACAATGTCTCTATTATATCTTTTAATGTCCTTGCAGGTGAAACGTACTTTATTTGTCAACGGCATCTCCAAATATGCAGAGGAGAAAGAGATAAAGCAACATTTTGAGTATGCATTTCTCATACTTCTTTCTCACTGATGCATCTGGCTGCAGTTGCTATCTATTCCAGAACATACTCTGCTCTGTCAGCAAGGCAGAAAGCTGTGGGGTAACTGTGTTAAGATGTATGAGAGCCATGCCTTTTCCTGTTAAAACAGTTGTCTTGTCTGAGTTCTTGTGGCTGCGATGAGACAATAGCGGGCCTATATGTGTAATTGTGCCTAATAGAAGCCAGATGAGTTGAATTAGGAAAGTCATGTGTCAGAATGGTCTAAAAGCAAAGATGGGAGGTGCTTCACTTAGTTCTTACTCAGCTTGATATTGTTAAACTAAATTTCCTCCTCTGTTACTTCAAAACAAAGACACCGCACATAAAAAGCTATTTCAGATCAAATGAAAGATAATTTATGTGTTACAGACTTGCTCTGACTCTACTGAGCTGATGTTGAATTAGTGAGCTTTGTATGTCACATATAGCACGTTTGTGTATTTTAAAAGCCACTTAGTTTCCCTCTCTTCCTCTTTTTCAAAGGCTGGCATATGAAAACTGCTCTGTGCTCGAGGCACGAATCTGTTACAACGTGGCCAGGCTGATGTACCTCAACTCTGAAAGGTATCTGTGCTTTATCCCTAAGAAGGGGTGTTGTGTGTTGAAGGTTTGTACAGGGGTGTACTAAAGGTGACCCTTTTATTTCTGTCTATTTTTTTTTTCTTTCTTTCTTTCTTTCTTTTTTTTTTTTTTGCTGTATAGGAAGAAAGCGGAGAGGAACAAGAAGTTCTTCCTTGACCTACTAGCCAAGGAGCATGTTGACACCATGATAAACCCAAAACCCTGTGGACACCTCTGTTGTTGTGTCATTAAAGGCTGCGAACAGGTCAGAGTCACGTATTGTAGCGTTTTTTCTAGACAAAACACTCTCTTAATACTTGTTTACAAGACTAAACCTAAAGGACTCTGATGTTATGATAAAAAAAGCATGTGTCTGATTTTGAGTTAGCTTTTTTTGTATGCTGAGAATTAGATTTAAACACAATTCATCATTTTATAACTTTTCAATGTGACTAACATTGCATTAAGGTTCACATTAAAGAGCAGCTATACCATTTGTTTGTATTTTTAGTGCAGAGATCATGTGGTTTGACACATGATCCCAGTTGGATAAGGAGAAACAAGATTAGTGTAAGAATGACTGCATAAGAGGGGAAATTGTATGATTACTGCAGCTGATTCAAATTGATCACAGCCATCTTCTAAGTATAATTATTCACGCAAGTTTTTAATTTTTTCATTTGTGCTTTGCAATCGTAAGACAATTTGAAAGTTTCAAATGATAACTAAAATAGCTTCCTTACCATCTTGCTTACATAAATCCTGTGTGACTCTTAATGCTAAAAAAACATGATAAACATCCCTCTATTGAAGACTATTAGGAACATTTCCATTTCAGAGCAGCTTCGGGTATCTTAGTTTCACATCATACGTTTTATGATTTTCCCCTCTGCTTTTACAGATCTACAGATAACGTGTTATGCTAACCTAATGTTCGTTCCAAAACTGACTTTTAAGAAATGAATGCAAGACAGTAATAAAATAAAAAATAAAGACATAAAGAACTTGGCTTTTTTTTTTTTTCTTCCTTTCATAGGAAGAGGCTGTGAGCTATTACACTAAGCTTGAGGCTCAACTGAAGGATGACTCCAGAAAGGAGAGGGAGAAGTTGAACGGGAAGCCTTTAGGGATGGCCTTCGTCACCTTCCAGAATGAGGCCATAACTGCCAAGTAAGCGCTTTCACTGGTGATAAGATAATGGAAAATTAGTTTGTGATGTTTTTTGCATTTACTGAGTCTGTCGCTCTCTGGTGGCTGTGAAATCTGGTCTTCTGTGTGGGTCCGTGTTTCTCCTCAGAATTCTGAAGGACTTCAACGCCTGCAAGTGTCGGGGCTGTCACTGCCGCCGTGAGCCCATGACTTCCCAGTTCAGCGGCAAGCTGCACACACACAACTGGACAGTCAGCTATGCGCCCGATCCACAAAATGTCTACTGGTAAGAACACATATTGAATACAACAGGTGTTTTATTTCGTTTTTTCGGGATAAGATCAGTTGGAGCAGAAAGTAGTTAGTTTTTCTGTCAAAGTGCCATTGAAGACTAGACACCAGCCTTTTTCACCCCCAAAAATGTTTTGGGTTTTTCTGCCTTTGTCTGTGTTATGGTCAGCTCACCAGTAAACTGGGTTCTCAGTTGTGGGCGTTATCACTTTTTTCCCACAGGGAGCATCTGTCAGTGGGGGGATTATCCTGGTGGTTCCGCTGCTTCATCATCAACTGTGTCCTCTTCATCCTCCTCTTCTTCCTTACCACCCCAGCCATCATCATCTCCACCATGGACAAGTTTAACGTCACAAAACCTGTGGAGTACCTGAATGTGGGTGTTCATCTGTTGGTGATAACACACAAGAATGCACTTCTGACATTGTAACAGATGGAACAAAGATATTAAAAAAGACTTTATGAGTCAAGCACATCACTAGATCTTATGTTCAACACGCCTGTTTTACACTTTTCTTTTGATGTATCCTCCAGAATCCAATCATCACCCAGTTCTTCCCCACCCTCCTTCTGTGGTCTTTCTCGGCCTTGCTTCCCACCATTGTCTACTACTCTGCCTTCTTTGAGGCACACTGGACCCGGTATGGTTGACATTTTCTTTAAACAATTTAGGTTGTTCCTATTTAACTTCAAATGATCCATGGCATTGTATCTTTTGGTAATGTATGTAAATCCTTTGCTTGGTCATCCAGGTCTGGAGAGAACAGGACAACAATGCATAAATGCTACACTTTCTTAATCTTTATGGTCCTATTGCTGCCCTCTCTAGGACTCAGCAGGTATAGCATGTTGGCTTTTTTTCCTTCGCAGAAACGGAAGCAATCGTGATAATTATAAATTATTTGAGTATTTGACCCATGCCCATCTTTCTTTAATTTTTTTCTTCTTTTTTTCATAGTTTGGATGTTTTCTTCCGGTGGCTTTTCGACAAAAGATTCTTGGCTGATGCAGCAGTGAGATTTGAGTAAGTAGCACACTCACTGATCATGTATTATGACTTTTTAGGGAGCATAAGGATTATTAATATTATCATATTTTATTCTATGATAATGGTTTTTCAAAATGTGAATTGATTCCTCACTGACGCCGTCTTCTTCTTCTCTGTAGGTGTGTGTTTCTACCTGATAATGGAGCCTTTTTTGTGAATTATGTCATTGCGTCTGCTTTCATCGGTAATGCCATGGACCTGCTGCGCATCCCTGGCTTACTCATGTACATGATCCGCCTCTGCCTGGCTCGCTCCGCGGCTGAACGAAGGAACGTCAAAAGGGTAATCTGTCAAATTCGGCGCCCAATTAGGGTCATTTACATCTGGTTCCACTGGTATAGAACATGCTGTAAATGAGTCATAAAAATGAATAATTAAAAGGGTAATATTGTGTTCCCTCAGCACCAGGCCTATGAGTTTCAGTTCGGGGCAGCTTATGCCTGGATGATGTGTGTCTTCACCGTGGTCATGACATACAGCATCACCTGTCCGATCATCGTCCCGTTTGGTGAGTCCTGCTGTTGGGTGAAACAGCCGGGCACGATTGTGCTGGCTAATCAACAGCAGCCGGAGCAGGCACTGTTCAGCGGTTCTGTTCTGTAACCAGAGGCTTCTAAACAAGACTAACAAGGTTGGTTCTGCTCATTTCCTCATCTCTCCTCTCTGTGCAGGGCTAATGTACATGCTGCTGAAACACCTAGCAGACAGATACAACATGTACTATGCCTATCTGCCATCCAAACTGGACAAGAAAATCCATTCTGGAGCTGTAAACCAAGTGGTTGCTGCTCCTATCCTCTGTCTCTTCTGGTTGCTGTTCTTCTCCACTGTTCGCTCAGGTAAGAAGACGGCCCCATCTTCTGGACACTTGCATTATCTCCTGTGTGTTTCAAACCATTAAGAAGAACAAGACAAGTGACCTTTCACCTTTGTCTCCCTCAGGGTTTTCTGCGGCAACGTCCATGTTTACCTTTGTGGTTTTGGTCATCACAATCATCATCTGCCTCTCTCATGTCTGCTTTGGACACTTTAAATATCTTAGTGCTCACAACTACAAGGTAACAAGAATATTGACAGCTTTGTAGTTTTCTAATTGTCCTTACCTGTTTTGACTGTATTCATGTGTTGATGCTGTTAATGTATTGTCTGCAACCAGATTGACAACCAGGACATGGACGAAGTGGAAAATGGACAACCAGTGTGCATTTCTACGGCCAATAAGGCAGCGGTAGGAATTCATGCTCTGTTACTTCATATTGCTAAACTGGAGATCAAAATGGCAGAACAATTTGTGAGTTATTTTTATCAGGAAAAAGCACAATCTTTGAGAAAACCCTGACGTTTCTGAAGGTGTTAAAACTTAGCAGGCTGTTACTGTAAATGAGCACATGAGGACTTTTATTCTGCTCTGGTAGGATTTTCTTTTCTTTAGTTCTCTTCTGAAATTCGATGACTGTATTCAGTTTCTTGGCTACAATTTTTCTTACAGGTATAGATCAGTACTGACGGGTCAAACTCCTTCAGTTTAACAATAGACTTAGTATTTAATATAAAGAAATGAATAAAAAACTTGCTTTTGTTATCAAGGTAAACTTCCCGGTCTCCTCTGCTAATGAGAGGTTTGGTTGTCCCTTTGGCCTCCTGCTGCCAAAGGGTTGTTTGATTTTGACCTCCAGTGTCCATGGCTCAGTGCTTTTAAGTACTTTAGAATATAACGACAGTCCTTGTCATCACAATTTTCTTCGTTTCATTTTCTCCCCACAGCTAATGTACATCGCTCAGGTACTTCAGGACCCAAATTCAGAGGAAACTGGATCAGGCAGTGGCGAGGACGACGGCCAGGGGTCCTCGCAGGACGAGGAAATAATCAATGTTGAAAACGGCCTGAATGAAGACTTCCAGTCTGGTGAAGATAGTCTCATTGATAATGAAGTGCGGCACTGATAGTTCCTGGAACAGAAAAAAAGAGAAAAACTTTGTTTAACCTGATGAGTGCACTGAACATGTGAATTTAACTTGGAACTGAACCAACAGTTCTCCAAAGCATCTCAGCCTCCATCGAGGGACCTTACACTAACAAACATAAGCACACTAAGGAATAGATTGATTTTCTTTCAAGGACATTTGCTTCTTTGGGTCCCATGAAACAGATCTTCTGTATACCTGCAGAGGGGATCTGCTCTGGCTCGACAAAGGCAACAACATCCTTCTGCCCTGCTGTGGCCCAACCACACCCCAAGTCACTGAGAACAGATCGACAAAAGATGCACATATGAAGAGTTTTTTTTCTTTTTGCCTTTTCCTATAGGGGGAGTGATATTCTCTGCATTTTCTCTAACATTATTGCACTTGAATGAAAGAACCTGGAAGCCCAGCTGTCACTAAAGTACAGCAATTGGACATGCAAGTCGAAAGCATAGAAAGATTTGTTTCCCTTCTCCCATAATTCTTTGCTAGCATCTCTAACAGCTAGATGCCTCTCATGATAAGCAGCTTATAAGGGGTAAGAGTAGGAGTGGAGATTCCAAATGAGCAGGTCGCTTAGTAGATACAGAAGAGATGGTCTTAAATGGTTCTTCCAATTCCATAGAAGCCTTTAATGGAAAATAACTAAATGAATGAATACATGAGTGAATGAATGGATGAATGATTTTTTAAATACTAACACTCCAGGAAGCTATGACACAACAGCTAAAAAGTAAACCTGGACATGTAAAGTTTCTTTTCTTTTTTTTTTCTGTCTGGACTTGATATTTATTTGTAGGCTTGGGATTTTTAAATCCTATCCAGCTTGATGTACCCCTAAACTGTGGAGAAAGATCATGGATATCTTTCACATCTTGACACACTACACTGACAGAATCATGTGTGGGCGTTGGGTCTCTGAGCCTTTGTTGGGACTGTTGGACTGCTGCTACTGATGCTGACCCTGAAGGGGGAAGTCTTTGTACGGCTGCTGTAGGAGGACCGCGGGCTGAGAGTCTGTGGATCCTTTTGTGTTGTTCAGGGGGAGAGAAAGGCCTTCTTTTCATGGGTCTGCTTCAGAGGACACTCAGAGTGACTTCTTCATTATCTATTGTTTTCATTTATGTCTTTTTGTTCATGTTTACGTCTTTGTGTAGAGGTCTTGATTTTAGCATTAGATCTAGGTGGCTACTCTTAGTTTTATGACGGATGGAGTGAAAATCTTATCATCTCTCTGTCTAACTGTTTGATGCTAACTTGTTTTAGAGTGGACAGTGTAGGCTTTAGGAAGCAGATTATAAGTTTCCATGATCATTGAGCATTGTTAAAGTTTCTCGTTTATCAGTACTCAATGCCAAAGTCCCAATTGTTTAAATTCAACTTGAGTGATAGCCACATGTCAGATTTAGCTGCTTCATGAGCTCTGAAACCATTAGTTTTGGCCGGTGAATGGCGCATTCAATGTGCAGATCCCCTACTCAAAGCCCTAAGCCATATCATGTTCTGAGCTCCTGTCTTTGAGAATCATGCAGATTACTTGTTGAACATCTCCCCGATTTGCTCCAGTCATATCAGGCATCCTTTTTTTCTCTTTTTTTTTGTTTTTTTTCAATTATATCCCAAATGCAAACATCCATTACAGATTGTAATGTGAGAAGCAGTGGGCACACACTTATTGCCTCACTCAGGACCCCTCTAACTTCTCATCTCTTTACTTCTGCCTTAGACAAGACTACCAGCCGCATTAACCACAAAAGGCAAAAGCAGAGCACCACCACTGTTTGTCACTTTATTATGATTAGTATTATTATTCAAGTTCAAGAAACCCAACAAAGGATCAGATTATGGCAGGAAATATGCACTAAACCTGTCGACACTTAAATGATTGAATAGAGGAGGAAACCCCTGTGGGTGCACTAAAAACTACAGGAGCCAAAATGGTTCCTGCGCTCTGCATTAGCACCACACCTGATTGGTACTAACAAGCCATCTGTCTGACACCGAAACATCTGGTGCTCTTCTGGTCATGATTAGGTGATCTTTAAGTAATTATTTTTCTTTATATATATATATATATATATATATATATATACACCTCTTCACTGTTATACCTGTGATATGTCTGTAAACCTCTGAATGTGTAATAAGAAACACTGACCGAGCCCTGTGGGAGATACTTAACATCTTGGCTTGTCTGAGAGCTCCTGTGTTAAAGCGCTGAATGTAGGGTCATACCAAACGTTCGGGTTAGATAACTGTGGCCTGACTGCTGCATACAAACTGCTTTCAGGGGTTATCTCGCTAATCAGGAATTGTACATTTTATAATGTAACAAAAGTCACTGGTGTCCCGTCCAACACCATGGCACTTCTTTTGAGTACACTGTAAATCAGCTTTTTCTGTCAGACACGTCATTTCTGTTTTTTTGGGGGAATCCTAGTATCTGAAATGATCATGATTTGTTTCCTCTTAGATGATCTTCATCCTTTTTGTATAGACAACAGGAGTCACTGGAAGCAAAGGCTTTTTTTTGTGTGTGTGTGTGTGTTTTTTTTGTAAGCAGCCAATTTAACTCATGTTACCAGCTTGTATTATGAAAGTGTAGTAAAACATTTCTGTAACTGAAACCGACCCAGTGTTTTTCTGTGTTCTACTTTTTTGTAATTTAACCCTTTTTTTCGGTTTGACTGTTTATACATTCAGCATGAATTGCTAAATACTCCTTTAGTAAAAGGTTATTTGCTTTTAAAGTAGGAATAAGCTTATCCTTTTCCTTCAAATGAGCGAATTCTGTTAAAGGTGCATATCCACTGAATTTATGAGTTATTTGAAAATGGTTTCATCATGCAAACATGTGAAAATGGGTAATATGCCCTTTATTATTTCTAAGCTTTTACATATCAGGATATAATAAATCATGTTATTACCTGAGATTAAAATTGAGTAAATGTAACCTCAGATGATTAATAACTCGGCACATATTACACAGTCATTTCTTTTTACTAAAATGCTGATATTGTGTAAGCACACCCTTGGATGACTGGACCAGAAAGGCTCCAACTCCTGCTTGTTTAAAGGTGATCACACCTGATTATCTGTTCATCAGTTGCGTTTTATAGACTTCTTTCCTAAAATGATTTCTTTTATAAGTTGTTTTCCAAACACGGCATTATACCAAGCGTATGCTGAATAATGGCAGGATGTTGCAGGTAATGTCTTTGTCATCTGAGGTTTGTGAGGTATTTAACTTTGAAACCAGGTTTGAAAATTAAAAACTGAACTGTTGCTTTCTCTGTGTGAATGTTTGTGCTGAAATTGATCTGAATGCTTGACATTCTTACATTAAAAAAGGCTTTATATAAGTTTTCTTTATTTGACTTTGTATCTGTTTGTTTGAAAGAAATGAACCGTGGTACATTCAAAATGCTATTGTATTATCTTCTTATTCGAAAGGAGCTATCAGTAAAACCCAAGAAATGAACTTCAGCTCCACAAGATAACATGAAGGTTCCACTCTTATCCGGGAGATTCTCCACTGAGAGCTCTGTGGCCCAGAAACCAGACCAGAGGACGCCGACCCCTTTAGTGTGAATGCAGTCTGACCTGAGCATATCAGGTCTTATTGTGAGGTTTCAGGAAGAGCTCTGTGCGTGAACTTGAGCCCTGATATGAGGGGCCAGGGCGCACAGAGGGAGGATCTGCTGGCGGCTGAGGGTGTGTGAAGGAGGGCTGGACGGGGGCGTTTTTTTTGTTTTTTTTTGGAGACGGGGAGGGAATTGCGGAGGAGGAGGGCGACAGAGGTGCGACGTGGAAAGACTGAAAGCAAGTCTGTGGTTAACGGATGTAATCCGGCGCCACCATGAAAACCTGCTGCCTGCACTCGGCGGAATCTGACAGTGAACTCAGGCTTTCCCCCAGACCGGTTCCCCACTTATGTTAGGAAGAAGTCACCATGGACGAGGGGCTGGTCATTACTTTTATTTCCGTGGCGATGTTTGTAGGTTCCTTTCTACTTGGATTCATCCCACTGTTGTTCAGGCTTTCTGAGGTAAGCGACTGTTTTGGTGTAAAGAATCAAATAGATTAATAAAAAAAACTCCAGTATGACCGGTGTCAGCCGATAGATTTGCCAAAAGTTTTTAGGACACTGAGTGCGTGATATCAGTGTCTGCCATCTCTGCGGACTCAGCTGTGCGTGTTTTCATGTGGGTCTGCCCATAGAAGTAAAACATGTTCTCACACAGCAGCATTGTTTATTGCTCTAAACGTTTGGAGTGAATCGGTTCCGGAAGAGGAGAGGAGGTTTGTTAAAAGCCGCCTGTCGGTCCCCACAGAGGAGCCTGCGCTTCGTGTCTGTGCTGGGGGCAGGCCTGCTGTGCGGGACAGCACTGGCCATCACCATCCCCGAGGGTGTGGGCCTGCTGGAGGATTCGTGGAGAGGTGAGCAGATGTGCAGACTTCAATGAACCCAGGACCACCCCCCACCCCCCTTCAGTGGGTTGTCCTGACAACAGATGGGAGACAATGCCCTCCATCCTCACCCATCTCATTTCAGATGCGTGTTCTTTTGTAAGCCCCTGATATCGGGAATGATGCATAACTGAATGTGTGCTGATCAAAAGCTCTTCCTGCCCTTCATCCCTCTCCCCCAGTATCCTCCCCCTCTGATGTACAATCCGCCCTGAATGCAACTGACAACAACGCAACCACCGCAGATGGAGGCCCTCCACCCCGGTTCTACATCGGGGTGGCTCTGACTTTTGGGTTCACCTTTATGTTTGCCGTTGACCAGATCGGAGGGTACTTCTCCACGCGGGGCAAGTCGGCAGAGCTCTCACACCAGCCTCATTTTGCAGCATCACCTCTCCGGATACCTCCAGAATAATCTCCCAAACATGTGCGATGTGTCATTTCAGACCAAACAAGGCCCCAGTCGAACAGCCACCTCGTCACAGCCACGCTGGGGCTGGTCATACACGCTGCAGGTATGACCAACAGCCAAACACCCCACTTGCCTTTCAGTTCAATTCTGTCTGTGGCGCTTGTTCTTGTTTCAGGCTTGAGGCACACACAAGGAATTCCAGGTCACAAGCATAAAGATCCAGCAAAGCACAGCCCGTCGTGCCCTCATGTGTTTCAGCATGTGATCCTTAAACAGTCTGAGCCTTTTACGCTTCAAACGTTTTTAGTTTTTGGAGCCTTTAGCACAGTTGGAGAGCTTTAACTTGATAGCTGGAGTTGGGAGAAGAAAATGGGCCTCAGCAAAAAATCTCACGCTCCATTGTTTTAATTTTATCTTGAGCTCCAATTTCTTAAATGTCCACTAAAAACGCTGACAAGCGATATTTTACGATGCCATTTCTGTGTGCGAATAGCCGATGGATTTGCTTTGGGTGCTGCCGTGGCCACGGGTCAAGTGACAGTACAAGTCATCGTGTTTTTCGCCGTCATTCTACACAAGGTGAGAGACCACGCGAATGAAACGTAAAGTATTTCCGGATTACAAATCAAATGTAAGAGAGCTGGGTTATTCACCGGCCAGTCTTTCTTGTCTCCAAGGCTCCTGCTGCCTTTGGGCTGGTCTCCTTCCTCATGCACGCAGGCCTTGAGAAGAAGTACGTGCAGGGACATTTACTGGCTTTTTCAGCGGCCGCACCAGTAGTGGCCATCGCTACTTACTTCATATTACATGCAGTAAGGGAGCACGCGGAGTGTGTGTGTAATCATCCTACACAGCGACTGTGGTTCCACGGGGACTGACTTGATATGTTTTGTGTCCACAGTCCGGGAATTCCTCTCAGAACCAGCTCAGTGCCACCGGTGTGGGGATGCTCTTCTCGGCCGGGACTTTCCTTTATGTGGCCACAGTGCACGTTCTCCCTGAGGTCAGCAGCTCCAGGGCGGCGCCAGCCCCCTCTGACTCTCAGCAGCAGCAGGGAGCGGCGCTCCACAGCCAGCGGCAGCTGGGGCTGATGGAGAGCCTCACTCTTGTCCTCGGTGTGGGCCTCCCAGTAGTTTTGGCCCTCGGGCTGCACGATGACTAAAGGGGCCACCAGCGGAGGGGCTTTGTGTGAAGACCCCTGCACCAACCACATAACTGTGAGCGCCCATCTACTGTGTAAACTTCCTTTTAATTCTCCTGCCTGGTCATCTGATATCGGCAGAACACGTTTGAGCCCTGCTATTGTCCGCGTGCCCACAGAGCTGCAAGTGTGTTTTCTCAGATGGCTGGGTTACCATTGAAGGAAAACAAGAAGAGTAATAACATGTTGCCGAAACCTTTTGGCAATGTGTCATGTGCAAAGGTGAAATTCCAGTAACCGGATAGATTGACAGGAAGAGTTCCCAAATAACTTGACACTGTCTCGCAGACAATAAGAGATCTAGGTGACACAGGCTAAATGCTTTTGTGCCATTGTGTACAGTTTGGAGTTGTTTAGGTTATAGAAATACAAAGTAGTACAGTATGTCACTACGTGAAATGTATGTGAATCTTAACTGTACAATCTAAGTTTTAGATGCATGTCTCCAACAAGGACACACGCAGTTAGCCCATAACCTCTGTACAGCTGTTACATGTGGAGAGGGATCTTCCTCTGATAAGATCAAGGATCTAAGTTTTAATGACTCCTATTGTTACTCTTTCCTTTCTTTTTTTGTGCACACAGACGACAATCATACATACATGAAATAAAAATGTAAAAAGTCTTATAGTGTGGTAACAGGTTAAGTTTTTAAGTCTTCTGCTTAATTTTTAATGGCCAAAGCTTTATGTACCAGCTGACTTTTAGCAGAAATCTGAGAATTGGCATGCTAGAATGGAATACAATTCAGTCATAGAGGAGTGAATGAAGCTTTCTTACTCCTTACAACATTATTTATTATCTGAGATGTTACTGGATGGGAAACCTGGGAAATAATTGAACATGGTATGTACAATCGTGTAACAATAAAGTTGTTGCAAACATGGTAAACATGAAAATAACAGCAATTGGTAAATCCTAGAATAAATGCTAGTTCACAGCATCTGAAATGTCCTAACTTTTAAAGTCTGGTTTTAATGTGTCCTGCTTTGATCTAAAAGCCTGCAGTGAGTCACAGTCTTTTAGAAAGACACTCACACTTGTTAGATTTCCCCAAAACAACACAATGATAGCTAAACATTAACTTTTAAGTCCCTTTTATTTGCACTCTGCTGGCTGTTTGATGGCATGGTGTGCTCAGCTCAAAGGCCAGCGGCTTATGGGATGGAAAAGACACTTCGAGTCATTCAACCCCTTCGATCTCAGCTAACGTCTTATGCATCCTCCATTAAGATGACCATGGTGCACTTTGTCGTGATAAGGTTACTAATGACATGGCAGCGCGGCCATGTCCCCACGTCTTAGCGTTGGCTCTCCCTGAAGGGAGGCTGAAAGACGATTGTGGCCCTCACAGCTTCATGCGGGTCATGGAGGCAGCCAGCTGGGCCTCCAGAGCCATCCGGTCAAAGGTCCGGCTGTGCGTGTGCTGCCTCACTCTCTCCCTCATGTGGAAGGAGGCCTGGGCCAGCCTCTGGCCCTCCTCCTGGATCTGCTCGCGCTGCTTCCTCAGCCGCTCCCTCCTCCACTCCTTCATGGAGACGTAGTTCTCCCTGAGCTTCTTCACGGCCTCCTCCTCCCGGTGCAGCTCCTCCCGGAGCCGCCGGTGGCAGCTCTGCCTGTGGTGGTTGTGCTGGCGCGTCTGCTGAGCTCGGCTCTTTTGCGTCTCCGTGGCGTGCAGCGCCGCCCTCTCCGTGCGGCGCTGGCTCAGCTGGACCAGGGTGCTTCTGTGAGCCAGCTGCTGGAGGCTGTGCAGCCGGGCCCTCCGCTGCGCCCTCTGGGCCTGCTCCTCCTGGTGGGCGGCGCGCTCCTGCAGCAGGCTCAGCCGGGCCTCCGCCGCCCGGGCCCGCTTCTCCCAGCAGTGCTGCAGCCTCCTCTCCAGCGTGCTCCTGGCCTGGGCCTTCTCCTCCTCCATCTGCTGCTCCGCCCGTTTCTTGAGCAGGATGTGTCGCAGCAGATCCCTGCGATTCTCCTCCTGCAGCCTCCTCTGCTCCTTCTTCTCCAGCGACGCCTTCCTCCTCCAGGCGCTCTTCTCCTTTTCGGCCGCCAGCTGTCTCTCCCTCTCCCTCAGCTTTTTCTCCACCTCCTCCTTCTCTCTTCGCAGCTTCTCCTGGCAGTGTTTGCGCCCCTCGGCGTCTTTCTGGGCACTCTCAATCTTCTCCCTGCGTTGTGCCTCCACCTCCTCCTTCAGCCTCCTCCACCGGTCCTCCTGCAGCAGCGCCTCCTGCTCCAGCTGAACGGCCTTTTCCTGCTCCCGATGCTCCCTCAGTCTCCTGCGGACCTCCAGCTCCTTGTGCCAGCATTTCATACTCTGCTTCAGCTTCTTCCTTCTCTTCTGTTCGGCCGTGGCCTGCTGGGCCTGGGCCTGGCTCCGCTCCTCCTGTCGCCTCCGCTCCTCCAGCCGGGAAAGCTTCAGCCGCTCCTGTTCTTCCTGATGCTTCGCCAGCATGAGAGCCGCTATCTTCCGGTCTCTCTCGGACACCGTGACACACATCTTCTTGTTTACGTCGGTGGTGAGCCTCAGTAGTTTGATCTCAGTAGCTCTGGAGTGTCTGACGTCTCCCAGGCTTAAACTGCTGACCACACACCGGTCTGGGTCTTTTTTGTCAGCATAGGAGCAGGTGGACCTGCTGGCAGAGTCCTCCTTTAAGCACAGCTCTGCATATGGGACCGGCCCATTGGTCTGTCTTTCTAAAGACTGATCCTTCAGTTTTTTGTCAGACAACACCTCCAGCCGGCCGCCGGCCCGCCTGCCCCCTGCCGCCTGGATCATCCTCTCCCGCTCCCCGTGGCACATTTTCAGAAGTTTCGATCTCTCCTTTTCGTAGGACTCGTGCATAATCCTCATTGCTTCAAATGACGAGTGATTCTGCTCCTCAATCAACTCGTTCAGCGATTTTATCAGCAGTTGAACCGGTTTGACCCGTGGTGGGGCGCGGGGCTCCAGCTCTGCCCCGGCAGACTCAGAGTGGCTCAGGTCCTGGCGGAGCGCCCGGGAGCGGGACTTTAGTTCCCCCATCGTAAACAGCTATTTACCCGGACGAAACATTCACGTGCGCAGAAGTGCTACTAACCCACTTAAGTCAAGAAAATCTGTCCCGCACGGAGGGGTCAGGAGAGGATTATCTGGAGAGTCTCAGCATTCGACGGCAGCTTTGTAGTACCTCAGCTGTACCTGACAGGCAGCGAAAAGGTAGACTGTCACGTTTCCTACAAAACATATAACATAGCAGATATATTTATTGAGATGAGCAAAAAGTATCATGCGTTCAATCCTTAGATTTCTTTTGCAGGGAGCTGCTACGATACATCCTACTCAAAAAACAAACAAAAACAAAAAACAGGTGAAACAGCATCCTTTATTCGTATTCAAAGTTGAAAACAATTCAACTTAGTACAGGGAAAATATATTTAATATCTGTGGCATCGCGTTTATGGCATTATAACATATGGTGTATGGGTTGTTATAATCGGTATCGTTTAACAAATAAAAAAAACAGACGCGTTTGGTATCCGTGTCAGCAGTAGTAAGTTTCAGTGCAAAGCGGCAAGCTCTCGCGTGAGCCCGGACCCAGATTACTTCTACGTGAATGGCCACATGACTATGGGAAGCCAAAAGGGTCAAAACTGATTTCCCGCTCCTTTCGTTTGAGTTCTAGATTTCTAAGATTTATTTATACAAATCAATTTATATGATGTATCCATGACAATGTTTTTAAAGCTGTTACTTTAATTTGTTTTTGTTATAGGTATGTATGTTAAAGCAGTAACTGCTGTATTTGAGTGTGCGAACATGATGCATTGCCACGTAAAATTAATCTGAAGACATTTTTTTGTGGATCCTCTACTAAAACGTGTAAAGACTTGTCATCTGGTCTTTGGAATTCTCTGTGTGTTCGGTAAACAGAAGTCGTTAGCAGCTAGTAACGAAAGCTAACGTCAGCCGCCACCAAAGATACAATGTGAACCCAGATGGTTGACTGCTGTCTCTTCCCCGATCGCAAAACACGGGCCCTGACAACAATTAAACGACTATATACGGTTTAGCTTGAATATATATCACAAAAATAACAAATGTACCATTTCAAGTTTGTCATCAGTCAAGTATTTTCCGAATATTAGCTCAATGCGTGCAACGTTTAGGAAGACCTCTTTGTTTCGTCTTCACTTTTATTTATTTATTTTTTTACACTCCGCCACAACTTCCTTTCTGATCCTGCACGACAGAACTTTGCCGTTTACTTGGCCGGGTTTTGACATGCTTATTAACGCGTTCGAGTTTGTTGTTCCTAAATCAGTTAGTTTTTATTAACGGTTCGGCTGTATTACGTCTTTATTTGAGACAAAAACCAAAACGGCCGAAGTGGGAGGTTAGCTAACAACTGATTTCCAATAGCAACAATTAGCTGTCCGTTTAGCACGTTTGGGACCTTACACCGGTGAGTCTTAACTTTCTCAGATTATCTTGTTTTATAAGATATTGTGTGTATTCCTCAGTTTAAATTATCTGTGTTCTGATTGTAATTTTCCTGATGCCTATGGTCAAACTAAGAGAAATGTAGCTTTGTTATGTTTACACCTCTCAGAAATGACAGAAAACCCAAAGCCGTGCTCAGGTTCTCCACTAACGTTGTGTGCTGTTATATTGTCTTAACTTTAGTCTTAACTGCATTTCCAGGTTTATTATTATTATTATTATTATTGCCTGTTTGCTTGCTTTTTAAAGCACAGCTGACTCCGTAACAGGTTGAAGATGAGGAGGTCCAGAGGTGGAGGTGACGAGGACGCTCCCCGGCAGAACGGCTCCTCTGGCCGGAGGAGAGTCGAACAGCAGCACGGTGATGGAGAAGAAGCCGGCCCTGACTTCAGCCCCGCTGGTCAGCAAGAAGAAGACGACGACAATGACCTGGGTCTCAGGAGAGAAATACGGAGCAAGTACAGAGATCTCATCAACTCAGTGCAACGTAAGTGGCAGCTTCGAAACAGAGTTCAGTTAATGATATCCGAACCATCTCTAACTTCATATGGTGCTTTTTCTTCTTCAGAAAATAGGGAAGACATGTTAAGTCCGTCCAACAACAGGCTTACAGAAGTGTTAGAAGAGGCGAACAAGCTTTTTAAAGATGGTAGGTGTGATTTAACCAAAGGATTTCTAAAACTGGATCGTAGTCTTGGGCTGTTTGTTTTACTTTGTCATGGGTTCACATATTGATGCATAGTGAATAGCATGCCCTTGCGGGGGCTTTTGGATGGATGTAGTTTGATTAGACTTTGCTACTCACCAGTGCGGCAGGCCAGAGAAGCGGCGCTGGATGCCCAGCTCCTTGTCGTGGCCACGGACCTGGGGAAGGAGAAGGCCAGTCAGCTGTTTTCTGAAGGGAGCGCCTTTGATTCCGCTACTTTTGCCGAGCACCTAGTGAGCATGTTTATTTATTTTTTTTGTACAGCCTTCACAGTTTGTGTTCCCAAACACGCTGCCTGGCCAGATGGGATCGAGACTTTTGGAGGTGGAATAGACACAAACACACGTAGTCTGAAACAAGGGTCATGAGGATGTCTCTGCTTCCGTAACAGTTGTCCTTCATGGGCCTCAACCGCCTGGAGGACGAGGAGGATGAGCAGAACAGAGGTTCCGGTGGTTACTTGCCCAGAGATGCCTGGCACAGACTGGCCAGGAGAGTACAGTGCTGCTTCAAGACTGCACCCTCTTTCCACTATATGTGAGTAAAACGCAGGAACATCTGAAAGATACATTTTTCTGGAGATATACTCATTTTAGCAAGTTGTAGTCACAGCTGTTAGGCAGTCAGAGTGACAGAAGGTGAGCGACGCTGAATTATCTGCAGAAAATGGCAGATGCTCTAAAAAGGAAATATACTTTAGAAGGTGTTTGTTGTTTTTGTGTGTGACTTGGTCTGGCTCATCGCAACAGGATGGGATCTTTCTATGCTGAGCCCCCTCCTCCAAAGCCGAGGATAGAACGACAAAGGAAAGCACCCAGCAAGGAAGCCAAGAGAATAATGCCTACTCAGGTAGGTGAATGTCTAACTGTCGCCTCACTTTAGAAAAATGTTGCTGCCCTTCAGCAGCTGTCTGTCGTCAGTTAAAGTTTTATTTTCCAACATCACACCCTTTGAGCATTTTTATCTTCACCTCATACTAAATATATCCTGTTGTTGTTTGATGTCAGTTAAAGAAAATGGAGGAGTCCCATCAAGAAGCAACAGAGAAGGAAGTTGAGAGAATCCTTGGATATCTGAAAAGTTACCACCAAGACGACCGTGAGTTTTAACTCCTCTGTCTTAGACACCGAAGCCGCACGGCTTGTGAATAATATTTTGCTGACCCATTTCTTCTTGTTTTTCAGCATCGCCAATCTCATACTACGAGTTTGTCATAGACCCTAACTCCTTTTCCCGGACGGTGGAGAACATTTTCCACACGTCCTTTCTCATCAGGGTGAGGAACATGCTGCAGCAGTTTCTCTCTAGCCGAGCTTGTGCGCCCTCTAGTGATGTGGAGCAAGAGTGACAGAGTTGTTTGTGTTTCAGGATGGTTTAGCTAGGATCCACATGGATAAAGACCGGCTGCCTTGTATTGGTGAGAATGTCCAAGATGTAGTTTCATCAGTCTGAGTAGAACCAAAGGGGTTGTGGTAAATTATTTAGCTTTTGGTGTTTTTTGTTTGTTTGTTTTTTGTCTCAGAACCTGTGGAAGAGGAGGATGTGGATGCTGCAGGTTCATTCAGCCGCCAACAGTGCATCGTTTCCATAAGCCCGAAGACGTGGAGGGTCAGTTTTGGCTCACACAGGTGACTTAGTGTAGCGTCAAAACAAGATGGAATCATAATCAGGTTTTCCTTCTTTCCCAGGAGCTCATTGAAGTCTTTGAAATCAAACACTCCATAATTCGACCTCCAGAAACACAGAACGAGTGACGGAGCACCTTATCTTCCCTACATGTTCTGCAGGTCCGAGCAAATTTATTTGCTTCAAGTCCTTTTTTTCCTTTTTTGTCGTTTTTAAAAAGAAATAAAATTCCTAAAGTTTTCCTTGTAGAACCCCTCCATGGAAAAGTTTTTACAAACCCTGGTTTCACATCTGTGTTCAAACGTGCCTTTGACCTGATTTTATACTGGTAGCATTGTGTGATGGCGTGGAGGGCTGGCATCAAAGGACATATCATTCCTGTGTTTAGAGCACCCATCAGCTTTATTTTTTTATTTTATCTTTTGGTTTAAAAGGCTGGAAAGCAGTGTGACAGCTACACAACTGAGAACATCTGCAAGCACAATTTTGGACTTACGGACTGTAATTTTGACTCAGTCAGGATGTTTTATACTTTTAAAGCTTTTCTACTGATGATTTTCCAACTCGTCTTGTTTTAACTGCCACATTTTTCTCTGCTCTGAAATGTCATTCTCTCAGAGGTATAATTGTAAAAATATATTGTCCGAGTTCTTCATTATGTTGGTATTGTACAAATATGTTTTGTGCTCATTAAAAGTTTGTGTGACACACATAGTGAAAGCATCTTTATTTCATTTCTACCTCCTCCTCTTTCTCCCGTCTGCCTGAGTAGTCAGATTTATTCAGCTGAGCACGCTGGCATCCTCGTACACTCATCATGACAATATAGTGCCGTCTTTGCTATCTCTCGAGTCTTTTAAAGGGACAGGCACACTTTACGCTGCCTCCCAGCTCTGACTCTCTCCCTCTCTGAGCATTTTTTTCCCTCCAAAACACGAGCTTCCCTCTGCCTCCCTGACCGGGGGTGTGAGACTGAGCTGCGTTTTGAAGCTGAAGAGGGGATTCTTCCTCTCTCACATTCAATTTGATTAGGATGGATTTGATGCAACAAGGCCTTGAAAATATATGCCAAAAGAAGACCGCCGGCAATCCAGCGCTGTGCTGAGGCACGCAGACGCAGAGGCGTGCACACAGGAGATTCTGCAGAGATCTGCCTGCTCTGGCAATGCTGAGTCTGGCCGATAAGGATGCAGTTCTGCAGAAAGGTCCTCTGCCAGCCGTGTAGTGCCAGAGTCACTTCACCAGAGGAGGGCATGGAATACAAGATGGGGAGCTGCATCGGGATATCACACAAGCAGGTAAATGCAGCGGAGGGGCTGCGCTGAACGGAGGCCGGTGGAGGCGTGAGCAGGGAGAGCCAGCGGAAGAGTAGCAGGGCTACTTATGAAAAGGCAGGGGAAAGAGGGAAAGAGCAGCCCTGTGTTGGAGGAGGGGCAACAGCGGCAGAGGAGAAGCGGTGGAGACGGAGAGCACGGGGTGAAGGAAGGGCGGAGCTGAGTACAGAAGTGATGCTCACTGTAGTGGAAGAAGATAGGAGGCAGAGTCCTGGAAATGATGGAGTACAGGTTGTGTATCGGTGGTGGATTGGCTCAGTCAATAGCCTGAATGACAAGAAGCACCTGCAAGGCAAAATAGCTGGTAACAGATGTGGAGCCTGGTTTGATATTTGTGGGAAACAGACTTGATCAGTGCTATTTATAGGGGTGATGCTAATTCTAGTGGGCACGACTGAAAACGGCTTTTGAGAAAGGCTGACAATAGAGGACTAAAAATACATTTCCATTTCTGATGTAACTTTTGTTTGATATCCCAGCCATCTGTGGCTTTGTTGCAGCACATTTGTAGTTGTGTGAATGTGTCCCGATGTGTCCGTCCCTTCCAAATATTGAGGCACCAAATGAGCAGCACCCCCCTGGCAATCACATGATGAATAAAAATAAAGGTCTGTGCAGCCAGGTGTGGTATTTCACATCATGGCTTAGGGAGGCCTAAAACCCCTCTTCCACTTACAGGGTGCTTGTTTGTTTACAGTCCACCCACCTACAACCTCCCTTTGCAGACATGGCTTCCCCGGCTCCAGTTTGGTCTCCTCCCCCTCCCCCCCCCCCCCTCTCTCTCCCTCCCCACGATCGTGTCCCCGTGTCTGTCTCTGTCCTGTGTCCAGAGCTAAAATAGCAACAGAGAAACCAGGGCTCCTCAGGAGACAGGGCAGAAGCACTGGCCTGCAGACTGACTGTAAACACAGATTGGAGGGGTTTGGTAAAGCCGAAGGCAGACTCTATATGTGGAAAATTGTTTATTTGCACGGGTGAGTAGTTTCTTTGTGTAAATTGCAGCCATAGTAAAGATTTATTTATTATTGTTTTATATTTGTTTCAATTATTGTAATTTGCCGTCATACTGATTCAGTGCAGGTGAAAAGGATTTATAATGAAGCTTGCATTGAAATGAGTATGACTTTAGAGGTTTTGACCCATGTCAAACTAACAATGGGCATTCATTACAAGATAGTCAACAATATGCCATTATCATCTTCAACTCATCTGGCCAGATTATATGTATACAATCTGAAAAATACTTAACATAAAGGTTTGTTTTCACCCTTATTTTTGTGTTGGTGGGAAAGAGGGGTTTGGGGGGGAGGTCAGATACAGGGCAGGAAATAGTAAACTCATGTTATCAAAGCAAGGACATATGCTGCTCATGCAAACCCTAGAGCTTAAAAGATGGCTCATGTTGAGCTGAGTGATGGGTTAGCAGTGATGAGGTGTGACCTGACCTGGCAGCAGTTTGATCATATGATTTCCCCCACTGCTTTCTGCGTTGCCAAAAGACCTGCTAACAACACTGCCAGTTAAAGTGAGCACATGTCAGTAAAGGGGCTGAAATTACACCCCATTCACACAAATAGCCATGAGAGCGTGCATGGCTGATGAGCTGCCACACCGCAGAATAAGTCAAAAATCTAACGGGGTTTTAGCTGTCTTATGGGAGGTATCGCTGGAAACAGTTTGTTGGGAGGTCACATACACTCAGTGGGGATATACAGTTGGTTTGAGAGTGCAGCGAGCATGGCAGATTGTGCACAGGACTGGAATAAAGGCTAACGGCAGTGAATAACAGAGACATCTCTATTTTTAAAGTCTTGCATATTCAGGTCACTGCTTTCTGTTTGAACAGAGAGCTATGATATAGCCGTTCCTGCAGCTACACAAGGAAAGCACAAACAACCTCTCTGTAGCTCGTGTTTACTGCCCAACTACAAGTTCATTTGGGGGACAGAGGATTTCAATCATTCAGTTTAATCTGAATACTTATTTGGGTTTCAAAGGTTGCTCTTTCTGAACTGAATGTAAAATCGGCTAAAAATTGGTTGCAGCCCCTGGCTTTAAATGATATGAAATCTCTTTGCATGCATCATGACATCTATGTTGGCTTAGTGCGGCCCCCTGCTTTGGGACATCAGATGCAGCACTGTTGGAAGCTACGAGACACCACAATCTGTTATTTACCACGTCCGGATTACCTTACAGGACTGTCCAGCCTCGGTCACTGTATGCTGCGGTCACTCTGCCACATCACACACACAGGCTCGCATGAATTCAGATACCCTGATTCTACCATCCAGCAGCTCATGTTGAGCAGTTTGGCTCATAGAAACCCGCTGTGTGAGGTGGTCATTCTGACCTCAGATGTTTGCTATGACAATATGATGACCACTTATCATTGAAGATGCTGCTTTACAGCTTTCAAGGTCTCTCTAGCAGAGGTAAAACCTAGTCTGTGGTCATTTAGCATCAGAGACCCCTAATCTCTTAAACTGCACACACACACGCACACTCCATTCCGTCTCAGTCCCTCTCTCGCTCAACCCCATACCAAAGGCCTCTAATCCTGCAGAGCTTTAGCCAATAACTATTGAGGGACCACAGATCCCCTGTTCACTCTGTGTCAATGTAAATCACTGGAACAGGCGTAAGCTGATGGTCTCTCTGTTGGTAGTGTTTTTCAGTCAGCTGATGTGAGAGGCTGTTAGTCCGGGCAGTTGTGGCCCTGAACCTGGCAGAGCCATGGGGAATGAGAGCAGCACAGCTGAAGCATTGGTAAGGGCCAGATTGCTCATTGTTACTTTGCTGCTCACATACTGCTATCCGTGCTCTCTGCACTAACAGAGCTAACAATCATCGCTAACTTTTCCTTTTCTCTAAAACACATTGGACGTTTTGTCCAGTGATTTTCAATTTTTCCTGGGCTCCTTCAGACATGTTGCCTTCTAGCTTGTGGAATTCATTACTACTTTGATGTTTTGTTGGAATACTGCCAGTAATTTACTGCAGAGATTTGTATTCTGCCTTTTGCTTCCGTCTAAAAGTAAATAATCAACAAATGATCTCCTCATGACTGGAGGACTCCAACGGTGGAATGCAAGATCATGCAACTAGGATTAACATAAACATTTCTCCCATGAACTATAGCTCAGCTCCCAGAGCACACGCGGCTGCTTTTCCTTAAGATCTCACAGCATGAGGATTAACGATTTAACATTCTTACCAAACAGAAAAGAAATAAGGGATTTGTGTGTTGTATTGAAGCAGTCAGAGCATTTCTATACCTCAGAGTATATTTAAAAAAAAAAACAATTTGAAAACTGTTGATCATTTCAATTCCCCATTACAGCCAGAAGAGGGCGCTCCAGAAAGTGTTGTTCTTTTTCCGCCTGAGGAAAATCTGAATGACCCTCTGCAGGTACGATACGTGGGAGTGTGTGTGACTTGGAAGGTGTTTGGCAATGTTTGCTTGCATAAAACAGAGGGTGATATACATGATGTTCCTTTCCACTGGAAACCTCTGCTTATTATCTGTCAGTGCTTATTGGTCCTAAATTACTCACAAGAAAACAGCATGATTGACTTTACCACAGTTCAAACCTCTAAAGGTTGCGTGCATGACATTTAGTTGGTGTCATTTCAGGTGAGACATTTGTTTAACTTTAGGAAGTGGGCCGCGATAAGCTACATTGATTTAATCTTGTAATTCTTATCATATTCATACAGTTGCAACACTGAAAAATTCGGCTTCCTGAAGCCTCTGATTCCTTGTTACAAGCATGCTGTCTCTGACCTTGTCAGTTTGTCTGATATATTTTTGCGTATTTCCGTGATTTCTTATCAGTTAAGGGATAAGAACCCTGTTTACAAAATAAAAATAATTGTACATACTACAGATCTGTGCTGCTTATGTGCGTATGAAGCACATCAGTAGTGGTGCTATACTGGTGCTGATGTCCAGCTAAACTAAGAAGGATATTTTTCAGTAGGATTAGAGTGTACGTCCAATGTGTATATGTAACCAAAGCTTTGGAGCATAACCTGATCCTTTGTGAGGGGGGTCACTGCAGGCCCAAACCTTGGCCTAATTCCCAGCATTCACCTGCAGAGGCACTGCCAGTCAGTCAGAGCAGGCAGTCAGACGACTCAGCTGCAAGGGAAGGGGGGAGGAGGCTGGGACAAGAGGTAGATATGAAAGGACGATGCAATGAACAGAGGGAACGGCATTAGAGGAGGAGGAGGGGACTGAATGAGAACTGAGGGGGGAAGAGTTTACAGCAGAGAGAAGGCTCAGCACTTCCCTGTGGCCAGCCCAGTCAAGTCAGTTTACAATCCCACCGGCAAGCAGCTCTGTGTTTGTCAGTTAGTGCCAGTGTAGTGTTTCTAGAGTGCGCACACTCACACTCACACACACACACACACACATACACACACACACTCACAGTGCAAGAAACAGAGGAAGCTCATGGAAATTTAAGAGGAGAGCGGCGGTGGCTGAAGAGAAGACAACAGTGTGGAGAGGAGGAAGTTAGCTGAGTCAGTGCAGGAGAGGAGAGGGAGTGTCAGCAGCATGTGCTGCTGCATGTTTTTGTGTCGTCGTCTTCCCCGCTCTTAACAGAGCCCTGCGGAGGCAGCCTGTACAGTGAGCATGGCATAAGGGTAGCAGAGGAGCTGCACTGCACTGTAGAGTCACCTTCAGCACCGTCAGACGCACTGCTGGGTAAGTGCAACACACGGATGAAACTTGCAGGTTGTGTAATCAGAAGAGATAGGTGTTGGGTTTTACACAGGCTGGTGGACAGAGCAGGTCTGTTTCTTGTTTCTGTTACCGAGGAAGAGCTGCTCTCTGCTTTACAACTGCCTCACCCTGCTACGTTAACAGCAGTCATGTGTAAAGCATTACAATTTTGTTAGCACGTGACATGTTGAAATGACGTGAATTACTGGCTGTTGGACAACAAGCAAAAGTATCCAGTCAACCTCAGGTTGCTCTTTGTTTTGCTCCTGTGAGTTAAGTTATATCGGGTCCCCGTTTTGGGGGTCAAACAAATTGAAACAAAGGCTGTGACTTTCCACTCTCCACCCCACTGAGTTCCCATGTGCTCATGTAGTGGCCCCACTGTGACCTTTAAAAGCTTCATGATATGGTGGATGATTGGGAGCAGTATAACTTGGCTATATCTTGCAAAGAGCAGGCCCTGGTTCTCATATGGGATCTCTGAGTTAACGGTCTATGCTACTTGAAGGATTCAATACACTATCACACTTTCCACTTAGACTGGTCTTAATGTCAAAGTGATTTCAAGCAGGAAACAGGAAACCTAAGACATGCGTGTTTCACGTTTTCTCATGATAGAACTGTGTTTACCTCTGCATGTAGGACTCTGAGGGTGTGGAAGAATAGTTAACTGAATCTGGTTATGCAACATCAGTACAGAAAACAGAAGCAGTTGTGAGATCAAAAGCATTCAGAGCGACACTAGCACAGCAATGCTTTTTTTTAGCTTTACTTTTTTTTTTACTGATTGCTTCCTTGATGTTTGAAGTTCGCTTGTAATTCGTGTTCTTCCAACGAAAAACTGTATGCTGTCCTGCTATTGTTATTCAAATTCTTTCAAAGCGTTGAAACAGGAGAAATCTACATGAAGTCATTGAAAAAACTTGTTATGACATGCTCCTTTGTTTATTAGATAAGCACTTATGATGAATGTGCTATGTAAGGAGGCTGTACTGCAGGTGAGCCCAGACACAGCCTCTCTGTCAAGCTTTGCTCTTGACTTGAGTGGTTGTGTTTTGCAGATCTGTGCATGCAAGTGCACAGTTGTTTGCCTCAGTCTAAATCCATCCGTCTCTTTACTATACTGCTTAATCCTGGTTGGGTTGCGGGGGAGCTGGAGCCTGTCCCAGCTGCCATTGGCTGAGAGGTGGGGGTACACCCTTGACAGGCCGCCAGCCCTTTGTGGGGCCACAGGGAATTAAGTGTCTTCAATTAACTTAACATGCATGTTTTTTGATTGTGAGAGGAAGCTGGAGTGGCCGGAGAAAACCCACGCAGACATGGGAAGAACATGTAGGCCTCCAGTCCCAGTCTAAATCCTGATACGGGAAGTGGATGATGATTTTTCATCCAGGTGGAAACGTTCCATCAGATATTGCTTTGACGGTTGATGTTGATGTTGCTGCAACCTGACACCATTATGTGTTGCTGTGGTTTTGCAACGGTGTGACTGAAAGAAGGAGGTACATATTAGATTTCTGATTAAACCTTTGGTTAGGAAAGTGGTTGGTAGAGATTGTTTTAACCCAGTTAATGCTAAGAATAATCACTGAAAATGCTATCAATGATTTAACCAAGTGTCTGATAACACTTGTCTCTATCCAGCAAAACTGGTTTGTCTGTAATGACTTTCTCACTGCTTGACTAATCATTTAGAACCTTGGCAAAACAAGAACTGTTGACTTCTTTGTCGGGTGTGTTAAAAGTAAGACAGCTTAACACAGACCGACAGACATATGAAGGTATAATGATTATTATTAACCTTCATTCGTGTGGTTGAGTAGTAATCTGATTCTCCAGCTACAGATTTTACGCTCAGATGGTGAGGTAGGTATAAATTTGTGGCCATAACGCTAGTTATCACTGAAACAGATAAAGCCTCTAAGTGGAAGAGCATTCTTTGCTCATTAGTAACACTGCAGTACAAAAATCTGTTTACTTAACAGTTTAGCACGTACGTGGCGTTACTGTACGTGTTGTGTTGTCTGAGCCTTAATCTCTGGGTGCAGCTGCGGTAGCCTTCAACATGATCATGCTTGTTTAAGTGTACACTCCATGGTGGGTAGCAGATCAGAGGCTCCGGCGTGCGCCGCACTAACCTAGTGCTTTACTGTCCCACAGACTGAGGCACGAGCCGGGAGTCTGACTGGACAGGACAGCCAAACCCTGCTGACCGAGGCCTCCAGCAGCCAGCCCGTCCTGCTGTCTCAGCCCGTGCTCCCAGACGTCCCCATCATCACCGGAGTGGAGGAGAGCAGAGGCGCTACAGCAGACCAAGAGGACAAGGAAGAGCTTGAGTTTCCTCACGATCTGCTGCCCAGTTTGGATTTCAGCAGTGAGCTCAACATCTGGGAGTCCTCACTGGGGTATGTGGAGGCTGCGCACACGAACAAACTCACCTCACAGGACATTATACTGACTCACATTCATTTCCTGGGCCTGTGTCCTGACATTCCACACCATAACTTCTTCACCCTTGAATTAACTTAACAAACAAGGACTGCTTTTTCATTTAAAAAATATGGAGTTAAATTCAATTAGAAGTGACATTTGAAGTCAGCTGTATAATTTACGCCATTATCATTTATTGGATTCATAATGGCTGATTCGATGACGTGATGGGTGTGACACGCTGTCTGCCTGGGTCCGGGTTTCCTTCAGAAACTTTTAAACCTGTGAAACAAGGAATTTGAATCAATTTTTCATCATGTTTTGGATTTAGCTAGACTTAGTGTGTTTTTGTCTTTATTTGTTAGATGTGACATAGGAAACAGAAGTGTGTTACTTTGAACGTTTTTGGTGGGTAAAGTTTTAGATTAATTTGGTTAGTCGTAAAACTCGCCTGTTAATATGGTATCAATTGTGAATGTGTGTGCACTTGTGAATCTCTAATAGCAGAGCTCACACTAGCTCAGGCCAGAGGAAATGTGAGCAGGGGAACCCTCTGCTGGTTGGCCTGCTGCATCACATGGGAGACAGTGGACCACACGTGGTTCAAGATAGCAGGTACCACATGACTCAGCATGTTGGGGGATTGCTGAGTGTCTGCAGTAGGAGTATGGCTGATATTTGATAGCGTGGAGTACGAGATGAAGATGGCTCGATATTTTAACATTTCTAACTTATGCATTGGTTTGTGGACCTTACCGCTGTGATTCTGCCTGTGAGATCACTGAGCTGATTTGTGTTCTGAGTGCAGGGGAATTATCTGTAGTGATTTAATGTTCTGCCCAGGTGTTTTTTTGCTGTGCTGAGATTAACCATGCTCATTTGCCTGAGGTTTTCAAGTGCTCTGACAGCCTGACACACTGCAGTATTGCAAATATGTCTGCTCGGTGGGATCATGCAAGATTAAAAAAATTGTGCTCAGTAGACTGTCACTAAAAAGATTAGCATAGTTCAAAGTGCAGAAAGGATCAACTAAAGAGATAATGCCACCGCTTTGTTTGTTGACTACGGCAGAGTGGCAGTAGTCAACAAACGTGGTCTGTTGGAGGCAGGTATCAGCATGTCGCAAAGCAGAACCTGCCAGCTTCAAACCATTTATTCTATTTCTTGCTCCTCCCTTGGGTAAAGGGCCGAGGTAATTAAATACAGGCTCGAATGACAGGTTGGAAAGTTGAATAACTTTCAGGGAGGACAGGGATTGTGTTTACACAAGCTTTGTGGAGAAGTCATGTGATCCTATATTAACCAATAGTATGCAGTGATGTTTCTTCATTCAGCCTGATTATAATGCCGTGTTCTGCTATGAATTTTGCATATATAGATGTCACCACCTGAATACTCCTACACATTAAACAGCGGCCAAAGGTTCTATTTTATCTAAACTGTGTGAGGGGAAAAAAGGGGGCCTGCATAGTTTTATTAGTTTTGAATGATTGGTATATTAGAGTGTGATTAGAGAGACTGATTTAAAAAAAAAAAAGAATAAAAAGAAATTAGATTGCACGTTCAGATAAATAATAAATAATTACCCACTGGGATTATTAAAGTATTTCTGATTCTGATTGATTCTGATTCAGACAAGAGAAAAAACATACTATATATTTTTTGTATTCTCTAGTAATAACTTAGATAGGCAACATTTTCCAGCATTGCTATTACCAAAGTACAGCGTAACTGAAGTTAAGTGAGTTAGTCATAGTTCTACTGCATCTACTGCAATAAAAACATTTATTTGATCATGTGTAATTGGAAACCTTAGGGAGCCGCCCACCTCCATTATCATCAATGTTAATGTACACACAGCTAAAACCAGATATCAATAAAAAAGTTAATTTAATTTCAAACAGAATTAATGTTGATAACGAGTAGAAGTATCAGGATATGTTATTAAGCAAAAAATAATAAATTATATAGATTCATAGATTTAAATGATTTATGATAAAAGCGAGGGAAGTTAAAATGAAATAAAACTATCACATTAAATAGAACATTTTGTCTAATGATTAAAGTTGAAATGTTTGCAGTGTGAAATGATGAATGTAAAACCATTAGAAACAGCTGATATTCTGTGGTTAGGAATGCTCCTTTTAAAACAGGCATGCTGAGTGCAGCTGTGTGCTGTGTTTGCTGTGCCTGGGCATGGACTTCTGCCAATAGCTGTGCTCCGTGGCATCATGGAATGAACAACTGTGTGATTATCTACTCCTAATTGTGTCACCCTGCCTTCGCCTCAGGCTTCATGGTTGCGACCCAGTTATCACAGATGCCCAGCGTTCACCTCAGCCTGCTGCCACTCCTCACCCACGACCCCTGACCCCTTCCCAGTCTGAGTTCTTAGACCGTGAACTCCAAGAGGCCTTCCAAGAATGTGAAGAACAAATGGTGTCACTGGGCCTGCTCACTCCCACAGAGCTCCTCAGAAACAATCCTGAGGCAGTTTATGATGCTGTAAAGACAAGCGGTGAGGCGATGGTTAACAAGTCCAGTGAGTCATCATCACCGCCTCCAATCGTAGTCCAGCCAGGACATAGCAACGGGGGCCATGGAAACAAGAATACACATGGAAACAGAGAGCCAGCAAAGCACCAGACCGATACCATCATGTTTAGTTTTAGGGATTACATACTGGGAACTGAGAATCGTGCTGGGAAAGAGGAGATGGAGAGGGAAGTCCGAGAAAATCAGAGCCTTGATAGCTGTTCAGAGGTGAAATTGGAAAGAGACACAGAGAAAGATGATCAGAATAAAATGGCCTTAAATATGAAGTCAGAAATGACAACAGGTTCATGTAAAGAACCCCTTGAACATTTTCTGTTTAGTGCGGCAAGAGAAGATTCAGTTGAGGAACAAAGTAGTCATAATGACGTTACTCAGCAAAAAATCACAGCGGAACCTAACGCTGCTGTTAAAGTGAGCTGCACAGACACAGGAATGGAGCCTGCAAACATAAAGAAGCAAAGGCAAAGTCATACAGACAGTTTGAACCTTTCCTTTGATGAGACTACAGGGACAGACCAGCACAATGACGATAATCAATCAAAGGCAGACGAACAGAATAGTTCAGCAAATGGTCAACAGGCTGGGCAGAACAAAGAGGCAAAGAGAAAGAAGCACAGGAAAAAGAAAAAGACAGAGAAGGGCTCAAAGAGCGAACAGAAAGCAAAGTCACTGATACAGCCGGAACATGAAATGCAAGGTGTGCCACTTATGACTGTCGGCTCCCACACAAACCCACCAGAAAATGCAGAGTCAGTACTGGAGGCTGACAATCAGAGTGATACTTGTGGGGAATGGCCTGATAACAGGTTTTATTACAAGCAGCAGCTGAGTCCAGGGGAGACGATCATCTCCAGCCTGCCTCTAACTTCCTCTCAGAGCAGTCCGGATCATCTTACAGCCTTCGCCTGTTCACCTGTGTCCAAGGAAACTCTAACAGAGAGGCCCCATCAGTCAGATAACCACAACCATATGAATACTCAGAGTACTCCCAATAACAGCTCCCTTGAGAGTGCGCAGTGGGAGCAACATGTAACTGGAGGTGAAATAAACTCTCAAAATACATGCAAGACAAATGTCCAAACTACAGCTATCAAACCAGCTGCTGCTAGTAATATTAGATTAGATACACAAACACAAGAGCCTGTAGCTACCACGGAAGCAAAAATACTCATGCAGGAGGATCAGAGCCCACTCTTTAGCAACAGAACTAGTGTGGGAGAGAGCTGCATGGAGAGTGCCCTTGAAAAGGCTTTAATGGTGGTTACTGCGTTGCCACTAACAACACCCACGATACCAGAAGTGATAAAAAGCGAGGGAGAGGGAGAAAGCGTGAGTTATGATTTACTGGAGGGAGTAGCTACCGTAGCAGTTGCAGAGAGTGAGAAAGGAGCAGGGGAGGAAAAACTGGGAAGCATCGAAAAGTGCCTGGGCTCTGCAGGAGGAGAAAGAGGCAAACTCTTGGACGGCCCCCCTCAGCTCTCCTTAATCTCCACACAAGGAAAATGCACGCTTGCATTCTCATCTGAAGGGGGACAGGCAACATTTGAGAAAGGCTGCAGCAGCAAAATGCCACACAACTTGGCAGAGAGTGACATCAAGGGGCCGAGGGGGATGAGCATTCTTCGCTCAGACACCGAGATTTCACCAACCGAAGAGGCAGACACAGAAAAGGAGCAACTACGTCTAGAAGCCTGTATCAGTTCCTCTTCCCTCGGACTACTCCCTGGTCCTGATTTTCAGGATCACACAACTGTGGGATTGGAAAGATCAGGGGAGGGAGGGGGAAGAGGCGAGCAGTTCGGAGAGAAAGGAGAGCTGGCTGGAGAGCGCGGATCGTTCAGCCAGCCAGAGGGCTCTGCTAGTGGCATGTCATCAGCCGAGACAGACTCGCGTCCGCCCACTGATGTTGCCGAGTCACAGCTGAAGCCACAGAGCTGGAGCCAGCCGACTGCTGCCATCACTGAGGGCATCTGCTCTGAACAGGATCGTCTGTTTCACCCCTGCCGGGAACAGAGTGGCGTAGCAGTATCACCTCACCCATCTCACACCGAACAGAGCGACAGCAATATAAATGGAGGGATAAAGGCTGGTCTGAAGAAGGAAGCATCATCTTTGGGATATACTTGTAAGGAATCATTCATCACGGGCAACTACAACCAAGTCTTCCTGCCTTTAACCACATCTCAGCCTCTGGGTCCTTCACAGCTGACCGATCGAAAAGAAATCGACAATAAGCTAATCCAGCCGTGTAGCACAGCAGAAGTAAGGAGAGCCGAAAGTGAAGCTGAATTCCACGTCCAAACTCTGACCCAGAGCAACAGTGGTAGCCCTGCGATGTCTGGAGTGGGTGTGCTTGTATGTGACAGAAAAGGAGGTAACCACAAAGTTCACTTTCTGGATGATGACATGTCCCTTCAGGCTCTAGACCGTGCTTCTTTGCCCCCCCTGACTGTTTATGAGAATTTGCACTATCCTGTTGTTGAAGCCAGCTACACCTTTCCAGAAGTTCTCGGCTTGAAGAAACAGGAAACCCCCCAAAACGCAGCTCCCACCAAGAATGAAGCAGCAACACACATTTCATCCAACATTTTAGACTCACAAAAGAGTGATCAGCCAGATAAAACAGAGAGAGTAACTAACAGCTCCAGAACAGATGTCACCATAGATCACTCAAGCCATGAGAAAAACACTGTAGATCTCCATGCACTGACTGAGCCGTGCCCAGAAAAACTTCCATGTCCTACTGTGGCTAATCACACAGGTAATGAAGATCTTCCTCCTGAAACTGATGAGTTGCATGCTGAGGCTGCAGATTTAGTTAAGACTGACCTGAATCAGGAGTCGTCTTTGGAAGGTGACGTTACTGTGATTCCTGATGAAAAAGAAGAGGATCAGCATCTTTCATTTGTGCTTCCAGCTGATGATGTCCCCTGCTCCACTGAGATCCCCCCCGGGGATAATGACCAGAGCTCAGAGTCTGAAAGCGGAGCCTCTACCTGTGCTGCATTTTCTCAGACAAAACCTCCTGTGGCCAATGACCAACCTTCCAGCCAATTATGTGAAACGCTTCCTAATGGCCAAGTCACTGTGGACCTCATGGGGGCTAACGAGGGGCAGAAAACCACAACTGACTGTGCTGATCCAATAAAGGATGAATCAGCATCTGCAGAGGAGGGAGCCTCTGGCCGGTTAACTCCTGCGATTAGCCATTGTGTCAACAGTCCACCTTTTATGCTGCGGCCTCCTGGTCCGATGTTGAACCACTTAGAGCTCATTACTGACTGTGATATCTCTTTTCCTGAGCAGACCGATGACCGCAGTGCTGATGGAGACTGCACCAGTGTCTCTGGAGAGGTGGATAACCATAAACCTAACGAAATGACACAAACGACTCTGGCCCAGGATCGGAAGCACAGCGATGGTGGTGTTAAAACAGCTGCGGCCGGTCTGGGAAAGGAAGATGGAAACAATGCTTTGCAGTGTTTTAGTGTGCCTCAGAATTTTTTTGCCAAAGAATTAAACATCCCGTCTTCAAAAGAGGAAAATGTGCCTCATGAAGCTCAGTCTCCCGTTGCAGTTGGTGTAATGTCCCAGGAGGAATTAGATAATGTCATTTCCCCACGTCACACTGAGCCAGACTGTGTTGGCACAAAACCCATTACTTGTAAAGCATCCATTGGAGATGACCTAGTAAATGTCAGCTGCCCACTCAGCTCTGACCTGCGTGCCAGTGACACATATGAAAACAATACAGAAGACAGTACCGGAGAGAAAAACAAACAGGGAGATCAGACCGCTGTGCTGTTTAAAGAGAATGAGAATGAAGAGGCAACAATGGATAATCAAAAGGAAGCAGCAGATAGCAGCAAACAGCAGGCGGGAGAGACAGCCCCAACCTCACAGCAGCAGGACGGAGCAAATAAAGAGGCTGTTGTGGAAACAGCAGCATCACAGCCATCACATGAAGATGGAGAGAATAAGGCTGAATCACTATCTGAGTCTGAAACTTCAGCCTTAGCGCCCAACAGAGCGTCAGAAACACTTGAGGACACGGCACCAACAGAATTAGAGTCTTTTGGGGAAACTGCAGCTGTCTATGGGCTGAGTTTGAGCCAAAGTGGGACAGTAGAATGCACCTCTGATGCCGACACTGCGCTGGATATCAGTGCAGCGGTTGGGCAGTCACAAGCGTCAGTAGAACTCGATGTTTTTGCTTCCCGACAGGAGCAGCGACTGGCATCCACACGTTCCAAAGAGGAGCAGTCAGGTGGCACTGAACAGGGGGAAGAAAAGAGTCAAGCCCGAGCAGTTTCTGGGGTAAAAAAAGCAGCAGAGGAGGGAGACAGCTCCGAAGAAAGTTTGTGTCAGTCAGAAATAAGGGATGAGCTGTCAGGAGATGACAGCAATGGCAAAACGAGAGATACAGACAATGAGAAATGCAGGGGGAATGAAGCTTTACTTGGAGCTGCCAAGATAGATGTGCCATGTCACCTCTCCAGTGATTTAAATGAATGTAGAAATACAGTTCAGAGAAGGGGCTCTGTTCACACAGGGATAGGGACAGCTTACTCTCAAGTGGATAAAACAAAAGAGCAGACAGATGAGTGTAACGTTACTGGGTTTGGTAAAGGTGTTCTAGGGGCTAATTTAATCCCAGGCGCAAAGATTATGTCTGATCTGAATGGTAAAGGTCAGGAAGAAAATAATATGTCAGCTGCCCGCCAAAACCCGTACGGACAAGCTGAGAAGTCACAGAGCAGCGCCGCACATGATGAGTGTTCATCACAGTACCCTGAGACTTCCCCTTTGAGTAAAAATGTTATTTCATCAAAGGTCAGGACAGATTGTCGTGACATTCATCCCAATGGTTCTACGAGTGCAAACCAGGCTGAAGACATTCATACAAACACACTCAGTATTCTGCCAGCTCCTGCTGGGAAGCCAGAAACCAAGGAAAAGGATTTCAGCACTGCTTTGGCTATGAAAAGCAAGAGGGGTGGAACTGGGGAGTGGGAAATCAAAGATTCAGAGTGCAAGTCTGTTGAGACACAAAACTGTGAAAAAGCCTCAACACAAAGCCGCCCAGTTGTTAAAGGCCCTAAAGTTGATGAGATCACAAAAGAAGATGAGGCAGCTTTGGTTGTGAGTCAGAGCAAGGAACAATGTGAGGTAAACGTTGCTGACAATAGTGAAGGAAAAGAAAAGCAGGTGGTGGAGGATTTAAATGATAAACAAATTGGCAGAGAATCAGATCAAGGCCAGTTACAAAGTGGGGTGTCACACAGTAAAACAGGGACTGTTCCTCAGAAAGCATCAGAAAACAACAATGATGTGTCAGAAAAGGTGATTTCGGATATCATAGCAGTCCCTTTTGCTGTTTCACCAACGGACGCAGAAGATTTTCCATCAACCACCTGTGTCACCCTAGATGAGTCAGAGGAATCCCATGATCAGTTCCCATTTTCAAAGCCCCAGGAAGATGTTGTGGCAAAATCCCATGTTGCTGCTTCTCAGTGTGAAGGAGAATCCATTGAAATAGCTGATATATGCAACCCTCCTCTTGAACAGCAACCTGTGACTGTAAAGGCTGTAGGTGTATCAGAGAGATCCCCTTCTGGACAAACAGCCCAGGAAAAAGACACAAACTGGATTCAAGCACTCAAAGAAGCTGCTTCTCTCTCACAGGGTGAACAAGTGAACACAGTGGACACCTCGAGGTAAACACAAATGAATGTATTTAGAAAGTATTCATTTTAAATCTTTAAAAGACGTTGAAAGCTGTAGAGAACGGGAGCATACACTGAAAGTATTAAAGGTCCGGAATTTCCCCCTTTCTGTGCACAAAATGCAGATGATAGGAAAGAATGTAGAAGTTTTAATTACCTAAATTTTTCTTTATAAAATCAGTAGAAACATGATTTTTGCAGTTTTTTTCAACTGAGCATTTCAGTAATGCTGTGTTCCGGGTTAGTTTGCAGTGACATTGTGGAGAGCAGTGTGACAATGAATATGAATGAGGAGGTAAACACAGAGCTGCACTTTGTATCAACTTGTGCTCAGTCATATGACTTTGACCATTGAAGTGTTATGGAGGCAAAGTAGGCCATTGTAGTCAAAGGATGACATCAGCTGTGACATCTTCCCTGGTTTCCAGGGCAAGAATGATTCTTTTCTCACACCAAACGCACACACACATACACACTTACAGAGCTTTTGCACACACTCATCATATCTGCGACACGTCTGTCACTTATTAGGGATTTCATGTGAACTTGCCATTAACTATGAAATATTAACCCCCAAGCCCCTTTTTTTCTTTTCTCTTTTTAGGCCTCTACCATCTCTGGAGTCTCCTCAGCAAGAGTTTCTGACTCCCACTGATGAAATAAGTGCACCGTTGAGACAGGAGGAGGAGTTACCCCCGTTGGAGCAAGCAGCGGAGAAAACTACAGCGAGCCAGAGCCTGAACATTCTAAATAGGCCTGTAGACCTTCCTGAACCTTTAGAAAAGACCGTAGCCTTCTCCAAACCAACACACCTGATAGCACAGCTTTCCATATCATCACAGAGCACCAAGGCAGAATTTTCAGAAGAAGCACCAAAAGAAGGTGAACCATCAGACCCAACCCAGACCGAAGTTCCTGTAGTTCCTGAGGTTCCACAATCTGGAAGAAAACCAAATGAGGAGGCTGAGGGAGCAAAGGAGGAGGCTGAGTTCCTACAACCATCCAAACAGTTCGAAGGCATTCTAGAGAAAACAAACAGTGAGGTAAAATCCCAAGACCCTGCACAGAATGAACAGTCACCCAAAAAGTCGATAGCAGAGCCCGTACAACAGGAGAAGAAGCGTCTAGAGAAGCCAGAAGAGAAACCTGTTGAGGACGCACATGTGGAGTCTTCAATAGTCCTGACTGAGACAACCGATGTGACAGATATAGTCCAGGACCCCCCTGTGGAACTCCAGGACAGCCCGTAAGTTCATATGAAAACTTACCCAATGATTTAATCACGTGTATTTTCATGTCTGGGTTATTCAGAGGCAGGGCAACAATGTCTATTTATTGTAACTGCTACTAAGACTGTCATTGCTACTGAGAGACTTCTTTCTTAGAGCTCGAGCAGGACCTGGATCATGGAGAGATTGTAATCTTTAACTAATGGATTTTTAATTGGATTAACTTATTTCCCTGCACTGAACATCTTTTCCTAGAAGACACATTTTCTAGCACTAACTGACTTGTCACATAGGTAATCTCAAGGAGCCTCCGGCTTTACGGCTCTGCCACCCTCCTGTCACGCATTTAAAATGGATTTGTTTGGTTTTTAGACACTTGGGGGGTGCTTGGTGGGTGGCTTCCCTCTGAAGCGCCTTACCAGTGCCTGATCAGACAAATTAGCCTGAGTCTCACAGACTTGTGCTACCCTGTGAAACAGCTGTAGCTTGGCTAATTTCGTGTGTGTGTTATTTCTTCGCTGAATGCTTCAACATGCCCGTGGATCACTCATTGGGCTTTTAAGGATGTTACGAGAGCAGAGTGCTTCCTGCTGACACATTGTGTCCGACTCCTGGTTTAGCGCAACTATTTTAAATCAATGCAGATGATTTCTGTTCACTGCTTTCTCAGTTCTTCTTCCTGTCTGTCCCTCTGCTGCATGCCGTGGAGTCGTCCACATGCCACAGTGGCACATGCTGCCTGTCCATCCCAACACTTGTCCATCGGTGTGTTGGTGACACACAGGGCTGCTCAGACCAAACAGCGGAAGAATGGCAGCACTATTTCCTGCTTCATTTCATCAATAGATAGAGTTACAGTCTCATACATGCGGCTGAGACAGAAATATGACTGCATGGCAGATATAAGCGCTCAAGTGTGTGTGTGTGTGTGTGTGTGTGTGTGAGTGTATACATATGTTTTTTTTCTCTCCGCCCCTAGAGGCAGTCCTAGCTGTCAGTCCTGCTCAGTCTGTGTGGCTTTGTGAACTGAAGCCTGTAGTGGGAGGAATTTGGGCAGGCACTAAGTCCTACTGAAGTCATTTGCTCAGACCAGACAGAGTGGAACAAAAGCCAGAGTTCAGAGGAACACTTGAGCATGTGCTGTGGGGTGAGTGTGTATGACGGAGACAGTCGGAGTCACAGACACAGGGTAGAAGGACTGGGACGTGCAGTCACTTGTTCTGCTGTTTTGGGAGTATACAAGACACTCAGCACAACGTCACTGTCAAAGTTTACCACTGCTACCTTTGAAAATGTGTGATGGATCTATTTCTGGCTGAAGTCTAGGTGAGTTTACAGAAAGTAGCTGTCCTGTTTATTCATTAGTGTGTGTCTACTGTAAGTGTTGGTACTTACAGTAAGTCCCTCCAGGTGGACGTAGCAGATGGTCTGTAGGTAACTACTGCTAATTACACTCTGCCTCTGTTGACCCTACCAGATGGGCTGGGAAGAGAGATGGACAGAGAAAAAGAAGGGACAGACGTTGTTCCCGGAACATAGTTGTGCAAAGGATAGTGAGATTTGGAAAAAATGTTACAGGTTAGAGCATGCCGCAATCTGTCTGAGCGTTAATTGTGGGCGAGAAATCTCCTCAGTAGTAAACGTAAAGTTGTGATAACTACTGAATGTGGATTTTCCAATAATTTAATTGAAAGACATTTGAATTAAAGTTAAAGATGGGCTACTGCGCTTTTCGCTGTACATCTGTGTCCATTTTATTTGTGTAACAGCTACTTTCACTCCGGGAGTGTTATTCAGTATGCCTTTTCCACTTAAAACTCTTAAGAGCTGTCACTCTTTAGCTAGACGTGTGAAATATTTTTCCTCTATGATTTAACCCACATTGTGCTGTAAATAGACAAGTTACCATGGTGATTAGAGGTCCATTTGCCTTTTCTGGCACAAGAAGATAAACTCATGCCTGCCATTTATTCTTAGACAGCAGCTTCATTTGAAAAATTATTGAGAAATAACCGTAGCAAAATACAGATACAGTGTGTTGTGTTGAATATGTAGTGCATTTTGTTTGGAAAGTATGTGCTCTCTGATGGCTGCAGCACAGAAAAGGTCCTCCCATCATTACAGCATTTTTTTGTAACTTCAGCTGGTTTCATTTACAGCTCTTTGTTTACATTTAACTACTGGACCTTTGAGTCCAGCTGTTTCTTCCAGATTACATCAGTTTTCTGTGTATTGCTCAATTATAGTAAAAGGCAAAATACACAGTCTTAAAAATCCTAGTAACAGAATTTAATTGTGATATAAAATCCCTGCTATATGCCTGAGTACAAATCTTTGCTTTCTTTGAATAGCAAAAGATTCTTTGTGGATGTCCTGCACAGATGTATTACTAACTAAAAGAAATGACATTGGACAGCATCCAGGTGTTAATGCCTCCAATGTGTTAATGTGATGTTCTGCTGTAAAAAAGCAAGGAGATATGTGCTGTTTCTTTCTTTAAGTTGCTTTGTATTTCATTCAACCTATTTTGGTCAGATGCATAAAACAGCCTGTATCACTGAATATTCCACACTTTACCACACTTTACCCACTCCGTAATCTTATTTTCTTCCATTCCATTCCCTTCCTTGGCATCTGTCCACTCCTGAACTGTTCTTGTCCATCTTTGGAGGCAGTAGCAGGTCTCATGACTTGGTTGTTGTGACTTTGTAGTGTCTGTTCCAGGCTGCCATGTTGGCACATGTATAGCTATGGCTCATAGGTGATGAAAGACTTGTAAAGAAAGGAGTAAGACCTGGTAGAAATGATATGAAATGACATTAAATCTGGAGATGTTTCTCTTGTATGCAGCACCCTGCTTCAATTAGAATATTTCTTCACTGTTTTAAGGAATGTGAGGAACCACACCAGTGTTAAAAAGTGAGCTCTGATTTGCTACGCCCTAAGGAAAAGCACACTCCCTCATTAAATGTTATTAAGTTCTGATTTTACTGGAGAGACTGAGCTCCGGAGCTCAGGCTAAGTCAGAAAATGAAGTAAAGGCTTGCTGTGCTACTACCTTCGCAAAGAGCATTTCAGCAGCCAGTTGACTTGTGCCAATATGCTTAACTTGATGGAGGTTTTGTGAAGCTTCAGTAGCTGCGGGTATATTTTTAGAGCTAAACAGGAGGCATTCCCTAAGTGGAGAACAGCTGCATGGGCGTCCATTGCATTGCCTCTCAGATTAGAGAGCCTACCACTCTTGATAAGACCAGCATGGATCAGGGCCAAGTCCACTCCGATCATCAAACAGACTGCTTCTCTGTTTAGGTCTATAAATGACAATGTGCTTTCGAAATAGCTGGAGTTAGCGTTTTGTTTTCCAAGTCACTACTAGTTTCATGTGATGACACAGAGCATGGCGCTCTGTTTTTCTCCGCTCGAAGTAACTAACCCTCATCTCTTATCTGAACAGAAACATAAAGGATAAATAGATGTCCTTGTTTAAATCACGAGTCTCAACCTACTTGTTTTGGTCTGTTTGTTGATGTTTTGCATTCCCTCCCCTGCAGGCCCTCCCTTGCTGAGCAGGCAGAAAGCGGTCAGGCTGAGCCTTCCTCTCCACCACCTCCTCCGTCTGACCAACACTTCCTGTTCACCACTCCTCCTCACCTGCAAGACACCACACAGCTCCCCACTATTTCTCCCACACCCTTAGAAAGTTGCACGCTTGAAGTTCTTCCAAACCCACCTGCATCCCCCTGCCCTTCTCCTCCAGCTGCCCCTTCTGCACCCTCTGCTAACCACTGTGAGGATCTTTCCCCTGCCTCTGCACCCCGTCCTGTTCCTTTAAGGTATGAACATGTCACTGTCCCTTTTTCATTCATCAAGTACAGCATCACACAGAAACATAATACCATCAATCACAACATATCTTTAAACTAATCAGACCTTACATTGAATGTGCCCTCGCCCATTATTCTGTTTAAGGTTGTGTAAAGAAAATGAGTCCTTGTCCAGTCAGATCAAATGACTGCATTAAAGTGACATCTGGCTCCCTCACTGGTCATGGTAGATCCTGATTTTTTTTAGAGCTCAGGAACAAACACCTATCTTTTTCTAACTCAAACAAGTCCTTTCACTTTCTAAGTATGAAGTGTGAAGCTGATTCCACGCCTTCATTTAGCAACTTAACGACGGATTGAAGCGCATAGCATTCCAGTGATAGCAGAAGTCTGTTTTTTTTTTCCTGTGGGAACTCTCAAGTCCTCATTTGTCTGACAGCTGTCCCTAATAGCCTCAACATAATTCATTAAAGACTGGCACAACTGTGAATTTGAGACTTTATATTTTGTTCATACAAGATTATGTAATTCTAATGTGTTGGTTAATTCAACTGTTTGAGCTACTTATTGGTTACCAACACACGCCTCATATTTACAATTACAATAACATTTGATGCTTTGTAAGAGAGTGATTAGTCTTAAATCTTAAAGTGCTCTTTCAAAGACAGATAAAATATAACTCATAACAGTGCTGACCATGAAAGGATGAATTATCCAGCAATAATGCCATTTTCTCTGTTAAATCCAGAGCAAATTATGTCTGTAGTGTCAACAACCCATTTTATTAGCCCACTCTAAGAATTCCAGCATAGTATGGTGATCTACGCCCACCTCATAAACTCAGAGGAAACAGGATTTGCTAATGTGAACTTAGTGGTTATGGAAATTTTACTGCATAGTGTATAATTTTGGTCTGGTAATTGTAAATACGGCAAGAGCACATAGACCCAATATATATTTGTAGAAATTCTAGATGCACTATAGCCACTTAAGCTGCTTGTGTAGCACCACATTGCTCAGTCAAAGCTGCTGTTTGAACATGAAACACAATAATGTTCATTTCAGCTGTCATGCATGATTGCATAACTGTATTTCCCATTTTCCCAACTGCTAATAACAAACATGCCTCTGCAGCTTCCCTTGGCTTTTTATCTTGCTCCACACATTTTACTTTGTGAGAGGGAATGACTCAGCCACTTCCCCGATGCAGCGTTATTTGCAACCAGCAGAGGGTGTCTCATAATCAGATTGAACTGTCTGCCAGCCTGTGTGTACACCCAGCTACATGCCTGAGAAATAATGGAGAAAAATATCTCTTAACTGGAAAAAAGGGATTTTGATCATGTGTGGGTTACACATTTTTATTTCAAGTGTGAAGAAAGTGTAAAGACACCTCTTGCACAGAATAAAGACCAGAATCATGAGCATGTCAGGCAAGGAGAATGCTACATTATTTATTTTGTTTTACAGGCCTATGTTGTTTAAAGGTAAAATACTTAAAACATGGACTTCATTTTCTTACTTACAAAAACAAAAAACAAAAATCCAGTTGAATGCAAATAAAAATGATGACATTTCAACTTGCATTGTCTAAGCAACCTTTTCACAGCTGCTGGGCATTTTCATATCTCTGCTTGGAGATAATATGGGTTTTTCATAATCATTTTCCTAAATGAGGGAGTAATTTGAGTGGATGATTTTTTCTGTTTTTTTCTGATCTGTCCTATATATTTTTCTCTTAGTCTCCAACTTTGTTATTACTGTTTAACAAATTATACTTAACTCATCATCTCTATGCATGTTCCCCCTTTTTAGTTTCTGTTTAGATTGTATTTCCTCTTTGAACATATTTTCCTATTCACAGATGTTTTTCTTTAAAAAAGCGTTAGAACTGGCAGTTTTGCTCGAGGCTGCTTGAGTATGCTCAGCTCTGAGTTTTTACCTCAGAGGCATTATGTGTAGTTCAGTTGCTTCATTTGAACCCGTGGCAGTTGTTGAACCTGCACGGATAAATGTGTAAGCTTAAATTTAGCATATATGTTCAATTGTTTTGTACAGTTTGTTACACTTTTTAGTCCAAGTTTCCAGCATTTTCTCTCACCATTTGAAAGCTGTGGCCTTTATTTTGTAGGTATCAATCATGTTCTTTAGAAATTAGAATATCTTGCTATACCTTCTTCTGAAAACTTACATTGTTCCACACCTTCACATTCTGCATAGAGGTATAACTCTCAAACAGGCTATATCCATGTGGAACATTGTGACCCTGATTCTTCTCGAGTGTGGTCATGAATCTTTCAGAAAAAACTGCCACGGCCATATTTTCCAGTGCCTCAGTTTCTTTAATTTTTTATTCCTTCCTTCAGTTAAAGCTGAGGTGCAAGTCCTCTCCTCTCTTCTCAAAGCTGCTGTTATGCTTTTTTCATACAGCAAAATGCAGCTATTTAAACACATATTGTGTGTGCCTCATCCGAGATAAGTCTTTTAACTCAAATGGGGGTGGGTGGTCTGGACGGCAGCAGTGATCAATGCTTTTCCTTTAGCAGGGGTCTATATTTGGAGTTGTAAATGGGCTGTGATTGTCACTGGTCCCCTCAGGTCATGAGACAACAACCAACAGGATGTCCAACCAAGAGCAAAACTACTTTAGTATTCTCTGCTAATATCAATTAAGCTGTAGCTTTATGTGTAAACAAGTCCCTTCTCAGCTGTTAAGTAACCTCATCAACAACATGCTTTGTGTTGAGTACTGGGGCTTGGCTCTTTTATTCAGTCTTTTTTTTTATTTTTTAGTTCTTGCAGGCAGAGGAAGGACACCTGAAACCTTAATTCAGCTATTTATTGCAGCTGCAGGCTCAGGTTATTGTGGAGTGCCCTCTTTTCCCAACTTTCCCATGACTTTTACAATAGATGTATTCTTCTCATATTTCCAGTGCCCCTGTTTCCCATTGCCACTTAACAATCAATGGGAAATTTTTTGAAACAGATCTGTGTCTTTACTCCAGCGTAAAAGACACACTCTTCTCATCTTTCTGACACGTTATTAAAAAATCTGAAAAACAAGAATCTGAGTGCTCGTCTCCTCCAATTTTTTATGTAACTTTGAGATTTTCAGTGAAGTGGAGCAAAAAGCACATTTGCATGAATGTTGATGCCTATTAGAATAAAATAAAAACATAGTATGAAGTCAGATTTTTATTATTTTCTTCCATATTTATTGGCATTTTTGTATTTGAGTGAAAGTAGCTTGACACATTTGCCTTAGTTGTGTTTTGATGTGTGCCAAAGGTGCTCATGGTTTATGTGGAAAATGTATATAATGGGGTAGAGTTGAATAACACAAATGCTCAATAGTTTCATGGAGTCTATTGTTTACGTCAGAAATCATTCTGATTGGCTCAGCTAAGATTTGGAAGCATCCATTGTGTGAAAAGGAGGTACCAAAATTACTTTTTTTTTTGGAGCTGAACAGAGGATAAGATGTGGGGATTCTAGCAAAAGAAAGCCAAATTAGCAAGGTACGCTTTCTGTGAAAAGCGGGAATAAGGAGGACTGACAGGGCACAGGAGAAAGTGTCTGTTAACCGGATCAGTTTGGGGGTCTGCTATTGTTTGGCACCCTTGCATAGGCAGAGGGAAAAAGCTGCTTGTCTTTTTAAAGGCACAGTGGTCTTGTGTCAGGGGAGAGAGTGGGGGGAGGAGGCAGTGAGAGCAGCAACACAGCTCAGCGATTTCAGCAGCCAAAACAGAAAAGACACACTGCAGACACACATGCATGACAACAAGGAAGCAGGATTAGTAATTTGTCTTTTTTTTTCCTGTTTTGGATTATTAGATTTTTTATATTTTGCTTGGGGACATTAATTTCCTTTGATGTTCCTCTTTTTTTTTTAAACCACCAAATGAGAAGCAATCATGCTCCCAGTCTGTCGCGGGGTAGAGCGCTGGTGATGCTGTGCATAAAGTGAATCAAGCTTTTAATCATCCACCGCTTCGCTCCTGATGCGAGCATCCTCATCCTCTGCACTGCAGCAGACAGCCCAGACAGCGCTCACCTCCTCAGACACACACTGCCCGCCCGCTCCGCAGCCCGACGGGGAGACGGAGCTGTGGGGGTAGCAGGTGGATGTGGATGGTGGCTGGAGAGCAGGAGCAGGAAGGGGGGGAAGGGGTAGCAGAGCTAGCTGAGGATGGGAGCCAACGAGTCCATGGAGCAAGGACAGACACGCTGTCCCTCTCAGGAACATATGTGAGTGTGAATTGATCTGCACGCATACCATGTTGAGATGGTTTCGAAGAATGGCAAGGAGACTTTCATACGGTGTTTCCTTGATCAGACATGGCTTTGTGTTCATCTTGCTTTCAAGGGAATTATTCAGTTTGCCTAGGTAGGTTAGTTGTTTATTTTCTTCCTATGCTCTTTTTCTTTACTCGGCCCCTGTTTGCCGTCTATTGGAACATCTCTCAGAACATGCCAGCACTGTTGTGATTGTGCTGTAGTGATGTAAATAAGGATGGGTAAATATGAACACATGCACAGGCACGTGGCCATCTAGCGGCTGTGACTGCTGTCTGGTGTGTATGGCTGAACCATGGCAGTGTTTCAGGGGAGCCCGTGAGAAGCAGAGCACGGTAAAATAGGTGCTGATGGGAGACTGGTGGAGTGATGTTTGGCTCTGTAAGAAGGAGGACACCACTGGCGCGCTGGGAGCAGGGGCTGGTGGCTGTGTTGAAATAGAACACGCTGTGGGGGGGGGGGGGGGGGGGGGGGGGGGGTAACTTGGGAATATCAGTGGATGACAGAGCTGGAGCAAGAGTGCTCCACTTTGTTTTATTTATATACCAGACACACCACTGCACAAGGGAAGAAGGAGCAGTGGAGAAACAGTGGAAGGGAAGTGTGACATTGGCTGAACCCCGTGCTTGTAATAAAAAGAATTCCAAAACAATCTTTTATGTCAGAGGTTTGCAAAGTTTAGACTCTGCATGCAGAGAACTTTCGTTAAAAAATGGGAGCTTTTAGTGCAGAACGGCTGAGTTACCAGCAGTCTACTGACAGGTTTGCAAAACAGAGGTAGCGTGCCGATCATCTCCAGCTATTAATAGTTAAAGTTTGACAGAGTTCACTGTCTTAGTTGTTTAACACTTTCAAAAGAAATCATACAATGTAAAGATTTTTTCAAACTATATTCAATCTAATTTTATGATGCAATCTGCAGGTTTTGCTGTTATTCTGCCAAAAAATCTGAATTAACCTACACCCAACCCCTTAGTTTTTGTTCTTTCTCGACCTCATCCTTTCTTGCTGTTTTGCCATCTGCTTTCGGTCAGTATCTCAGATTAGGACGAGGAATTACATTTAGAGATTAGTGTAGTCTGACACTCTTTGTTTTAATACCTTCTTTGTTTGTGGATCCTTTGGAAAAAAGGATTAAAGACTTTCAGAGGAGAGATCTTGCTGATGGAAATCAACATAATCAGGGATGGAAGTGAAGAAAAACTATTTTGTTTATGTATGTAATGTATATGATGTACAGTTAGCCTCATGGTGGTGTGGTGAATAAGACCATTGCCACTCAACAACAGGGCTGCTGGTTTTGAGTCCCGGGTCTGTCTGTGCACTGTGGGTTCTATGTACACGCTCCAGCATCCCACAGTCCAAAAACAAACATATGTGGTTTAAAGGTGACTCTAAATTCTCTCTGAATCTGCTGAATCTGATTACTGTCTGTCTTTGTGTGGATGATATGGACTTAGGAGCCATCAAGAAAGTACCCCGTCTGTCACCCAATGAGAGCTGGTATAGGCTCCAGTCCCCTGTGACCCTGAATTAGATTAAGATGGTGTAGAAAATGGACATATGATGCACAGTAGCTGTCTGGGGTTGCTTTTGTCTTATCGGAATACAATTACAAGCTGATTTCTGTAGACCAAATTCTATCTGTCTGTAGGCTTTTGTAATATATTAAAATAGGTTGTAGTGTAGAGTTATGATGTAATGTATTCTTTCCAGACATTCATTCATGCTGGGATGAAAGCACAGGGGCTCCCTCTATTGGCACATGTGTTTCTGCCTTAGGAACCAAGCCACATTGTTACAGTTTGACTATAGAATAACTCTCCTCTCTCTGTTTAGAAGACAGGTCCAGACAGACATGTTTTCATTTAATTTGTTTATTTATCTTTGTTCCAGTCTGACACAGAAGTGTTTTTTTCTGAAAGAACGTTAAAGTATAACATTCTAATGTTATAATTTAACAGAGACCGAGCAGAATGTGAGGGAAAGCTGGAGATTTTCAAGGTAAAGGAGAGATGGAATTAAAAGTGATTGATGACGTACCCTGTCCAGACTGAGAGAGTTTAGAGGACTTTGAGAGTCAGGAGATGATGGAGGGAGCATGTGGCTGCTAATCCATTCAGGCTAATCACACAGCTGCTTGGAAACCAGTAGCCCGCCTCCTCTCATCCTCTCCTCTTCCTCTTTCTCCTTTAACTTTCATCAGTCAGTGTTGCCATTCTTATACTATGGTGTGTAGTTTAGGATCTACAATGTATGGATGTACAAGGTATCTCTTTTTCTCCAGTGCCCTTTTGAAGGCTCTCCCTGCAGCACTGAAAGCTGTTCAGACATACTGAGCTGAGTGTAGATGGAGGCAGAGACACGTCTGGCTGTCTGGCATGCAATGTTTCTCTGCCTTCTGCTGCAGAGCTTCTGTCTCCAGGCAGTCATCTCGGTCTAAGCCTGCTATTAAGCGCTGCTCTCTTTGTTTCTGTTCACCCACGTACCTTGACTGCTCCACCATACGCTTCCCCTCTTACTTTATTTTGTCTGCGTCTACATAAGAGCTGCAGGGGATGACATTGTTTTATCCAGTCTTCCTCAAAAGATTGCTATCTTTGCTTTTAACTAGGTTCACATCTGTGTTTAAATGAATAAAGTTTGGTTTATTTAATGCCTTTTGAATTTTTTTTTAAAATCTTTATGATACACTTTAGTGGATTGTGTCAGGTAAACAAGCCTTGAGTGCGTATGTGTTAGACTGTCATAGTAATGAAACATGTGGTAAGGACGTCCTCCTGGTAAAAGAAAAAACCAGTTTTTGGATTCATATGAAATATTTTGCTTGTATACAAACAGATTGCTGAAACAAGTCCTAATGACTCTTTTCCCCTTTGTTGTATATCTAACAAATGTCAATTAACACTGAAAACTGGTTACATCTTTAATACCTGACCAGTTTTATTTACAAATATCTGTGACATGATGGCATACATGCTTATTTTTCCTTTGTGTTTTCCACGCTGAACATGCATCCTTTGTTTAAAGCTGTCTAGGCCAGTAGATTTGTGACCATCTGACAGTAGGATCCTGGTTCCCAGTGATTGATCCTCATGGATTTCTAGGCAGAGCAGTCTCATCCTGCTGTGAGTCACTGGGCCCTCTCAGAGATTACCTCTCTGTCTCCCCTCCCTGCCATGTGCTGTCTCATCTGACACCCAGTGTTAAAAGATTGAAAAAAAATAGTTAAACAGGTGCAGTTTATCATGTGATACTGCTTTTTGGGCTTTTACATGCTGTCAGTTACAGTATGATAAAGATATGTTTCCTTTATCATTTTGCCTAAAATTGTTTAGCTTGTCCCACACTAATGGCAACATGATGTTCCGGACATCTTGTGTCTTTGGCTGATAGAGAATTTATTTTTCCTAAGCATGTGTCTTTGACAGTGGACCAGAAGAAGATGCCATCGGTCACAGTAATGTTTCAAGGTTAATATCTATGGAATAGATTAATCAATTAGGTTTTACAGAAAAATAAAGGTGCGTCTTTGTAGCAAGAAAAGCCTAGTTATTAAATGTCTTAAGATTTAAGAAGAGACGACTGTTAATTAAAATCTATGTGAGGTTATTCAGGGTGGTATGTAAAGTAAAACATATTTTTATAAGTTGTGATTTAGCTGGTGGACATTGCAGCGCCTCTACGTGGATGCAACAAAATGGTTAAGGGGATTGTGAGATGGGGGAGGAAAATAGAGAGAGAAAGCTGGGAGAGAGAGCCTGAGTATACGGTATTGCAGGAGGTGGGCTTCTGCAGACAGTCTAATTTCCTACTGAGGTGGAGGAAACAGACTGGTATGGCTACAGATGGCGAAGACAAACAAAGTGAAAAAAGACTGTAGACTGGAAACAAAGAGATCTGGGGATAAGACGACTGTGCGGAAAAAAGAAGCCAGAGGAAATATCAGATCTGCGGTCAGACAGCAGCTTTGAGGTGCTGCGAGGTGTAGCCCATCAGTAGCCATGGCAGTGAGTGCGTGGCAGGCTCTGTCTCCACTGCAGTGGGCTCGCTGGGGCTGGGACACACTGCTGGGTGGGGCAGGAGATGGCAACAGCCCGGACTCAGATCCAGCTTTCGGGCTCCTGCGGCGACTCTCCTGGGGCTCTCGTCATGACAGCATGGTTAGAGCTGCCGGGGAGACTATCAGACAGAGGTGAGACAGGATGGGAGGCTGGGGCCGCATGCCATGCAGTGCTGATCAGGAGCGAATGAAGCTCGGTTGCTAGGGTAATGTGAGCACTACCGCCATCTATGTGCATGTGTAAGGTAACCATGGCAAAGATAAATCAATATTTTCTTCTATTCTTTGAAACCACTGTGTAGCAGGATTCATTTTTCTGGCTGTGTGTGTGGCTAAGTCTTCAATATATACTTTATAGCTGTCACATATTGATACCCTGTGGAGGTCTTATATTGTTGTGTCAAAATGCGTGTGTTATCTCTGTGTAATGGGTCTCAGATGTGCCGTTGATGTCACCTCACTGCAGATTCAGTAGTTTCATTTGTGGCATTAAAGTCTATTGGAAATGAGAACTGCAAATATTACCGTTAAGCTCCGTTTTTCACCGGTGCTCATGATAGGAAATAGCACTTGTTCCCTTTAAAGCAAATGTTATTTTTTGTCATTGTGTTTTATGACACCAGAACTGCTTAACATATTTTGTGACACAATGTTGGACTCTATTAATTCTGAAATAGTAATTACAGTTCAAGTGATTAAAAAATGATGATCCACATGAGCTTTTACTTATTTTGATATTTTGCTGTAGGAGCTCTGACTCTGATGGAGCTTTTGAGACTCCTGAATCTACAACTCCAGTGAAATCTATTTCTCCGAGCCATCCAGAGTCACCCAGAGAGCAACTAACATCAGATGACAAAGGTACAGCAGGAGAATTATGTCATGAAGTGTGCTGGCTTTGAGGTTTTCATGTTTTTGCTCGGTGCTGTTATTGGAGGTATTACCACACCATCTAGTGGACTAACACAGTGCTAGTATGCAACTCTGCACAATTTACGTTTACAGGGTTTTAGAGTGAGGTTACATATAAATGTGTTTTTCAAAAATTATTACAGCTTCTTGTTTACGTCTATAATTTATCCATAATGCAGTTGAAATATGCCATGGATATAGTTTTTATAGAGTTTCTTAGATTTTTTTTTGTTTTGCCTCTGTCCTATATTCCATCTCATCTTCATCTCTTTCAGGTGCAAACACAGAAACAAGTGATCAAGGTTCTGACTTTGCCAAAGCTGATTCACCCAGTCATTCATCAACGAGTGCTTTTGATGAGAACAAGCCTATTGCTGCCAGTGGTACTTACAACATCGAAGTTTTTGCTGTTGAGCCTACAAGTCACACTCTGACCCGCTCGCTCAGCCTCCAAGGAGGCGAGTTAGATAACACTAGTCTGTTGGACGGATCCGAGTCAGGAGGTTTCCGTCCACATTCTGAATCCTTCAGTGTAGGAACTGAGAGTGCCCCGGGGACTCTCCGTAGGCCCAAGAAAGTCCGTCCTGGTTCGGTCAAGAAAAAGCCCCTCCTCAGACAGAACTCCAACCCAGAGAGCCCGAGGCCAGCCTCATCCAGCAGCACCCCAGAAATCAAGAAGCGGCCAAAGCCTCGGACTGCTAGCCCTTTGCAGGCTCAGGAGGAAACAGAAGGAGGCTCTCCAACCCTAAGTCCCGGAGAGACTCTCCGACGTTCAAGGAAAAGCCGCGTGGAAACTCCCCCTCCTCTACCTGAAGAAACCAGTCATACCAGCCAAGAGGAAAGCCGTACTGTCCCTGCCTTACCTTTGTGTCAGGAGGAGCTCCCCTTACCCGCTAGTCTAACGGACACAGACGAATCTCCAATTCCTCCCAGTGCCTCCTACAAATGGGATCCTGATAACTTTGAGAACATTGATCCCTTTAAGACTGGGGGGAGTAAAATAGCCAATTCCCCAGTTCTGGGTCGCAAAGGTCCCATTTGTGGCCCTATTTCCAGCCCACCTGCTCCTACAGAAAAACCACATCACTCCAGTCCCCCTCCTCCTCTTGAAGAACCAATTACCAATCCTGAGGAGCAACCTATTTTAACCAAGCGCCAACCAGTAAGACTGGAGTTTGACTACTCTGAAGAAACCTGTGAGGCATCACATCAGGCTTCCCCTCCACTAAAGAAAGTGGTGAAGAAGCCTAGTGGCAAGATGCCTCTAAGGAAACCAAAGCTGGGATTGAAAAAAACTGCACCTGCCCCGGTGGAGCAACTGGACAACAGCTTTCCTGCAAATGGAAATCAGAATGAAATCCCTCCTCCGAAGGCATCTTACAACTTTGAACCTGACAAGTGGGATGATCCAAATTTCAATCCATTCGGTTCAAAGACAAGTATCTCCAACTCCCCCAAAATGCCCAGGTCATCATATAACTTTGATTCCAACAACTGTGAAGACTCCACAGACCCTTTCAAATCCTCCATCAAAATGGCTATGTCTCCTCCTAAGGCACATGCCTCATTTGAAGTGTCATCCAATGACTATGATAATGAAAATGACAATGACAATATTGGAGAGCTGGAGGACCAAAACCAGAACAAACCTGTTAAGAAAAAGAAAACTCCTCTAAAATCGTAAGTCTGCATCTTTTTATCAGGGGCTTGTACGAGAAAGGAAATCCACACAGCTTGTGTAGCAAATCTTCATCTTAGAAGATTTTTAATTAGTTTGTGTTAGTATGTGGTTTGTCCATCTGTTATGCCAGTGTCCTCTGTCTGTCTCTCTGTCACCTGTGTTTGTGTATTCTCATATATCACAGGAAGTCCAGGGGTGTGTCCTCTCTTTGTTGTCTGTTGTAAGTACAGGGACAGCACAGTCATCAACCCATTCTGACCCTTTTCACCCTTTTTTTAATTCCATGTGAGCAGCATGCTGACCTCCTGTCCTTGCTATTAACAGAGACCTTATAATCCCTTCTTGTCATAACCAGAATATCAATTCAACTGTTTTAAGTAACTGGAGAATACACGCATTCAGTTCTGTTTTGAATTCTGTCCCAAGTTGTGTGCCAGCAGAAGCACAACAGAATCCAATGACTGTGACATGGTCATTGTGTTATAATTAGTTAAAAGCCTGTTAAAAAGGTTAACTATACTCTTAAAAAAAAATCAAAACATAAATTTACAAAATTATCTTCAAGTAGCTTGGTATTGGAACAGTTTGGTCAGATGGTTAATGTTCCTATTATCCTGAGGCTGATAGTGGTTTCCTCTCACTTGCTCATGTGCCGTCGTGTGCATCTGATGTGAGAAAGGAAGAGCCTGTGTGCCCTCTAGTGTCCATTGTTGGGTATGCATAACAAAACAAGAAATATAGATTAAATTTAAATAAAGTAATTCATTCTGTACACCATTTCAAAATGCTTACAAGATTTTTGATTCTATGCACATAAAATTGAGGGCTTCATTTTAAAGCAATAATAAAAGAGGTGCCATTAACAGCTTTTTTAAAACAGAATTTTTGGTTTCAGAATGACTTTTTAGTACATTTGAGAGTCTAGCTGTTGTATTAATTTGCCATTACTCTTCAAAGTACAGTTACTAACTACAGAATCAACCCTCTTTTCCCAAACATTTCACTATCATGTTCATTTCAGTCCCACAGTGAGTAATACTGGTGCACACGTGGAAACATACTTAGTGTTAAGACAGTGACCGCTGGATCCCATAATGGGCTGTGCCATTCAGTGGTGTGTGAGCGCACCCAGATCTTTATGGCTGATTTTTTTTCTTGTTTTTTTCTCAGTAATACTTTCAGAGTGAAGAGGTCCCCTAAGAAATCACCATTGTCAGATACATCACCGGTGTGTGTCTAAAGTCTCATATTAGTGCTTCTCTTTTTTCTCTAATATTCAATACACTTTATTTTTTCCCTCCACCACGTGACTCTCAGCTGTCTCCCTTTATTGCGCTTCAGGATCCAACCCCCGTAGATGAGTCTCCCTCCAATCATGCACAAGATGATCATGCCACAGATGAGGAGAAGCTGGCCTCCTCCACCAATCATAAGTGGACAGCCCTGCATGATATGGACACAGACTTGAACTCTGACCAACAAGACTTCCCTCAGCCATGCGACCTTACATCTTTTGTTAAAGAGAACAGGCTCCCCCAGGAGGCTCCAGGTGAGGCATAACTTTCGGACTTTTTCCTGCTTTGAATACTAAGACACATCAAAGCATGCCACAGACGGGTGGGGCACAGGGAGAATCAAAGCCCATGTTTGGATACATGCTCATATAAAGCACACAAAGCTTTCCTCTATTCATAGGGCAGCATTATTGATTTTTCTTGTGGGAGTAAACTAAGCTGGCTGTCCCAGTTCTCTTCTGCTCTCTGACCACCAGAGGAGCCACCTCTTCCCAGAGGCTGTCTGGCTCAACCCATCTGGGTCAGAGATGAAAGAGAGCGAATAGACCAGTCTCTGTGCTGTATTCTGTGACTTATGCACTGTTATTTATGTCTGTCTTAGTTCAAGACTATGAAATTGAGTACATGGAGAAGATTGGCTCCTCATCCCCAGTAAGTATCTCAGGTTTCCTATTATTAATGTTGTTTTTTTCAACTTGTGAGTAGCAAAATTCCAATATTGACTGTCTTTGTGCATTTCATAGCCACTTTCAACAAAGAAGCCATCATTGTACTTGAAGTTGGACTCAGTATCTGACAACCTAACCAAAAATGCATGTGCACATGGATCTGAGCCCACCTCCCCCTGCACAGGGTAAAGCATATTTGACTTGTTATGCTCCTGTGGTTGTTTTAAATATGTGTTCATTAGCAAAACAACTCCCTTCACCCAGCTCTCATAAACTCCTCTCATATTGGGCAGGAGCTTTGAGGAGATGGAGGCCCAGATAACAGCAGGTATGAAGACACCGGTTTTGAGCTCGCGACCTGGTCCTGAGGGTTCCGCCGGAGAGAAGGGCAAGAAGAGAGAAAACGAAGCACTCAGCCGAACGCAGAGCATAGAGAGGGATGAGCAGGTTAGTCAAACGACTTGATAAAAGCTTCTACTCAATGGACAGTTTATCTTCATGCTGTCAAAATTAGCTTGATTTCTATGTTTACTCACCATCATTTATGTAGAATCAGCCATTCTTTTTATTTTTTAACATTTATACACCATTCTGTTGCTTACCCACAAGAGGGGGACAGAGTGCTGGTCTGCCAATTCGTTACCACAGGCCACGAGTCAGCCGTGTCACTGATTAGAAAATAGCCAGTCCCCCACACTCTTTTCCCAGCTTGAATTCACTGAATCAGCCTCCAATGCGTCCGCTCAAACACTCAGCGCTTGCTTTGCCATGCTGTCCCCCGCCCTCCTCCCCCACCCTCTTCCTGCTCCTCCTGGTGCCCTTGTAGCCCCCAAGCCAGGGCCCTGTGGAGGCCCCTGCTCCGGCCCAAGCTATGCCCTTATTAGACAGGCTGTCTGAGTGTGACGACCCCCTGCAGTACCTGGAGCCTGACCTGGCCGAGACCAACCCCACAGCATTCGCCCAAAAACTGCAGGTGTGTTGACTGACCACACACGATCCAATTTGACAAACCTCTTAGGTCTTGGCTCAGGTGGTCTATTTATTGGCTGTGATATGTGACTGTGTGTTTTGTATGAACATCTTTCCTTTCGTATTGCCATATTCCATCCTGCCATTTCCTTACTTTTTCCTGTTTTCTTCTCCGCTATTAGCCGTTCAGTAGCTTGCTGCGTGAAATAAAGTAATCATGGGTAGAATGTAGACAGCAGCAAGTGTGTCCGCTCAATTCAACTTTCTGTATGTTTCCCTTTGCTCTCTCACTCTTGGGCCTCAACCCTCCTCCCTTACCTCTGAAATTTGGCCCCATGTGCGTGGCCAAGGAGGAGCTGGTTCTTGCTGCCCTGAGGCTAGAGGCTCTGCAAGTAGCCAAAAGCATCTCTCAGTGCCCCTCCCTCTCCACTGTAACCCCCCAGGTACTGCGCTGAGTCAGACTGCACCTGCTTTATGCAAGTGTGTGTTGGTGAGTGTGTTTGGAAGGGACGATATGCATCGTGAACGTGCGACCAGACAGGAGCAGGTGCAGTAGACTGTAGGGTGCGATGTGTGCATTAGTGTGTCTCGGTCTGCTGCTCCCCCCCCCCCCCCCCCCCCCCCCCCCGAGACACACAGTTTGGAGTGTAACTGTGGACCCATGGTGGCTGCATCACTGCATCCACAGTTCTGTCACCAGTTGCGTCCCCTCACATGAAAAATATAACATGGCTTACTGTGTCCGGCTCCCACCCTGACTTGCAGCGAGCTCCTCCAGGTTAATTATGTTTTTTACTTTTATCCTTTCCATTTTATGCATGTTCGGCAACATGCATGTTGCCTGTTCATGAGAGGCTTACAATTGCATGAATGTGACTGGGGATAATAGGCCTAAAATCTTAAGATGTGGAAGTAAATGGTTGTCAGACTCTCAAATGTCTTTTACGATGTTTAGCTATCACCATCCCAAATCCCCAGTCACATTCTTGGTTTCGAATTTTGTCTTTTTCCTAGACTAACAGCACTAATAAACAGTTGGAAGGTAGGTGTCAGCAAACAGTTTATATAGACTAAGGAAATTAACCTGAGATCATAGGGAATCAAACACGTGTAGAAGGTGGAGCAGGACAGGCGCTGTCCAGTCTTCTCTCCTTCCACGTCTCATGTTGTCGTTCCAAACATTTTACAGTCCCGCCTCAAGAAACCCAGCACTCGGCGCTGGAATATCAACGGTTCACCCTTACTGAAAGTAAGAGTAATATAATAGTCCTGTGGTCTGTTCTCGTCTTAGTGCAGCCCAAGTATTTGGTCTCAGACACATTTTGCATTGTTTCATTGGTTTACTGATACTGGACAATCGGTTCAAAGTAGCTGAAAACCAAAGATATAATTTTTTTTTTATAGACGAATGGAGATATTTACGTTTACACTGGTTGAGATGGTAAAATCATCGTGCTTTACTACATTTTCTTCCCATTGTGGACAGTGTGCTAAAGACACTCACATTTTGGATTCAAATTTTATCCTCTGGAGGTTGAAGATGAGCACTTCACCCTCTTGTGTTCTAGTCACAGATCCAATACTTCCAGACTGCACTGTCGAGTCTAGCTCCTGTAGATTCCAGAAGTCAGACATCTAGATTGTGTCTAGATTGTGTGGTTCGTAATACTTCCCTATAACCAAAGCCCTATGTATTTATATTAACGTTGTCGTGTTGATTTTTCCCAGTAGTGCTGCTACATTTGTCATTACAAAAGCTTGGCGTTTAAGTATCATGTCATCTGGAACTTTGTAAGGTAGCTTTTTGTAATATGGAATCCTTTCAGAAAGTCAGCTTTAAGAATGCTAGTTACTAGTTGTTATACCATCAGTGCAGCTTAATGGTCATGTTTGAACATCTTCGAGTCAGTGCCATCATTACCTGATTAGGAGCTAAAGAAGTTAATCGCTATCTTTATTTGACCGTTCCTCCCATACAACAGAATAATGTTATTAGTGCTGCAGCCAGACAAAACACTTTACTCTCTTTACCTTTAATTAGCAGATTTGTCTCCTGTTGCCCTTTGTGAGCTCCTACCATTTCTTCAAATCCTCTTTTAATCCAGCTCTGTCAGGGGGGAGTAAATCTCTTTTAGGTCAAAGAGTTATGGGACAAAAAATGGATTGATTTAACATTTTAATTAGATCTTTTATTCAAAGTGTCTCAATGTAGTCATTATTTGCAGTATCAGTATGGGCACATTCATATATGTATTTTTCAGTATATCTCAGCTCGTGGATGATTTATATAATTTACAGTGATACAACAAGCTGTAACAGGAGACTAACAACGTTTCTTTGCTGGCCAGCCTGCTCCCCTTCTTCCATCTCCTTTTTATGATCAACTGCTGCCCTCTATCCCTCTGTCCTGCCTGGAACCGATCCTATCCAAGCTGCTACAAGCAGCGGGTGATCATGACCGCTCAGCTGGGGCCGGCATCAGCCATTCATAGCTAATACTATGGCAATGAAGACTGTTTCATCCAATCATGTAGCAGCTGACCAAGTCTTCTGAAACATCACCGGCTTGCTTCATTTGCATACTGACTCTGCTGTGTGGTACATTTTTACGAAGTTCAAGGACACTTTTCTATTGTGTTCGGGAATCCAGTGGAGAGTGTGTGTGTGGGCCTCAAATTGAGGTTCTGACTGTAACTCGGTCTCGGTGGTAACTGGTCATGTTTCCATTCCTTTCCCTGCTCTCCTTTGGTGCTTGGAAGCAGCACAGAGATATGACAACTTCAGCAGAGAGTACTGTAACCAAGAACGCACTATACACCAGGACCACCACTTCCAGCAGCTACATCGAGGGGGAGAGCCCCCACCTGCCCAGAGATCTGGACCACTCACTGGGAATCGCACGAGAGGAGGTGTCCCTGAAAATTCTCCCTTAATTCTATTAGTTTGAATTATTTTTGGCCACTTCAGTTCAACATTCCTAACTTAATTTCTTCACAGATTGTGACAAAGGAGAAAGAAGTACTAGAATGGCAGAGAAAATATGAAGACAGTCGGCAAGAAGTGGTGGAAATGAGGTAAGAAGTAATTCCTTGGGTTGTTATCTCCTTCTTTGGACTCCCATAGCACGGGTGTCACATCCACAGCAAGCATGTGTGTTTCTGCTGATTGCAATCCACCCATTTCCCCCTTTTCACCTTTCAATAGGTTTATCATACTTAAACTGTCAGACACAGCCATGTTTAACCACACGCTTCAGAGATAGTTAAAGGAGTACATCTGAGTCATAGTGTTAAAACAGGCGCTAGTGGAGAAGAATTGAAATTGTTTAGTTTAAGGATAAGTTTGACTTAATTTGGGTTACTGGCTTTAAACTGCCATCATTTGGACTACCTGATATTATCATAAAACTGCAATTAAATGTACTTAAACTGTATGATTTCATGTCATGGCTTCAAATAAGGACTTGAGGAAAATAGAGACAGGCACAGCTGAAAATGATTCTTTGTCAGCAGGAGGTTGGTGTGAGAGCAGCTGGCTCAGTTAGCGTGGATAAGACAGAGCTTACCCCATTTGAGTGATTGCACTCTGAATAAGGAGGGGCTAAGAGGCTAAGTGGGATACAAGGCTAATCAATCTTCTTAGCCCTTGCAGCCTGCTTTTGCCAAAACAAAGCTTCCTACAAGACCCCATTGGGCTTACGGACATGGGAATCCCTGATGCGGCCTTTTGTAAACCACACAAATGTTGGTTGAAACATTTTGATTAAAAAATATCACTTTATGTTTATTGTTTCCCCAAATTTCAGTTTTAGTGGTTTAGTGGCTCACTTGAGGCAGAGGAGACGGTGCATAAAATCCTCACTGCTCCCTCGCTTTTGAAGATAGGGAATTTTCAAAAACATCTTTTGACCACATCCATATTGTGATCATTTACTTTTTCTCACTCCCAGGAGAATTGTTGCTGAGTATGAGAAGACAATTGCTCAGATGATCGGTAAGTTAAGTGTTACAGTCTTCAGTTACGTACATGATGATAAACATCTAAAGCCGACAGCTTTTGCTCCTCACACTCTTGCCTCTTCACTTTGCCTCTTCACTTTGCGCTTCATAGTGCTGTTTCTTTCTTTAATGAAAGCCTCCAAACAATTTTCAGTGATTTAAAATGGTTCGGTATCCTTTATCCTATACAAAAAGCCAGCTTTGCTTTGTGTTTGTTGCCACAACTGCCTGATATGAATTGAATCCCAATGTCAGTGAAGAGGAAGGCACTCACGTTTGTCTTTCTGGATTAAATTTCACAATACACTCACTTTGCATTATCCCTGCTCTCACTTAAAACATTTTTTTTCCTTTTTTTTGTTTTGCTGCAATCTAATTTAATAAAGGCACTACCACTAAATGGAACAAGCTGCCTCTGCTCATGTCTAACACTTGGCTTTCTCACATGTCTCGACCCTCCTAGCTTGACTTAACACACTCCCTTTTTTTCTGTTCTGCTCCCATTGTTGCCCCTTTCTATTTGATAACCCTGACAGGCATGCCAGGTGAGTAACATGGGATCTTTCCTCTCTTGTTTGTGTCAGCTCTCATCTCTCCATCTGTCCATCAAAGAGGAAGCAAATGTGCTTTCTCACTTCACCTCATCCAGTGAATTTCATTTGTCTGTTTTGTTCTATTTCAACTCTGACTTTACCTTTGAGAGTAAAAGGACAAAATGGTTACATATTTAAATGGACCACTACGTTAAATACAATACGGCAGATATATAACACACATGCCTACACTGCCAACCTGTACGTTAACACATGCACTTAGGATTGTTACTTAAGCCACTCAAGCAGATTCAGCTGGTTAAGCATGCAGTGTTAAAGTTAGTAACAGCAAAAGGATAAAATGGGTTTTGGCGGTCATAACTCTGCAAGGAAAGCTCTCCGAATATACCATCTTTTTTACATGTTCTCTCTTTCAGTGTTGACTTTTCTTTGTTTGTTTGTTTGCATGCTTATTTAACAAAAATGCTTTCTATAACATTGTAGAAAAAGTTGAATCATATACACTCACTTTTGCAGCAATTTACTCAGTTTTGTGACTTTAAACTGTACTTGTCCATTATAGCAGACACTTTAGTGGATAGTTAGATGATCTGCAATATATTTATATGTGTTCAACAGAGGATGACCAGAAAGAGAAGTCTCTCTCCCACCACACCATCCAGCAGTTGATCATGGAGAAGGACCAGGCCTTGGCTGACCTCAACTCAGTGGAGAAGTCTCTAGCGGACCTCTTTCGTCGTTATGAAAAGATGAAAGATGTCCTGGAGGGCTTTCGCAAGGTAATACCAAGCTTATGAACAATTTAGCAGCATGTTTTCAGCATGAGGGACCTTCATCGATGGTTAAAATATGTTCTACCTGTGTCAGAATGAAGAGGTACTGAAGAAATGTGCTCAGGAGTATCTCTCCAGGGTGCGCAAGGAAGAACAGAGATACCAAGCCCTTAAGATCCATGCAGAGGAGAAGTTAGACAAGTAAGTGTGTCCATGTTCTCCTCATGTTATTCTTATCCCTCAACCACAACAGCATAACACTATACCAAGTTATTTAAAGAAGTCCATACTTGGGGAAATGTAATTAACTGTTTATGAAGGTTGAAATATGTTTTCAGTTATCTTCAATCTATTTGGAAATCCCCCAGTGTTAATACTGATTGATTTTTTACAGGATCTAGATTTAGCTATGCTGCCTTCTTTTAGTTTATTTTTTAAAATGTTGCTTGGGTACCTCCAGGGCTAATTCAGAGATAGCTCAGGTTCGAGTCAAGGCCAAGCAGGAACAAGCTGCTTACCAAGCCAGCCTGAGAAAGGAGCAGATGAAGGTGGACTCTCTGGAGCGCACATTGGAGCAAAAGGTAAGGAGTTGGATGTAATGAGATGTGAAAACAGAGGAGATATCCATAGATGTATAGCTACAGAATCTAATTTTTAGCAACTGTTTTACAGAACAAAGAGATTGAGGAGTTGACGAAGATCTGTGATGAGCTGATCGCCAAGATGGGGAAGAGTTAGCCACCAAACTGAATCTCACAGAAAACCTTAGCAGTTTGAAAAAGAGTGGGATCACTCCTCCGAGAAGTCATGGGCATCTGAGGCCAAAGAGGTCTTTGTTTTTTTAAAACTATCTATTAACTTTGTGTGTACAGGATTCACAGGAATAACTTCCTTTATTACTCTGTATATTTTTATGTGTCAGTGTATTGTACCGTATCAGGGTCTGGTTTAAAGTTTTAGAAAATCTATCATATCACTGATGAGTGTGTCTGTGGATAATGGTGTGTGCGTGTGTGTGTGCGTGTGTGGGTGTGTGTGTTTTAATGAGAAAGTGCAAGGATTGTTTGTGGATTAAATAGTGTATTATGATGTTGCCATGACAGCCACTGAGGGAGGCGACTGTTTACCCACTCCTGTTATTGTCTCCTCTTGATGCAAGACAAGGACGGACATGGACAAAGTTTAGCAGATGTTTGGATTTATTCATGAAATGCTAATACACTTCTTACTGAACTCAAACTGTCACAAAATATTCTTGCATGTGAGAGAGAAAGAAAAACCTGTAATGTTGATGTTTGTATATAATGTATTGTAGGAAATTCCAAGTATGAAAAATACTCGTGCATTTTGATATAGCTATTCTGTCATCCTCACCCTGCTGCCCCCATGTAACATGTAGATATTTGTCATAGCTTTTTTGATGAAATTGGGGAATTTTATTTTTGGGATTTTTATTTTGATATAAAGCAAACTAATCGTGACTGTATTCGGTTGTGACCGGGAGTAATTTAATTTTGGATGAATATGTCCTAGTTCTGCAATGGTTGTTTGTCACACTGAGGAATGACTTTTCTGCACAGCTACTGTACACCATCAGCTTACAAAGTGCAATAAAAGATGGCAATACAGCTGAAGGATCAAGTGGATTTTATTCACCTAAAAACGTGTTTCTATTTCATAAATTTTAGTTACATGAGATGCTACAAATCAACAAACTATTTACTGCTTTTTTGCATTGTGGTAACTGGGATTGTATCATGCTGAAATCAACTTGAAACCCCCAGATATGAAGGTAAGTACATCCTAGTCATTGTCATACTGAGGCACGGCTGATATAAATGTTAGCCAAACCCTGGACAGACTGCAAATTCTTCACAGGGCCAACACCACAACACACATCCATGAATGCCCTCGCAAAATTTCAAATCAGAATTCTAACTTTTATGTCAGGTTAGATGTTTGTTAATCCTTCACATAATAAAGGAAAACTTACCTGTGTATTTAAATGTCATTTGAAAATGTTGATAACACAATCAAATCTAAAATCTGATGCCAGCCACACAGTAAAAAAGTTACATCATTTTAAAGGGAGAAGGGTGAAGAGTGAAGGAAATACAACTTCAAACATAAACTGTTTTCATCCAATAGAAGATGAGTAATATATGATGATGACGTCCCAGGTTTCGGTAAAAACATTGTATCCACAAAAGGTTTAGACTTTCCAGGCAAGGCTTGGTAATGGCCTACAACTTTGCTATGAGTGGACAGTGAGTCTAGGAAGAGCTGTGTGATGACTGTTCCCTCTGAGTGAATCACGCCACTGTGATCATTCCAGCCATGTGGGCCTAGATATTGATTCTCTGTGACTCAAATTGGTCTTAGTGTGAATTTTGAGGTTGTAGAAAATCATAAGTTCAATTATCATGTTGAGTGTAAGAAAATAACCTAATTAGGAAACAATGATTGGTGGTACTGAAGGAGTTGTCTTATATGACATGGCTGTGGAGGATACATTTTAAGAAACGACGGATAATTAAAGTTTGACAAAACCAAGGGGCTAAACACAGGTTTTCACCAATTAAGAAACACATTATAACGTGTGATAACAACACAATGAACCGTTAAAATAAATCACATCACATCACTTCTACACATATGCCATAGGTGATCATCCATTGACAAATAAATAAACTGCAAAAAAGATGACAGTTGTGGGTCTGATCAGTCCTGAAGCATTACAGTGATACAAGCAATGCTAAAGAACACCTTGAAAAGGAAAAGCCAAGCTCCTCATGGGTGTGGCTACAGCAATGTCAGAACACGAAAGGTTTAGGATTATCTTGGTGTGTGTCTTTCGCCCATTGGGGCTGACAAAACTACCATTGACACTCGACGTAGTGCAAAGGGTCCCACTAGAGGGGCTGGTAATCTCCTGGTCTGTGCAGGAGTGGATGTTAGATTATTTGATAGCCTAGATTAAGATCGGGATTTAAGGAGCAAACAACCTGCTTTTCGTTGTGTTGTCAGAAGGAGCGAGGACCACCAGTACCATGAGAGCTGTCCAGTACTGTCCGTTGTTCCTGCTTTTTGTGGTCCTACTGGCAGATGATAGTAAGAACTTGATTTTCTGTTTCCATTCCTCACTGTGTCTTTTCTATTCTTTGTGTTTTCTTTGATAAGAACAGTGCTAAACCCCCAGTCCACATGTCATGTGTCTGATGTCTCCCTTTATGGACCTCTCTCACATTTGCATTAGGGTCTTTTGGTAATTGAGTCTCACATAAGTTGAAGAGTGACTGACATTGGTGGATAAGATGTTACACGGAACATTTTTACAGTGATCCTTGACTGCTAGAGAAAACATGGCATGTTTTCACATAACCCTTATGGAAACATTTCACATTTACAGCACTGTACTGTCGGTTAATACGTTTACTGTTATTATTATTCACTGTTAATTATTGCCTTCATTCTGAAGTGTTTTGCTTCCCGTCAGTCCATCATCCTACACTGTAACAAGTATTCAATCCCGATAGCTAATCTCTTAATAGGCCTGGAGGCTAAGACTTGCAGCATGTTTGAGAGCGGCTGCTCTGAGGGGAAAAGGGGACTTCTACACACTGCTAGATGCAGTCATATGCCACAGAAACTACCCAACCTGAAAAGTTTACTTTTTGCTATTGTGATTAACAAGTTTTAATTGGAAAAAGGAATTAAAAGTCTGATTTGATACCCTTCTATCATCAATTTGACTTGCTGGGTTGATTTTTAAATGTCATTTCTCTGGTCTAAACCAGATAAAAAGCTTTATGTGTGTGATAATGGTTCATGTAAGTTGCTTTAATTAACAGTATGAGAAATGTGCCGTGGCAACAAAATGTCTGAAGTTTTGAAGACTCCCTCTCTGATCCTCTTAAGAAAAAGCTCTCAAGCCTGATTGTCTAGAATTTGGGGGAGGGATGGATGAACCAAATTTACAGTATTTTAAAGGGGTTGTTATTTCTTTAAAAAAGAAAGAAATACGTCATCCTCAGTAGAGCTTGAGACAGACATTTACATAAGTATTTCTCTGCTGAACAGGGAACCTGAAGCATTTGTTGAAGTTTACAGGATATATAGGGATTGAAATAGACATTAGTGTAACTCTCTGGTTAATATGTGTAGATTTTCAAGAAGGGAGCGATTAATTAGCACTCGTCTCGCTTTAGTCTCACAGTGTCACTGGAACCACATAACACATGGCAAATTTACAGGGATTGGATACACATGTTTATCAACTATATTTTGTGTAAATAAAGGGTGCATTTATCAGGAATTGAGGACTACTTAGCACTTGCACACTCACTTATATGCTCATGATGCAAGTACTTCTTTCTTCCAGGCCTAACTTCTTCTGGACATGAACTGTACATTAAAGTTTTTAACAAATCTTTACAAAATAGGCATAGCTATAGACATTACCATGCCAATCCATCTGGCTGTCTGAATAATCACCAGCACCAACTTAATCAATGTTGCCATAATTTTATCTATGAGAGTAGAACATGCCCTTTTCCCATAGTTTGATGGAAAATCACATGTTACCATCATTAATAGCCCCCATTAAGTCAAGGAATAACCTCTGGCTGGTTTAAGATTACATTAGCAATCACAGTTCATAGTCCATTCCATTCTGAGTGAATGTCAATTACTCATTCATATCATCCTCCTTTAATCGTCCACCAAGAACTGTGGTTTTCATCACCTCTTTCTTATGTCTATTTGAGAACGGAACACCTTATTTCATTTCATATGTCTTTTACAGGTGAGGCTTTGAAGTGTTACACCTGTATGGGCTCCAACAATGACGACTGCAACCGGCAAGGCTCCAAATCTTGCCCCAGTTATTCTGATGCCTGTGCTGTAGTGGTGGGTCATGACAGTGAGTTCAACATAGACATTCCACTGATTATTATTCCATTTTGGAACGACGACAGATCACCATGTTAGCTTTAGTTCCTATCAACATAACATATTCACCATTTTACCGTCAGCTGTTTGTTTTGTAGCTCAGTCTTTTTCTTTTGTAATTAATTCAACTTGAGTTTTGAACAGATTTATGAAAGCCTCTAGTATTTAGAGGAACCTTAGATAGCTTAAAGGCTGTTTTTAAAACTCACAAAAAGAAGTCAGCAAGGTGTCACTTTTGAGATTTGTTGGGCAATGCAAGACAATGACTAAGAAGATTTTACTGACTGCATTTCTGTTTGTTAGGTGGCGTGATGAAGTCATGTTCCTACAAGTCTTTCTGCAGCCAGGCCAACAGCCAGGGCTACAGAGCACCAGGCGTCAAAGTTCACTGCTGTTACAGTGATGACTGCAATGTCACAAGTTTTGCCTCCCAGCTGCCGGGACTCAACTATTTGCTGCTGTTTTTTCTGCTGTTGTTGCACTGATTTTTCAAGACACACAACTCGGGTTTATCAGGCCAACAATCATCCACACTAATGCCAATTTCTATGCCAAACAAACCTGCCTCTTTCAACGCTATATGCCAGTCTATTTACAACCATTCCACGTAGCTTTATTAAGCCATATTTATCCGAGCACACACTTGGATATCAGCCAGTTACTGCCCAAAGTACATCTTGAAGTTTTTGGCTGTGACTTTGAGGATTTTACCATGTGCACCATATTTTATTGAGGTACTCACATATACATCTTTTAATGGATATCACAATGCCATTAAGTAGAAGATCCTAAGGTGCAACGGTAGGGTGAAAAAACTTTAGAATTTAATGCATTTAAGAGAAAAAGATGCTGTTCTAGTAGTTCAGCTTTCCCATCCTGATGTAATGCAATCTACAATCTGGACAAACTAGAATATACTATACATATGTACAGTACATATAACATGTATACATATATATGTCTTTTTACAAAGACAAAAAACACCTATTGCAACACCTTTACACACCTGAGGTTTTCAGCTTAGCTTGTGTTAAGTAGATGCTGTGTGTTGCTAAGAATGGCACTAAGAGTTGGCTGGGCTGGAGTGTTGTCACGTCATGTGATGCCTACCGCTCAATCACCTTTGGACGACGGTGAGAAAATGGTTCTCATGTTCGGGAAATCCACATAATCCTTTTACGCGCCCATGGCCAGGTGTGTTACTCTGATGAGGTTAATCTTCTCGGTTTGAAGTCACTTAAAGAATTAGGCATTTTATAAGATTAACGAGCACATCTTGCATGCAGGATGACCTTAAGGATGAGACTACAGTATGAGAAATATAAAAATAATCACAATAAGGGGTGACTGCCTGCTGTTTATTGTTCAATTTGACAGCAGTGTCTGTTGACAAGAAGTTTCGTATTGTGGTCTGCATTAAATGTATAGAATGCCATTATTTGTGTCTTTATACATTTTTGTTCAATCATCTGATTTGAATGTGAGAGTGAGAGGTGAGATGATGTTGCATTGCAAAAATTAATCTCTTCATTTAGTTAAGTAGAATAGTTGATGTATATATTTCTTTGCTCCTTGTATGTGAATTTCTTACTTGTTATTTGTGTACATTTGTAATGAGAATTTGAATAATCTGAGGAAGAAAAATGTGAAGAAAGTCCATCCTCTATCAAACGTAAATATCATATTAAATATATCAATATATATATTACAATATTCACAATATCTTTTGTAAAAGACCCAATATAAAAGTCTGACCTTTTTGCTGGTGTGATTGATTCCACTGATTTGTGTATGGTCATAAGCACTGAGATCAAGAGATTTATCTGACACTGCTGGCATAATTTATTCTTCAGAAAAATAAATCTAAAGATGGTTTGTATTGGGTAACTTCACCTGCCATCTTAGTTTGGCTTCTGATAAGTAGTTATTAGAAGCCAATCACAACACATAAATCTCTTTAGATGCCGTGCCATTTGTGTGTTTGTGTTAAAACAAAGTCTCCCAAATGTTTGAATTAGTCTAGTTATTCCTGCAAACACATGCAAACGTTTGGGCACAGCTATGAATTTTTCATGAATAAGTCTTTTAAAGGGTAATGATAAACAGGACAGTACTATTAAACACGATAATTAATCTGTTTTCTGATAATATGAGATTATCTAATTATATGTAATTACATTATCTTAATGCACTGGTTTTGGTCGCTTTAGGGAGTGGAAGTGGATATGTTTGCCTTTGTAATTCTCCCGGTCTCCACTGTGAGGCAGTCCAGCTTCATTTGTGACTTCAATCTGCACATCAAATTTTCCGGGCAGTACCAGTTCACATTTGCAGGTTGTCTTGCGTCAGTAATAATAATAATTGAGCATTTTTTTGTTGTCTGCTGGGGTTCTTTATTGACTTTAAAAAGGTGAAAATGTTTTCTTTCTGCTTTTCATTTTTTAGGACTCCCTCTTTGTGTTCCATCTTTGTTCTTGTGATGTCCTGCCGTTTTCTCCTTTGACAGGCAGGTGTGAGAGTGTGAATGCATTGCCCTGGGGAGGGATAGCCACTGACCCCAAACCGTGAGTTTCCAGGCCGCTTCAAAGCTCCGCAAATGAACAAAAGTCCGGCCCAGTGTCAGCCCTCATCAGTTTTATTTGAAAATCCTCTTCCACTTTTTCTTAAGTTTGGAGATGAAGACTTCCTTCCCTTAAAGGGCTGCTGGAGGGTCAGCGGGTAAGTGTCAGTGACCGTGTTTTCATTTCTTTTCAGACTCTTATTTACACACAGGGTCTGTTTCTGGACAGCCTAGTTCTTCCCCCGCTTCCTGCTCTTCAAGTCTGGTGCTAAAATGTCACATACTCTTTTCAGACTTATGAGAGTTTAAAGTTTCAGATTTAATGGAGGATTCGAAGGTGCAATCAAGGCGAAAGCTCCAGCTGAGGTGAAGCTTCTCCGGGCAATAGCACCAGTGGCCATTCCCTACATGTGTGCCATCTGTGCTAAAACTGAAGGTCATTGCCATAGCAACTTTGCTGTTTAAATTGGAGTATGTTTAATCCCAATCCTCTGGCACCTGAAGACATTATCACTGCAAATCCTACTGTCAGCCATCAAAAGGATGAGCCAGCTGCCCTTTAAGGAAGACCGCACGAAAGAAACAAGGCAATAGAAAATTCGCATCTGTAGTTTGGTGATTCTTAAGTAAACCAGACAGCTTTCACTCCACAAGAATGGCACTTAATGTCCTGAACACTTATGTGGGGCTGTTCTCTTTGTGGCTTTGTGTGTTTTGCTGATATCAGTGAGGATTTGGTTTTTAAGTAACGACTTTAAATTTGGCCAGAACAGACTTATGTCTTCATACGACCCTCAACTGCTGTCACCGGAATTTGAAATGCTCTCCTATGGCCTTCAATACCCCTGTCCTTTAATATCTACTTCCCTACTTCATGACATGGTTTTAATTGCAGTTGGTTTCAGCTAAACTGATTATTTCTGTAAATAGTATGGCAGTTTTGTTTGTCTGTAAGAGTAGCTTTTTTCTTGTGCTTATATAGTCTGCATGAATTAGGTTGATGATATCAGGCACATTGTCTAGCTGGATTCTTTTCCCAAACAATGAAATGAACTTACGAACCATTAGTGGAATCCAGGTCCTGTCCACAAGAGCCAACCTGTTAATCTAGGACAGAACATCCCCCAGCCCCCTGTCGTGAAAGAGTTTTCAGTTGTTCCAGAAAGGGTCAGACTCTCTCGGCAACACTGGAATTTGAAAGCAGGCTGTCAAAAATGAACAGAAATGTGAGCAACACAACGGAAACATGTCAGCAATCTATCTTTAAATCATAAATAAGCCTCTCTCACTCAGGAGCCAACCTAATTTACTTACAAGATTTGATGACCAGTTGTTAGTGCTGCAAAAAAAGAATAGATAAAAGAAAAAGTCTTGCACATCCAACATAAAAGAACACACACAGGACAACATTAAATGCTTGTGCCACTGTGGGGAGGGAACAAAAGCACTTGGGGGTAATGAGAGCGTGTTAGACGATTGCTATGTTTACAAGTGCCCGGGTCCTGGCTGGTCTGGCTAGGTTCACCAAACGGTCACTGGTTCTGGGGTCCCTGGGTCTCGGGTTTTTCTGAAAAAGATCTGTGAAGCAGAATTAAAGTGATCTACCTCCGGACTCTGGTCAGAGGGCCATATTTTGGTTTTTGAAAAAGGGTAAAAGGGGGAAACAGAGACTGAGAGTAGGGGGAGTGGGGCAACTGAAAAGGGAGTTGCGGTAAAGATGAGAGTTATATATAACGAGTGCACTCGGAGCTGCTTTAAAATGTAATTAAATGGCCCTCCTTCCATGAGCCTGGTCATTGGTATAGGGACAACGAAGAGCCTTATAGAACATAAAGCTTTTAGGATTTCATCCAGCATGTTAACACATCCGGATAAAATCTTGCCTCACAAAAGGTTTTTAGATAAAAAAAAAAACATTAGCATGGCACTAATGTGCTGTACTTGACAAAAGATACAAGCTTTGTTGTGGAAGATGATTTCCAGTACCTACATTACCTACATTTGCACTATTAATTCTTTGTCTTTTCCACTGAGTTCCTGCTGTAATTAACATGCTGAACCACTGGTTTTTATGATGCCTAATATAGTGGAAAGATGCACATGATGACTGTTTGAACCTTCAATAATCCTTCAAGTTGAATGAATAGGATAAAGTTGTCTTCTAAAAACAGGTTTCATGAACGATTTTAAGATTTTTCTTCAACAACAATATATTTTATATTTAATAACTTTTAAATTTAACTGGGTTCAATTGTAATCCCAACAAGGTCTGTGCATAAGTGCATTAAGCTGAAACAGCAATTTGCCTCATCGGCCTATGCTCTCAACTGTCTCGACATTTCCCAGTTTTTTAAGCGAGAAGACATTTCTGCTGTGACAAATAGTGTCTATTTTTGTTGTACACCCACAGGAGCAAGTAAAGGTGTAGGATTATATCAGAACGAGTTTTCACACACATATAACAGAGCAGATTATTTAGTGTGTTTGTGGGAAAAACATCTACATCTACACTGTATGTGCAAAAGTTGTTTTTTGTGGGAAAACAGATGCACAACATTATCAAGAATAGGTTATTGTAAATGAAAATACTATCAATTAGAAGTGTCCTAAATAACCACGGGGTAGACTTGTGAAGTGCTGAGAAAAAGGACAACAAAAGAAGAAGAGAGGAAGGCAGACCTTTGTGCCAAAACCATATCACATCAGTAACCGCTGCGCCCCTGGGTGAGGGCAGGCTCAGTCAGCCGTACCATGCAACTGGGATAATTAGTTTTGGAAAGAAATATCAACTGATATAATTGAGCATTCTCCACTAATGAAGATCCTCAGTGTTGTCACTATTCAGGCGCTAATTGACGAGAGAGGGAAGGGTGAAGCGATGTGCAGGATACGATGGAGGAAGTGCTGCCCACAGCAGCAAGTAAAGGTTTATCACATTTGTAGATCTCTGTTCCACAGCTTTTTTTTTATTTGTCAGTCACATGCATACAAAGGCTTGTTAGTGTGTGTGTTGTGGACTTTCTTTTCTGTGTTCGTGCAAATTTTTATGACTAATTGAAAGGAAAGCTGCTGTAGTATTTACAAGGATAAAAATGGTAAAGAAGAGAGTGGTTTCCAAGAAAATCATAGGAACCTGCATGATGAGACTGCTGGGAGTTTAGGGCTTGCACAGGTCGTGTGGGAGTTTTGATTGAGGGAAGCAGAAGGTTGAGGATTTGTGGAGGCTGGGGGCCTGTGATGAGGGGTCATGGTGAAATTAGTTGAGGGAATAATAGGAAAACAAATTGGTTTTGACAAGTTTGGGGAGCTGGAAGTAATGCAGTCCTTTTAAACCGGTGATGAGGGAATATCCAGCAAAACTATGAGATAATCAGGGGTGCTATTCAGGATTGGACTGAGGGAAAGGATCCAATCCTGAACATGGGGCCTGCTGATGACCCTGAGAGGAACAGGACCAGCATTTACATACATCCTACAGGGGGAGACAGCCTGACAGCAGACAGGACAATAAATAATTTTGCTGAACATTTTGTTGTCTGTACAATCTTAAATGTATATGGTATATGGGGAAATCTCCCATATTACTATTACTATAATTACTATAATTACTATTACTATACAGCAGTCTAAAAAGCATGTCACTGAGTTTGTTTGGTTAGGTACATTTTTCTGACCTTTTCCCAATTAATCATGCTCCTAATGGTTATCTGTAAGACATTCTAGGTAACGTTGGGCTGTTTGCAGAGATCATGTTCATAGAGAATGGTTCAGGCACTTAACAAACTGACAGAAAGGTGGACAGCAGGACAAACAGACTATAACAATCCACAATCCACTGTCACACCTCTCTGAAATCAGGCACAGGCCTCAGCCGCAGGCTACCTGCCAGATCAGCTCCACTGGCAGCCAGCTAGTCAGACTGCTCACAGCAGTCAGCACGGAGACAGACTGAGGCAGAACCAGCTGAGGTGTTTGAACACAAACAGAGGATTAACAGAGTTCTGGGCTTTGAGGTGATGGTAAATAAAACACCAAACACCCTCTCTCCGTGGGACAGCAGATCCAAACAGACAATTGATTTCACACTCATTTCAAATTAATGTTAGTCGGTAATGGAGTTCTGCTGTTGGCTTTTCGCTGTTCAATTTGCTGGTGTTGATTTAAAATGGAAAGCAGGTAGGCCTATATCCACTTTTGTTGTACTTTGCCCACCTAGATGGGAAAGGATGATCTTTTGTTGCACACAAATTGGATTCCTGATGATACCGACACAGAAGTAAACATTTGAGATAAAGTCAAATAATCTTCTTCTACCTGCTGACACCTCCAAAGCTTGATGTCTCTCTTGAGATAACATCACATACATGGTAAGTTGATAGAAAAAGGCATGCTGGTCTGATGCAAAAACGCTGCTTCAACCTCTGAGCCCTTAAAAGATAGATTCAGAATGCAATTTGCAATGGTTGTCAACTTTCACCATTCAAAACATCTTTGCCCAGAACTTAGTAGCATTTTTTGCTTTTCTATGGC